GTCCAAACAAAACCCTGACGTTGACTTTGCTGTTTTGCCTTTTAGGTTTAACCTAAGAGAACTTATATGTTAGGATAGCTAACTGGAAGGGGAACAAACTAGCTCAAGGAAAAAAACTAAATCAAGTTAACTGAACAATGAAATAGTGTACAGACAATCAGTCATTCAGTCATCCAGTTATTTTGAGCTTGAAACCATGGAGGTGAAAAATGTCCTATCTAGACTTTCAAAATGTCATATTTCCACATGCACAAAACCAGCCACTTCCATCCCTAACAACACAATGACTATCAATAAAAGAAGTAAGAAGCAAACATTACCTTATGCAATGGTCATACTTAACAGGATAGTCAACCTTGGTCATGAAAACCTCCTCGAATCCTCCATCTTTGAACTTCTCCATACATTTAAGCGTCGAAGAAGCCTCATCTTGGAGCTGTGTTGACCAAGAAGCAAATTACATGAACAAGTCACCAAACCGAAAAGAGAACTACGTTGAATTGACTTTTCTCCAGCTTTAAGGTACCTCTTGGAATCCAACACTGGTCATCCGAAAAGCCAAGTTCACAAGTGTAGACGAATCACATATAACAACAGGGAACAACTCTCTGAACTCCAGCTTCTCCTGAAATTTGAACGTTGAAAATCAGTAAAGCACAGTATGCAAAGAACACTACACCAATGTGCGCACGTTATAACTTCTTTGATAGAAAATACTTGCTATACTTATTTATCAAGAAAGTCAAATGCTCTAAGAAAACTAGAAGATGGCTTGTTCGCTTAAGCTAAATGAATCCAATAGCAGCAGTGCATAGTCATACTGATCCGCAAACAGAAATCCAACAGCCATATAGGCAACAAGTAGAATACGCACCTCCTTTGAGACACGGTTTTCACTTTGTGGCGGGAAAAACAGACCCCTCTCCCATAATTTAGAACTGGCTGCCAAACAGGATTAACAAATTTTGGTTATCCAATATTGCAGATTCAAATACTTACAAATGCAGCAAAGAGACATAAGCTGTACTAGCATACCTATGAAACCAAGTGTCATCCTGACAATGTCCAATGCGTTTAGAGACTTGCTGATTTTTCCCTGGGTTGCAAGGTATGATAGTATCACAGAGATTAAAAATCCATTCAAACAATCATGAACGTATATCGAGCTCCTTTGTCTAGCCCATATCTGCACACAACCATAGACGTGTAAGTACTACAGTAAACATCTTAATTAGAATACATGTTAACTAACTACACATACCTTCAGCAATATCAAAGCATCGCCCAACTCCTTCCAGGCAGTGAAAGTTTTCTCGACAAGCTCACAGTTTTCTTCCAGAAACATGTCCTCCAATATGCTTGAGTTGTAAGTCGGCGTGGGCTGAGGAACACCGTCTTCATCAAACAAACAAAAAAAACAGAATATCAATAAATGCCTCAATGTATTTATAAAGTAGAATTCAACAATCTTGAAACAAACCGCATTACCTGCGGTTACAGAACGGACGTTGTTTCTGCTCATACTCAACTTTGCAACATTAAACAGTGATGTTGCTGAAGGGATTATTCTTATAGAAAATCCAGGAAACTGATCAGGCTTCTTCACTGCAAACACATTCTCGACATAAATACAATGTTGACGTAAAAAACGTATAATTTCTCTTATCGAAAACAACTAGAACACACCTGGGAAAACAACAAGAATTGGCTTCCTGGCTTCGTTCTGTAAAGTTGACCATTCAACCTTCTCAACGGACGATGATGACAACAAATGCTTTCTAAGTACACAAAGATACAGACATCTTTTGGCATGGTATCGATGATTCATGTAATCCTTCTCATAGAAACATTCCTGCAATCACCACTCTATAGTTACATCATATATCCGAGACCAACCTCACAAATTCGATTTTCGAAAATTTCGAGAACTAACCTTAGGCAAGTGAACAAGCAAATCAGCAGAAGCATCCGGCTTTGCCATACAACGAATTGAGTAACTTCCGCAGAGATTGAAACCATTTGGCTTTTTAAATTTGAACTCCACTTTATCAGCTCCAATGTCAGTCACGAAGCTGGGAGCTAACTCTGAAGTAACCTATGATTTACAGTATTTCAATAAGTTACGAAAGCTCAATTTAAAAAAAAAATCTTAAGAGCATTGACATATGCTTATGACGGCACAAAATTGAGAAATATACCTTAAAATCCTCAGGGATTCCATCAACAGCTTCTCTAATCGAAGAAACGAAATCGTCCACAGGCTTGCTGAGAGAGTCGTAATCAATTCGAATGTCTTTCAACAAGTCGTACACTTTCCAAATACGAGAGTCTGCCACAGCATCTGGATCCATCTTTACCTGAATTCTCGATGGCTAGGAGTTCAGGGTAGAGCAAAAGCTGTTTAATTTTTATATTTCCGATGAAATTAGGGTTTTGCGTCTGAGCGAGGAAGAAGAAGAAGATGATTTCAGTGCTTCAAGCCTTAAACCCTTTTCCTGCTTTCAGTTTTCGTTCTTTCTTTTAAAACGCTGTCGTTTAGGAAGATTCATATATTCCAGGCAAAGTCAGTTTATAGGTTATAACGATGCCGTTTCGGTAAACTAATATTAATCGGCCCATCGTAAGTTGGTAAGCCCATATTCACAAAAGCCCAAATCGTTATGATGTTCCACAAAATGCTTCAATTAAACCACCTTCTGTTTGGTTATTAATTACTCTAGTTTTTTGCATGCATGCACCATATTTAGGCCAAGCAATGTGTTTGAATACTTACTTATAAATTTATAATGTAAATGTAAATGTAAATGGAGGGGTGTAGATTATAATAAGATTAAAAGTCACGTGAGTGAAGAGACATGACAAGTTAATGTGAAATTAATTGCAAAGTCGAACACTTAGCGTCTTGGGGTAATCGTTAGGGTTAGGTTTCGTGTTCCACGAAGTAAAGTGCCAAATGTGTGTGTGAGAGAGAGAGGAGCATCTTTTGGGAAAGCGGTGGTCGTCTCAATTTGAACAAAAAAAAAACACCAATCTCAAGACCGATCCGATTCTCTTTGTTCCCTCTCTCTATCTCTCTGGGTCTCTCTTGATGTCTTTTATACTCTTTCCGGTTAAACGTTTTTGTCCGTTCATGTTTGGCGGCACACGTCCTCCAACAAGAATATTGTATATACAAATTCGATTAGTTATTTTTGTTAAACAAGTGTAAGCTATAAACTCACTTTATATTTTTGCTAAACAAGTGTTAATTTTCACTATAAGTTCCACAGCATATCTTACCTAGATAGTAAAAAAAGAAATGAAGTTCAATATAATCTTGGAGATATATACGGTAGCTTCGTTATCTGATCCAAAAATAGATAAAAGAAAAAGAAGATAAAGGATAAAGAGCTTAGAAGCTATAGAGTGTACTCATTTGATGGGTTTTCATTCTCTTTGTATCTCTTTAAAACAAAAAAAAAAATTGAGTTGGAGCTTGCTTCTTTGACTAATCAATAGAATCTATCTCTTGCCAAGCTAAAGAAAGAACACAATGCTATTGCTTTAAAATCATTGCAATAACATTGGGTCACCTTTAGCTTTTTCCCTTTTATTTCACTTCTAACTTGAACATTGGCTAGTTTTATTCCTCAACTCCTTAAAAGCACCGATCTTGACGATTAAGATCTCTCATGCATTGGCCACAGATAATGTTGAATCTAGATACATTCAAAGTTCGCAACGATTAAAGTACTTGTGGATTTTATAATATTAATTGGCAATAGATATATCGATCTTTGTCTTTTATATACTGGATTATAAGTACATTTTTTGTTGTTGTTGTGAAATTGCGACAGTCGTTCTTTAAATTGGTAACCAACCTGATTCATCTCATGAATCCAAGATTATGTGAAATTTAAGACATTTCAGATATAACTAGAAAAGGAAGAAAGGGATTCTTGAACGACATAGTCACATAACTAAACATTCACGCAAGAGTCGTATCACACATTCTTACAACACAACTTAGCTAGTGCGGTGAACGTTATCACCATTAAGCTGATTCATGATATAACGAGAGTACTACACGTCGACTTGGTGAAGCAAGCGATGACGTGTGGAAGAAGGGGTTAGAGAGATTCGGAGAGAGAGATGGTTTCGAGATGATCGTGATCGGAGAGAGACCAGATCCTTAGAAGACCGTGACATCCCCAGTCACGTGGTCCTCTTTTGACTACTACTCTCTCTCTCCCACTTTAACTGCAGATTGAACTTGTCATTATTATTGCTTCACCATTTTATTATAAACAATCTCTATTTTATTCACTATAACACTGTACTTTGCTTAGCAGCGTTAGGCAACATTTCCACCGTACAAAAGTATTAATTTATAATTATATTTGTAGACCTCTTTTAAATGTTGTTAACATTTATCGTAGATTTGCAAACTTAAATTCTTTAAAAAAAAATCACGAAAACTAATGATTTTTAATTCAAAATTATTATTATTGTACCTAATACACATTAAGTAAAAGTATATATATTTGTACTTTTGTAAAAAAAATATATATATGAGGTGCATCAATGATCCAAACAATATTACCTAAGTACGAAAATAGTAACAGAGAATAAGCAAAACCAAAAGAACAAAAGAAGCCAAAGACACATTAGAATATTCAATGCAACATCTTTTTAGACAAATTAAAGGAGCAAACACATGTAAACCTAAAGAACAAATTAAAAAAGAAAAAACAATCTATTCAATCATACATTACAAATATAACACCCGGGACCAAAATTTGCTCTTTTTGTCGAGTTCCTAAAGCTCTATAAATACTGTCCTGTCTCCAGTTCACAACAGCAACGTGGACTTGTTTTCAGCTGACTCCTCTTTCACCGTTTCCTTATAAACACCAAACAAAACACACACACTTCTTCTAATTCTCTCTCTCAAATACGATTTCCTTCTAGGGATTCCAAGATCAAGACCATATATATTTCTACGTATAATGGGTTTCTCAATGTTCTTCTCCTCCGAAAATGACGTTGTTCATCACTCCTCTCCATATGCTTCTGTTGACTGCACCCTCTCACTCGGAACTCCCTCCACTCGCCTTTGCAACGACGACGACGACCGTAGATCATCTTCTCATACCTCCAACGCCTTAGGCTGGGACTTCATGCACGGTGCCAAGAAAGGCGGCGGAAATAATCTTCTCACTCGCCGTTGCGCTAACTGCGACATCACTTCTACTCCTCTTTGGAGAAACGGTCCAAGAGGTCCCAAGGTATATTATATGCACCTTTACATCAATCTTTCTATCACACCAAATACTATTTAGTCATGTTTTACTCTGTTAGAAAAAAATAAAAATATATCGATAATATGTTTATATGATTCTTAATTTGGTCAGTCATTGTGCAATGCGTGTGGAATCCGATTCAAGAAAGAAGAGAGACGAGCGGCGACCGCCGGAAACTCGACTTCCAGCAGAGGATCAGTGGCGGCTGGAGCTCCGACTTTAGATCATCACGGAGGTTCAAGTTATTACTATAACAGCAATCACTATGCTTCATCGTCGCCTTGGGCTCACCACCAACAGCAAAATACGCAGAAAGTTTCTTATTACTCGCCGGCGAATAACGAATATTCTTTCGTTGATGACGTGAGAGACGGTGATCACAACGTGACAGCCGACCCGTACTTGTCGTGGAGGCTTAACGTCGCCGATCGAACCAGCCTTGTGCATGATTTTACGATGTAATGAATGATCTATTCATAGATTTTTCCCCTCAAAAGTCATAAGCCTTGGATACCTTTTTAACAAGAAAAAAGAAAGCGTTAGGCTGCTTGGTCAAATTCTTTATTTCACTTTCTTTACATATTACACCTTTACTGTGTTTTTTTTGGTCTTTGTGTAAGGTTTTTGTTTTTAATATATAAATCTTGTATGCGGTTACTTGTGTTTGTTTCATGACTTTTTGAATGTTCTCTGTTTTTTCGGGTAATGAACTAATGATATATGTACTTTATAACCTTTTCATGATTTGCCTCCTAACTTGATCATCAAAATGATGCCATTTATATACAATATCCGTATGTAAATCCTCTTTATCCTTATTTTCATCTTAATTATTATTCAATTTAGTCAGAGAATGTGGCAACGAAAAACCAATTGTATAACTCGGTGAGAAAATATATGCAGGGTGGTGTTGGCAAGCTGAAAGTTTGTCATTTTATGCCCAAATTGTCTTGGAAATTTTAATTTGACCATCAATAGGCTCTTCTTGTGCTGGTCAACAGTGTTGCTATCACTGCATGTGAAGAACATTAATCCTTTTCACAAAACATTATAAAACGTGCATTTTACTTTGGGCCCTAAAGTTAAACCCACTTGAGGATGGATCACCGCCGTATTCAATACCCATTAGAGTTTAATTTGTTTTGTCGTCTTAAATTTAATTTTTGTAGATGGTATGTAAATCACTTACCCGCTACGCAATCTCTATGAATGTAAAATACCGACAAAAGTAGGAGGTGTAGGTGGTCTACACTTGGACACCAAAGTAACATATAGACCCGTTCCACCGGTTCTCTCCAACTGTAATTAGATTTTGGAGATCCAACGGAAACAAAACCAATTATTAAACGCTCTATTGTCGGCATTCCTGGGAGAAAAAAACAAAAACGTTGCTTCTCCCTTTTATTTTTTCTACGTTTCGATTTTCTTTGCTGAACATTAGGACGGCCCAACGGCCAACGCTAAATTGTTTTCAACCCTCCTCCACTTGTGTATTCGTCGAGTTCGAGTAGTCTTCTTATCAATTTCTATAGTAAGAGTCTAAAATTACATCATTTCATCTGATTACATAAGGGTGATGAGAAAACTATAGCTAAACATCGAACTAAAAAGAATACGAATTTTTCATTATATTTTTACTATTTTAAACATAAATACATCTTAAATACGCATTTTGTGCATTCAAAATATATGATTCATTTGTTTTTGTTACTCGTTATGATTGATTTCAGTAACATCGCTCTATTTTTTATGGTTGATCTCATATACCATCCATGCGAACACTATAATATTAATTGTATAGGTATAAACAACTAAAACTTGAAAGACAACATTTTATCCAATCATACATGATGAAAAATACCAGAACTGGATACTAATAGTAAGTATAATTGTTTATTTTTATTTTTAAAATATACATCTACTTATTTGATCAAATATGACGATTGTAGTTTCTAGAAGTGTTCTTTTGCTCAGGACCTGATTTTAAAAAGAATATTAGATGACCAAAGATAACAACCCAACACCAAACACATTTTAATAAATACCAAACCCAATTTCACAAGTTCCATTAAGAAAACAAAAAACGAAGTTTATATAATGCTGCTTCCCATTTGATCGTTTTGAAATCGAACATCTCACCACGAATAAAAGAACAGCTCAAAAAACAAAAGTTGCACAATGGTGAACTTGGTCGAGGCACAAAAGCCATTGTTGTACAGTCTCATGAAGAGGGCTGGTGTCGTTCCATACACATTAGAGATCGAGCCAGGGACGAAGATGAACTTTTGGGTCCCTAAAGAAACCCTAAAGAAAAAATCAGGTACTGGAAAACCAACCAAACCGGATAAACCAACCAAACCGGCCATCGTGTTGATCCACGGCTTCGCAGCCGAAGGCATCGTGACGTGGCAGTTTCAAGTCGGTGCGCTGTCCAAGAAATACTCGGTTTACATACCTGACCTCCTTTTCTTCGGTGGCTCCTACTCCGATAATTCGGACCGGTCTCCGGCGTTTCAAGCTAACTGTGTCGTCAAGGGGCTTCGTATCCTCGGCGTGGATAAGTTTGTTCCCGTAGGGTTTAGCTACGGTGGCATGGTGGCTTTCAAGATCGCTGAGGCTTACCCGGACATGGTTAGAGCCATGGTTGTGTCCGGTTCGATACTCGCCATGACTGACACAATCAGTGAGACGAATTTGAAGCGGTTGGGGTTTAGTTCTTCGAAGGATCTCTTGTTACCGACTTCGGTTAAGGGACTTAAGGCTCTCTTCACCATTGCCGTGCATAAACCCTTGTGGTTTCCTAAACGAATGTTCAAGGACTTCATTGAGGTACTTAATTATTTAGTGCGCAAAGTTACTTCATCTTGTTTTATTTTCGTATTGAAAATAACTAATCACCTTATAATTGACATTCTGTAGAGTGGAAAATAAAAATGATATTATACTAAATTTGTAGAATTTTAGTAGATTAGCAAAATTGTGACTTATATTTGGTCTTTCTACTGTTATACAAGATTAATGATGAATACTAACAAAGCACACAATTGTTCTGTTTTTGGCAAATTAAATACCCAAGTGGCAGATTATATATAGAAATTCTGATATGCTACTATGCTAGAGATATAGTTTGTTCAACTACTCTCATGCTAGGTAACATATTTAGTAATGTGAACGTATGGCTCAAATTTTAATATAACCGGTGAAATTGGTAGGTAATGTTCAACAACAGGAAAGAAAGAGCTGAATTGTTAGAGGCTGTTGTAGTCAGCAACAAGGACGCGACAATCCCTCATTTCCCACGGGTACGTATAAATAAATGTCCACATCCGTATATGTGTATACATATATAGATTATGTGAAAATAAAAGAAAAGAATTCGTGAATTAGTTCATAGTCTATGACTCTATTCCATTCACCTTTGTAAATTTAAATTTCGATTTCCTGTACTATTTTTTGGATTGTGAATGCAGAAAATACATCTCTTATGGGGTGAAAGTGATCAAATTTTTGATCTCCAATTAGCTAAGAACATGAAAGAGTAAGTTTGAAGATACTAAAATTATCATTTTTCCAAACCATTTGAAATGATTATTTTTTATTTTTCCTAATATTTGTCGTTGTCTATTTTTCAGCCAACTAGGTGAGAAAGCAACAATAGAGAGTATAAAGAAGGCAGGTCATTTGGTACAACTAGAAAGACCTTGTGTTTACAACAGGCGTCTCAAAACGTTTCTTGCATCAATTGACTCCGAAGATAAAACCCTTCAATAAATATAACTTATAATGTTATTAAGTTGTATTTGATCCTTATACATGACAATCTTTCGTGTCAACATTGAACAATCAAATGTCTTGCTTTGTTTGGTTTCCGTTGGATTCTTTTCAGTTACGTGCAAAATATGTAATATTAGGTGGAATTCACGCCTGGTTAATAAAAAATTATTTTAAGTATCATATCAAAAGAATCGAATGCAGTGTCGGTAGCAGCTGGACCATGCATGTATGGAATAATGGAACCATGAGCCATCTCATAAGATTATGAAAATATGGAAAACGTGACCACTTTTTATTTATTTTAAGAAAAAAACTTTTATTTTATATATTTTTTTTTGTAATATTTACTGTTCATTGCTGCAATATCTTTTAAAATAATACACAATGAACTAATATCGATCTGTTCCACAAAAGATAATTGGTTGTTCGAAAGGCATCAAGCCATCATCAAAAAGCCTATAAAACCTGGTTAAAATATCAATTGATCCTCTGATTACGTACTCAGAAAGAATAATTACAACAATATGGATCGAAACATTCGTTGCGATTCTACAATATGCATGAATATTCAAGTTATATATGACTTTGCAATCTATATAATCTGCAATATGCTAGGAGTTTGCAAGCTGCAAAAGCTGCGGAGAACTAGCAAACAATTCATTCTACAATATATTAGTAAATTAACTGTTGATACTAAATACGACTAAACATTGATATAAAGTAAACTGTCGGTTCCCCGCAAACGATGATGAGGGATACGAATTTGTGGCATCATGACCGACAAGTTTACCAGCCATAGCCACGGAATGATGATTGTACGGGATTAAAATTGCATTTTGCATTACATTATTGGGAACGTGAAATAATAAAGGAAAGTACTTGTGGGAAGATGATTGTCGAGCTCAATTCAACAGCTATTCAATGATATGATCATACATATATATATATATATATATATATATATATATATATATATTCCATCAATCATTTTGCCAAGAATAATTTGAGAACATTTCTCTAGATTTAACAGAAGAAAAAAGTTTTATAATAGACAATGGTGAACTTGGCGGCTGCACTAAGATCCTCGATGCGCATCATCGTGGAATCAACCGGCAGTGTTCAGCACACTGTAGATATCGAACCGGGAACCAGAATCAATTTCTGGTTACCGAAGAAAACCAGCGATAAACCGGCCGTGTTACTCATCCATGGTTTCGCCGGCGACGGAGTGTTGACGTGGGGGTTACAGGTTCGCTCGTTATCAAAGAGATACTCTGTTTATATACCGGACTTGCTCTTCTTCGGAGGGTCATACACCGATAAACCGGACCGGTCACCGGAGTTTCAAGCCGAGTGTTTGGTTAAGGCTATGCGTATCCTCGGCGTGCATGAGTTTGTCCCTGTCGGGTTTAGCTACGGTGGCGTCGTGGCGTTCAATATTGCGGAGTTGCATGGGGACATGGTTAAGGCTCTGGTGGTATCAAGTTCGCCTCCGGTTATGACGGATTCGAATGTGAACCGATTTGGGTTTAAATCACTGTCGGATCTCTTGTTACCCGAGACGGTCGAGGGACTTGAGTTTCTTTTCTCCGTTGCATTGCATAAACGCATTTGGCTCCCAAAACGGCCTTTAAAAGATTACCTTAAGGTGCATTGCATCGGTTTTTCATTTTATTTTTCGATTTTTTTTTTATAATCGGAATTTCTATAGTTATGAATTATGATTTACCACCAATATATGATTTTTTATTTTTCCGTTTACAATTTTTTTGTGTAACTAGTGATTTAATTATGTATTCACACAGATAATGTTCACAAATAGGAAAGAAAGAGCTGAACTCCTAGAAGCTTTAGTCATCAGCAAGGACACTGCAATCCCTAATATTCCTCAGGTATATGCTGTATGTTGTGTACTTCTAAAATAGTTATTACTTCTGTCCAAACAAAATTAAAAGTAGTTGTTACTACTAATTAGTCTAACACTCTAATTTACTTCAGAAAGGGATATTTTTGTTTTTGTCATGAACTAACGGTACTTTGTCCCGGCAGAAATAAGTTTAAAAAATCAAGCCCACATGTATTTATGACTATTAAATACTTTACCAAAATCATATCAAAATCTTACACAGTTCTTAAATTGTTTCGCTTGCAGAGAATACATCTTTTGTGGGGTGAAAATGATCGATTCTTCGATCTTGGATTTCGGAAAGATGTGCGAATGTGAGTTTCTTAATATACTAACCGATTTTGTTTTCTTTCATAACTACTAGTTTAATGATTTAATTAATGTCCATGAATTTTTCCATGTTGTAGAAAATTGGGAGAAATGACAAGTACGGACAGTATAAAGAATGGAGGTCACTTGGTGCATTTGGAGAGACCATTTGCTTACAATAAACTTATCAACAAATTCCTTGCTTCTGTTCATTTTTAAAATTTGGAGTCACTCGATCAAGCCAAGCCATATTCGATGGCTATTCATACTCCAAGAGGCATTGTGTTACACATTTGATAGATCCATAAGTGAGAAACAGATATTTTGCAACTAAAACAAAGCAGCTCCACCATTCTTACATATACATATATATAAGAATTAACTTACTTCAAACAAGAAAGATTTGGAATCTAAATGCAAAACACCTACACGTATATAAACCCTCTCCGGTTCTAAAGCTCAGCATTACGGTCTCTCATATATGCACCGTACTCTCCAGCAGCATCCGAAGCCTTCTCCTTTGCACTCTCATAAGCTTCTTTTGCTTTCTCCGACATTGACTCCTTGGCTGCACCATACCTCTCCCCAACCTTATACAGTGCCTCCTCGAATTTTCCGGCTGCTTCACTCCCTGATCCGTATGAGTCCGCTGCTTTCTCTTTACCATAGTCCATCGCTCGCCCTGCGGTTTCTCTAACATTCTCAGCTTTATCCGACGCCATGTCCTTCGCCTTCTTGGACCCTTCTTTAGCTTTTTCGTACGTTCCATAAGCCATTTCTTTAGCTTCCTCTCCCTTATCCGTGGCCATCCTAATCACATCATCTGCTTTTTCATTCACAGCGTCCTTTGCTTGACCGGCCTTCTCGTAGGCTGATCCTGCCTTGTCGTAAGCCATATCCTTAGCTTGACCAGCCTTGTCATATGCCATATCCTTAGCTTGACCTGCCTTGTCGTAGGCCATATCTTTGGCTGATCCTGCCTTGTCGTAAGCTGATCCGGCTTTGTCATAAGCCATGTCCTTGGCTTGGCCGGCCTTGTCGTAAGCCATATCTTTGGCTTGGCCAGCCTTATCATAGGCTGATCCGGCTTTGTCATAAGCCATATCCTTGGCTTGACCAGCCTTGTCATAGGCCATATCTTTGGCTGATCCTGCCTTGTCGTAAGCCAAATCTTTGGCTTGACCAGCCTTGTCATAAGCCAAATCTTTGGCTTGACCAGCCTTGTCATAGGCCATATCTTTGGCTTCACCTGCCTTGTCGTACGCTGATCCCGCTTTGTCGTAAGCCATGTCCTTGGCTTGACCAGCCTTGTCGTAAGCCATATCTTTGGCTTGACGTGCCTTGTCAAAGGCCATGTCCTTTGCATCACCGGCCTTATCATAGGTATAATGTTTTGCGTTTTGAGCAGAGTCGTAAGCAGATCCAGCCTTGTCAGATGCAAAGTCCTTGGCGTAACCTGCATTGTCATAGGCTGATCCAGCCTTGTTGTAAGCGTAGTTCTTGGCCGGTTCCGCCGCTTCTTCTGCTTCATCTTTCTTGTTTCCCAATCCTCTGTTACCAAAACAAGAAGACAATCATACTTTTAGTTAAAAATATTTTCAAATATATGGAAACGCATTTGATTGTAGATAATGGCCTCATTCATATTAACAATTAACAATAACAAATAAAAGAACATAAATGTAAACAAAAAGAGTATCGCTTACGTAGAGATTTTATCAGAAACCCAACCAGCCCAAGACGCGGATTTGTCCTTGGCGTCATGAGCGGTCTCGGCCGCCACATTTTTAGCGGTCTGGGCAGCGTTTTTAACATTCTCTGCTTCACTTGTATCCAGATCCTCTGCTTCTATTGCTCCCCATCCATGGCATTCCTTCTGCCACGTCAGTATCGCCACCATCACAAGCATCATTATCATCATCGTTCTTTTCTCCATCATTACTCCCATTTTATGTTCCGATTCGTTTTGTTTTCTTACCGTTTTCAATCTCCATGGAAGTTTATAGTTATAGAGGAGCGAGAAAGAGATTATTCCTTTTCTTTCACTAGATTAGCGGTTAATGTCGGACACGTGGTTATCGGATGTTTACGTGGCGACTAAAGAGGCGATTACGTTGGGAAGTAACGTCATTCTGTATTTGCCACGTGTTGACTTGTGGTTAGGGCTTGCCGCGTTAGTGTCTCCTGACCCCCGAAGTCATACCTTTTAAAAGAAGTTTCAACTTTCAATGTCAGAACCATATTAGCAACCGGTTTACTAAACCGAACCGGTATGCTTCTTAATCTGTTAATATGATGAAAATTCCTTTTGAAAAAGTTGAATAAAGTATCATTTTTAGCACAATATTTTCTTTAAAAGTATATTAATTTTGTATTAGCAAGTAACATACTAATCAAAGAAAAATGGACTAAGAGAGTAATGGTTGAAAGCCTTCAGAAGCAAGCCTAATCCTCTGGTGATGTTCTTCAACTTTATACTCAACAATCTCTTTGAAAAGCTGCGAATCCAATACACAATCCGCTCGTCCGTACACTCCAGCTTGTACTCCAGCCACAAGCTTTGCGATTTCACGGCCAGAGAACCCTTCAGTCTTCTTCGCCGCCTCAGAGATCACTTCATCAGTCAAGTCTGCTTCAACTGTAATCTTCTGTGACACCTTCTTGAACAAATGGCTCCATTTCGGTTTTGCGTCTCTGTTGTCCTCACCCTTCTTCAAGTACTTGTTGAGGTAGAGATTCAGAAGCTGGAAACGTTCTTCTTCACCTGGAAGTGGGAACATAATCACTTCATCGATCCTGTCTGTAACCGCGCTGTCGAGATCTCCAGGTCTGTTTGTAGCTAAGACAAGAACAATGTCTCGGGACTGATCACCGGTTCTGAAGAGCAATGCGTTTAGTGCACTACGCTGAGCTTCGCTCATGTAAGTGTTGTTACGCCTGGCAAAGAAAACAGAATCATCTTTCTTTAGAAACCTCATGCAGCTATATGAGTCAATGATAGAAAAAAAAAAAAAAAGGAAGAGAAAGAGAGCTTACTCGCATAGAAATGCATCAGCTTCATCAATGAAAAGAAGTAGACCTTTGTTAGATGTCTTAGCCCAATCGAATATCTGATGGATTTTAGTAACAGCTTGTGATCCCAAGGGAGCAACATCTCCTCCTGTCATCATCGCATAATCCAGACCCTGCACCAATATAAGAACTCATTAAAGATTGACATCAACATAGGTAATAGCTAATAACATAGTTTTGATAATGACTTACCGATTTCCGAGCAATTTCCCTTGCCACCATAGTTTTACCGGTACCAGGAGGTCCATAAAACATCATGTTCCGGAACGGTGCTTGATGGGATTTGGTATTCGATGTAGCCCTAGCAAGATGCTCGATCCGCTTCTTTAGAGAAGGATGGAGAATCACATTGTCAAGCGGCTTTTTCCCTTCTGCTGCAGCTGCGGCTGCTGCTCCTGTGATTCTGTTCTTCAACTGAGACACTGAGCTTGCCAATGGAAACCTTCCCATGGAGGATTCTCGGATAAGTGATGGTTGGCCAAGTATCCTATTAATATAACCCCATGTAACTCTAGCTCCTTCACTGTGAAACGCAAAAGGAATCATGAGACATAACTAGCATTAGATCATATCATATCTAATAAAGAGGAGATGCATACCGAGTTGTGTAAACACCAGCAGCTAATGCTGTAGCACCTCCAACAGTCATAATCAGTCTATTCCGGTCAGTTAACAGAGTCCTGAATCCTCCTGCAAGTTTCATATATAAAGTAAACAAAGGCAAAAAAGAAGCAAGAAGATATAAAGTTGGTTGATATGATCAGATTCCATACCTTCGATGTGACCAAACATTGTGTTAATAGCAGCAAGCCACTTCTCTCTTTCACCATTGATCCTATCCATAAGCAGTCTTCTGTTTTGCTCCTCAGTGAGTTTGGCTTCGTGAGCTCGACCTTCAGCTTCAGCCATGGCTTTGACTCGGATCGTCTCTCTCTCAAGTTCAGCTCTCTCTTTCTCAGTTTGGCGTTGCTGAGCTTGGATCTGCTCTTCTGTGGAGATTCTTGCCCTCTCTTTCCTGATAGAAGACTCTTCTTGCATCCTAACCAATTCAGCATTGTGATTTCTCTGAGCTTCATGATCCGTCTGCATATCATTTCCAAAACCAAAATCACATTCGTCAAGATCTTATAACTTCATCTACGAGAAAGCATCACATAGAAAAAGAGTAACCTGTTGTCTCTTTCTGGCTAGCTCATCTTCGTATCGAAGATTCTGAGCTTTGGTTTGCGCCTGTGTCTGCAAAAGGTTTCTCTGCGCCTCGGCCAATTTCTGCTGTCTCTCCTGCCAATTACAAATCAAGAATTGCATCAAAACTATATCCCATGTTTCTGCATATGCTTCAACAATGGCAGCAGAAATGAAAAAATTCAAGGAAGTGTTCGATTACTCACGATATCCTTGTGAGCTAGAATAGCGCTGTTGTGAGATTTATCTGATTCTAATTCAGCTAACCGAGTTTTCTCCTGCTTCCTCATGAGATCAAACACCTAATCGAAAAGAAAAAAAAACAAAAACACTCAACAAGCTAAGAGGAAAAAACTCATCTTCTCAATCAAATCCGAGTTTTGAGTCAGAACATTGTAGCTCGTTAAAATTAGAAATGATACGTCACCTGCTTGGAATGGGGAGAGCTATTGATCTCTCGAAGAGCTTTAGCAGCTCTCTCAAGGGCCTCTGGATCAAAACCGGATCCTTTGGGCTCGTTGGGCTCTGGTTTAGAGCTTGAAGAAGACTGATTCGCCGGAGAATCTGACGGGGGAGGAGGAGGAGGAGGAGAAGAAGAGAAGAAGGGAAACCAGGAACGAGAATCGGCGTAAGCACGGTTCTGAGACATTGACATTGAAGTGAACGCAGCTGCTATCGCCGCCGCGGAACATAATCTAGAAGCAGCCATGGATTTCGACAGAAGAAATTAATTCAAATCAGGAACGCTTTTAAGAGATTAAGAAACAGAGCTTGAGAGATTCATGAAAATGGCGGAATTGATGAGATTTCTGGGTTTTGCAGACGATAAACCCCACGGTGGCTTAGGGTTTAAACGGAATTTTTTGAAGAGGCTATAAAATGATAAAATCTCGACCGTGGAAGTTTCTCCTTTGCTTGGAGAATAATCAAAAAGCAGACGTGAGCCCAAATTATATTTGGGCCATATATTTGGGCCATGTTATAAACAGCATAAGCAAATGATTTAAACAAAAATTTGCAGCTAAATTTGTTTCTCCACTCAACCATGTAAAAAGTATTTGTAGGATTCCGTTTGTTTAGATCATGGGTAAAAGGAGAATTTATGTAAGATCATTGTTCTTCGACAAAATTATTTAAAATAAAGGAAATTATTCCACAATCCACGTTCATATAACTTAAACTAACCAAATTAAGTACTGAATGTAGTTGTATATTCTCGATGGAATACTAAACAAAAATACACCATTCGAGCTAGTGGACTTAGATGATTATTCGAAAGTACGTACTAGCGAATTTATAAGTTAAAAATCCTTGTTATATTCTGGTATCTTATAATACTTTTAGCAACAAATCCAATCCAGATCTTCATAAAAACAAAAAAACAAATCAATCCAGATAATTGTACTATGGAATTTAAATTAACGTGAATTTGAACTACGTTCGAGTGATGAAGCATTTCTTTGTGGGTTTAAGCTATATATGGTTTTGGTTTTCTTCTGAGACAATATAGACTTTCTTTTTGGCTAAAAGTTATAGACATTTTTATCGTCGTCTCTTAATTATTAATTTAGGGTTATAGTTTTCCTTTATGTTTTGTATGGGTCGCAATTCTGTGCCGGGGAATATAACAAGACATGTGCTCTAAAATATTGCAGAATATTATCTCTCTTTTTTTCAGAAAAGATATAGGACTTGTATTTTTCAATATCTAATTATTTATTAGGGAAATTTATCATTCCAATTATCCGGCATGGTTCATATATATGGGTCGCAGTTTTGCGACGTAGAATATACAAGGCATGTGCTCTAAAATATTACAGTATAAGCTATATATCTCTTTTTCTCTTTTCAGAAAAGTATATGTATGTACTTATATTTTTGCGAAAAATCAAAATAGTACTTGTTTGCACAAACGAATTATAGCTCGATCGTGGACTTCTCATCTTGACTTTAATTTTCTTGTAAACCAGTATTTAGTCTTATCATTTTTTGTTACTTCTTTATCACTCCTTTCTGGTAAAAAAATATCGAATAATTATGATTAATGTTAAATTCTAGCCCGTCCTTGTAGTTCGATATTCAAATTACATGCCATGCAAAAAGTTTCCGACCAAATATGGACGCGTGTGTCTCACGCGTCACGAGAACCAAACGATCCAATATTGACATCTTCCCTGTAAAACTTATCTATTTATCACCATCGACGATGTTCTATTGTTCTCTCTTGATATTCATCGAAATTCTCGTCAGGGTACGTGCCAGAACGACGAAGTAATTGTTTGTAAGATTTGTGTGATAGTGAAAAGAATTCGAGGCGAACTTGTTTGATTATATGAAACTCACATTGATTGATTTATATTAGCACGGAAGTAGATGATTCATACATATATATTCGTATATATATAGCACAAAATAGAAGTAAATACATTGAAATCTTTTTGTTTAGATCTTCTCTGTTTGTTTCTGGTTTTTGTAACCATGTTGTTGACTTCAGAGGAACCCGCAAATACACATATAAATTCCAGATGAAACTATCAGTATAAAGAGGTAGATATTATAGGAAAATCTTGATAATCCTGCGAAACAACTCATGAAATGGAGGTTTTTGCAAAGGTAAAGACAAGAGACATGGAACATGCTATATGGGACATTAATTTTCCTTTGCTAAAAAACAAACAAAAAGTTGGACGAAAGGTTGTTCAGAAAATGGACTTTTATGAATATATAGAGTAACACGGTCATGGCGATAATGGCCTAATGATCAACTTCAAGAACTTTACAAAACTAGCTTTTGTATCTCTCTGTTACTAGATTTACTTTTTGGTCCCACAACTGGGGACAGTTTACAGAAATGGGAAACAAACAAACAGTGGTGTTTACTATTAGATCATTAAGATAGATCTCTTTTTATTTATTTCTTGCATGATTGGTTTGATTAATGAAACAAGAAACAAAAGACTGCACTACTACATTTTTAAGATGATAATGCTTTCTTTGTAGTTGTTGTGATCTGTTACCTTTTAGAAAATGGTTTCAGTTGTTGCTTCCATTTGAACGGTAATTGGGATGTGGATAACGGCCTGACTCAATGTCATTGACATCCCTAATGAGAAGCTCGTAGTGTCGCCTTACTTCTTCAGCTGATTTACCACCAACTGCTCTAGCAACGTTATGCCAACGGTCAGGAGTGTCCTGGTCATATATAGCCAAAGCCCTTTCAAATAGTTTGTTCTCCTTACGTGTCCAGGAAGCGTTAGAACTCATTGAGTTGGAAGCCATTTCGAGAGTACAAAGATCGAAAATAGCCTGTTTTGATAGTTGAATTCTTGTTTCTTGGGAGTGAGTAAAAGAAGCAAGAAGTATGTATGACTTGATGAAAAAGGAGTTGATTTGGTTAGTTGAGAGAGTGAGAAGCTCCATATATGTAGGAGGAAAAAAGCATGGTGTGGGGTTAAGCCAGTTGGTAGAATATATACTTTATGAGTGACTATTTCTTTTAGCAACCACAAGAAGTTCTAAAGAAGGTACACAATTGTGAAACAATCCAATGAAACCTGAGATTCCTTGTTATGCAATAGGATAAATACATAAATATAAGAGGCTTTCTTCCTTCTTCTTTTTTATCTTCTTGCTACTATCCGTACAGTATAGGTTAAGGCAAATGTAACCATGCTTTGAGACCTTCCCTTACTTCTTTAAGGCTTTTGATGTGATCTTGAGATCTTATCATCATTAGCTTGTAGTATCCGATGCTTATTTGAAACACATGAGATTGTTAGATTATGTTTGATGCTTTCTTATAATTTCCATCCATTTTGATTGAAAAAATCTGATTATGATAGGTTCTCTTCAAGTTCATTGGTGTAGCTGTTTAGTGATATGTCATTTCCAAGATATATGCGATATGTCGAAGTCATATAGTCATTATTGAATGTCATAAAAGAAACACCATCCCACTTTCTTCGTCGATTCTTGCCATTCTTGTTCTCATGGCTCTTGTAGCAAATGTGGTAATATGTAATCACATCTGAGTGATCTTTGTTACATGTGGCTCGTGTTGAGCATCTGTTATAAAGGATGGAAACTCGTGCAGTGCTTATTAGTGAATATCAAACCCTTTATGTCTTGATGCTCTCTAGTAGCTTTTAGCTTTATATTATATTCCTCCAATGAGAAGACAAATATCAAAGCGAAATAGTACTACGACGTTCATTGGCTTAATTAATTATAATGAGAGATTAGGGTTCGAAAACATGTTCCTGTACCACAAAAACATTCTTTGAAACACATAAGAAACGAACATTATTAGGTTCTAATATATTGATTTCGTCTTAGTCAATTAATCTTTTATTTTAAGAATCTTGGCTTTGCCTTTTTTTATGTAACAACGGGATAAGCACATTGGTTGATTTTTAAACCTAAGTAAACCTGAGCAACTACTTTTCTTGCAGACCACTCTTTTTGTATAAGAATTTCATGCGTTTGCGCAAGCATACTTTTTAATATATAAAACGTAGATAATGTATATAACACTGTAAAACATGGATAGAGAAACAAATACTGTCTAATATATAAGAATTCTGTACAATAATTTTTTTATATACATTCTGTAAAAAGAATATAAATTAATTACATTCTGTAACAATAAATTTGCCAAATTTTGTAGTAAATATCAAATTCTTTTTCTACAGCTGAGTATGAAACAGAGTAAGAAAAACAAAATTAATAAGATCAATCTTTTTTAGTTTGTTCATATAAAGATTTCGAGTTTTTTTATTTATCGATGGTCTTACGTTTCAATATATAGAAGATAAACGTAACCCGACGTTATCCATTAACCACGAGAAGGGTTGGGGAAAAAAACAACTTACAACACCTTTTCGAGGATATTCAGGTGTTCTTGATTATTTTTTTAATAATTTTTTAACATTGGGTGGTAATGCAAATGGACAAATTCCAAATCTTGGGAAGATCTCGCCGATGCATCTTATCGACGACATCTGCGCCTTTCTTACGCTTCTTCTGCTCCTTTGTTTTGGACATTGTTTAACTTCTCTGATTCCTCTCCACTCGCTGTGTTTTTATGTGTACTTATTAGCTATGATTGTAAGAAATGTATATTATAATAACAAAAAGATGAAGATATGGACTGTATTTCATCTCCAAAAAGTTTGTGTATATAAATATCTTTTCTCGTATAGTATTTGGTCTCTATTCTAAGCTTTGTGATAAAACATTCCATTGGCAGATATACTCATCTCCTTTCAACTTCACTTGCCCACTCAACAACTTGTCCTCATGGAATATTTTTTTGGACTCTTCCATTTGGATCCGTACCGTCACTTCTACGCTTCCTTTGCCTAAGATTAGCACTCACATTCATTACTCTTTCATTAACGACGCACTACTATTCCTGCTTCAAAATCTCATTAGTTTCTATATCCTGTTTGGTCTGATCATTTGATGTTGTAGGCCAGTTATCAAGTTATATAGACTTAGTCTAACCTAACAAGTTAGCAAGTTATAATCGTTTCGTGATATTCAAATCCTAGCTTATGACCGGACTAACAAAATTATAAAACTGTAGTTGTCTTAGTCTAGAGGGATGGGGACAAATTCTCTTTCTTTCTTTATTTTGATTAGATTCCGATCTTACCTGATCCCTTTGAAGTGGACCACGTTTGACGTTTCGATGAAGATGCTCCCTCGTAAAACATCTTTTTACTACTTTGTAGTTTGTTTTGTTACTTCTTTTCGGGGTTAAATATATAAAGAAATCTCAGGTGGCGTTATTACGGGGACACAAATTAAGTGCAAATGGAATTTCCATTATTTAATTACTATATATCTGTTCCCGAATCAACATATTTTGATGTCATCAGAACCTTAACTTTTGAATTGTCCGGAGAAGACTATTTTGGCTGCAATATTGTAAGTAAAAGTAGGCAGCCGCCAATCAATTTTTAAATTACCCTAGAAGTGGAGATGAACAAAAAAAGGTTGTTTTATAACGGTCATACAGTAATTTATGAGTCTGACTATTGACTATACCCGAATAGGATAACCCAAAAAAAAAAAAAACTATACCAATCTAAGATTCGAGAAACCTAACAATATTTCGAAGAAAAGTTCATGTCATTTATGGTGATTAGTGAGGTGAATGGTGATTGCATCCACGACTAAGTAAACCATGAGCTCGCTTTTGAGTTAGCAAGATCATAGTATTAGAAATTTGTAATTCTATAAATTTGTTTTGCATCATCGGCTTCTCCAGACTCTCCGTATTATTATTATTAGACCGTCTTAAATTATCCACAAAACCAAACCCTACAGTATCAACGAGCTTGAGGTCCACCGATCATTAACTTGCTCATGGGCCTTGTACCCATCAGTCTATCTCATCCTCCAAATTCTTTAATCACACACTCTCTTCCTTGTGCCTATTACAAGCAAATCCCTTATATATTAAAAGAGAAGACTTTGATGAGGTGTCGTCATTTGCCACACTCTCAGAGTTTTCTTAAAATAAAGCTCTTTTTATTAGAATAATTACATGTTATATCATTCATATTTAATTAGAGAATGAAATATTTATTATTAATTTAATCAAAAAATTAATTATTAATTAAAATTATTTTATTTCTATTTCCTTATTTGGTAATGACGAAAATTATAAATAAATTTAAAAGTATTTAATAATCAATCAATCAGTAAAATATGGAAAGCTTTATTCAATTGTATTATATTAATTGTTGAAAAAATCAATTTATTCTCATATCATTTATGTTTAACTTTAATTTTCAAAAATAAATTATATCATTACATAAAAATATTTAATAAAACAAAATTGGTTTTTTCTGCATATGCTATGATTTGAAATTTTTAAAATGAAGCAAATCTCTAATTGTTAAAAGTCTCACATCGATTATATTTTGGGATGATACTTCAAAAGCCTATTATTTAGAATTGATCCAAAACATTAAATATATATATATATATATGCCATTTTATATTTATCAAAATATAAAACTATTTCAAACTTATTAAAATTTGATATATATGTGGATTCAACTGTCACTTAATATTTCGTCATGTTCCAATCTAGGCTAAAACAATATACATCACTCAAAATTTTGTCTAATATAAACTAACATTTTTTATTGTCTAACACCCTATGTTTTTAGAATGATACTTATGTAAAAAAATAACTTATAATAAAACTAAATAAGAAAATATCACCCCGTGCAGGGCGCGGGTCTAACCCTAGTATAGAAACTAAAACTACAAACATGACAAACACATTTGATCGAACCATATTTATAACATTTTTGCTTGACTTCTGTCTTCGTGTATATGAAGATAATATTAAAATGCTTAAATTTGTTCTAGAAAAGGCACTTGCGCGTTAAAATGTACGTACTTTCATCTAACCTATATGATGAATATGATCCATTGGATTTTTATGACTATCACCAACTCTAAACGTGTGCCATACCAAAACCGGGAAGATATCAAACTTAAACTTAATTATCATAGGGGGGGAAAAACATTCCAATAAATAAGTTTATTTATTATCAAAAGCGATATGCAACTAATTAGTAATTTAAGCACCTTTTGTTGTGAGGCTGCGAGTAGTTGTCGCTTGTCAATGAGTAGGTGGTGGAGCCGATCATATTATTTATACACATTTTGGGAGAACACAAAGTACCAAATAATTGACTGGGACTATGATTTAACTAGCTTACCGCATTAATCATTTGGTGGATAAATTTCATGGTAAAAAACGTTTTTAACCAGAATTTGTTCACTAGGTCGAGTAGACAATGTTGGGTGTAAGCTTCTATGGTCTGACACTTAATTAGCCTAAGCCCCCAAGAAGGTTACATCACAAAATAAATTATTGCTTTGGTCTGGCCAATGAGAAGCATATATATATATATGTATATATATATATATATGCCTTCACATTGAGACATTGATGTTGTGTCCATATTACGACATAGCTTTATCAATTTTAAAACAAAGAAACACCCATCCTTTTTTAAATTATTTTTATTATAAAAAATCCAAATTTTTACCTCAAATGATATCTACTACCAACTACTCACAATACTCTACACTAACTATAAATCATCTATCGTCGGAACTACTACAATTCTATAACTCAGATGTAAATAAACCCAAAATAACAGTCTCTATAGAAATTGTATACTAACAGAAAGAGTCTCTCATCAACAATCATAAGTTATTCAACATATAAAATCTTGTCCATTTCTTGCCTTAAAACAAAAAGAAACACTCGGTTAGATCAAAGTATTAGCAAGTGGAGGAAGAATACAATGTGGACCAGTCAACAGATTACGACGAGCAGGTCTTTACGCAAATGTTGTTAAATTGCGTTAGCGAAGGGTGTGGTCACAAGAAAGTGTTCTATCTCACTAATGGCATGTGATGTGACTACGCACTAACTTCTCTATATTTTTAATCATCCATAAGCCCTGATTAAAATTTGTTTTCTGAGTCTAAGTTCCCCCACTAATTATATCGTGTAAGAGAAAAGACGCGATAAAATTCAATTCTAACCACAGGTCAATACATCGATAAGAGTATAAGACTAGAGTAGAAATCAAAGAGTCTTAGTTACGTCACTATCAATCTCTATTAGAAAGAATGGTTAACAACATAACATCCTTAGTTTAACAAACTTTCATAAAAACACACACAAACAAGGAAGACTTTTACTCAGAAGGTCCCTTTTCCCTGAAAGAAAGCCTAATAAAAGAAGAGAATACAAAAAAAGCAGTCGAAATTTCTAAAAATAAAAAATGTTTGCAATTGTGTATTGACTAGACCCATAGATTACGAGCTAATAAGACCTCGTCCTTTCAAATGAAGTCTGCGCTTGACACGGCACTCTTTTTCATGTCGTAATACCTTTTGGACCAAAACGCGCTGTGACGTAGAAGCCGTCACTGCCCAATTATCGTCCTTTGATTTAAAAATTGACTGCCATTCACCAAAAGCCTGTCATTTTAACGCTCTGCATTCGTTTTCTTTTCTCTGCTTTCGCTAAGCCGCACGCCAGTCTCATTTCAATCTCATCTTCATATAAAAAATTAACCTTTTTTCTTTCAACCCTCGAGATCTTTGCACAAACAACTTCGAAAGATTGATCCTTTTTCTCGACCCACCAAAAAAAGGTCGTGTCTTTTTTTTCCGGTAAACCGGAGAATTTCAGTGTGTTCTGTTTATTGTCTTGAAAGCTTTCGCCTTTCGAAGCTTCTCTTCAGGATTTGGGGGAGTTTGTTTAAGCCGGATCTTATCAGAGTAGCTATGCTCAAGGTCTTAGCTGAAACTTTAGCTTTCGATCACCATTCCTTGTTTCTCTTGCTGATTTACAGCGGATTCGCAAGAGAAACACTCTGACATATTTTTGTCCTTTTCTGAAAATTTCTGGGAAAGTCTTCAAATTTAGTTGGTGTGTTGTTCTAGTACTTTTAATTGTTTTGTGATTTTGGAGAAGACAAACATTCCAATTGAGCTGCTTTGGACTCCGTTGACACTATAGAGTAAGTCAATTTTCTTACTATTTATCTCATTAATTTCCACTTTTGTTTAGCTTTTCTCTTACCTGTTCTTGAGGATTTTTTCTTAAAAAGAATCATTTTTGTTTATCAAACTTTTCAGAATTCAGATGGGACGGATAGAGAACTTGCCTCACTCCTATAAGGTTGGTTCTACCAAATCTCTTATGCTTGAATCTCTTACATCAAGTTTTGTTTTTGTAATAACATTCCTTTGTGTTGCTCTCTGCTTCAGATGCACTCTTCCATGTGCTTAGAATTGAAGAAACTAGTAGATAGAATCATGAGAATCTTTCCTGATATAGAAGATGCTCGACCTGGATGCTCCTCAGGCATACAAACTCTATGTTTGCTCAACAAATCCTTGGAGAAAGCTAAACTGCTTCTTCAATACTGCAATGAATCCAGTAAACTCTACACGGTTCGTCACCAAAAAAAATCTCAACTTTCCATACATTTTTCTCTGTAAAGGTGCAGTCTTTAATACTTTGCTTCAATATCTTCAGGCAGTAACTGGAGATGCTATACTCTCAAGAGGCGTTAGAGCCAAAAAATCACTAGAGCAAAGCTTAATCGAAATCCGAACCATGGTACCAACTGTTTTGGCTATCAAGGTTTGTACTTGTACCAAAATTTCATAACTTTAGAGTGAAACATTTGCAGAATCACTGATAGGAGTTTTTGTTTGCTTGCAGATATCTCAGATAGTTCAAGATGTTAGATCAACTGAGCTGAGTCTGGAATCATCTGAAGAAGAAGCTGGGAAAGCTATCAGAGAACTGATGCGACGAAGCACATCTTCGTCTGTCTCTTCTGATGAGATCAGAGATTTCCATTCTGCAGCTATCAAACTCCAGCTTATAACACCTGAAGCCATTGTGATAGAGAGAAGGTCCTTGAAATCGCTTTACACAAAGCTAGGCGAGTGTGAAGGGAACAAGAGACAGATCTTGAAGTATCTTCTCTGTCTCTTGAAAAAGCATGAAAGAATCATTTGTAGAGATCACAAAGAGAACTCTTTCTCACTCCATGTCAATGCTGCAGAAGCTGGCTGCTCTGAGGAACGCAATGGTTTGCTTCCGGAGCAGTTTAAGTGTCCGCTTTCGCTTACAGTGATGTATGATCCTGTCATCATTTCCTCAGGCCACACGTTTGAGAGGGTGTGGATACAGAAATGGTTCGACGGAGGTAACGAGTCATGCCCCAAATCAAAAACGAGACTTGATGATCTCACACTGAACCCCAACGTGGCGATGAAGGAACAGATATCGAAATGGTGCTCCAAGCACGGTCTTGATGTTCAAGATCCAGCAACGAAGCACACAGCAAAGGAGGCTATGATGATGCATAGTATTGACTACTCTGTCTCCATTGCTAGCTTCGGAAGCTCTCTTTGCAATATCCCTGATCTCAGCTGCTTCTCCAGTAGGGATTTCAGCTCGAGCTTCTCTCATATGTCAAAGAGTGGTTACTTCATGCCGATGCAGACGATAAAGTCTGAGTCAGGCACTGTTACCACAGCTTCTAGTCCCAGCCGTTCCGGCGAGATGGTGATGGAGGAGCCTTTATGTGAACTCACCAACCTTCCATTGGATGCGCAGGTCAAGCTCATTGAAGATGTAAGAAGTCGTTTTGCACACAATGCTAAGGCGTTTCGGTTTATGTCACCGAGTAAGTTTCTTGAGCCACTTATCACATACTTGAAGAATGCTCACGAAAGATATGGCACCACTGGAGAGATAGTAAAAGGTGGATTGGTTTTGTTACTGAGTTTCGTCAGTGGGAACAGAAAGGCTATAGAGTCTTTGGAAGAAGATGTTTTCAAAACGTTATCAGTCTTTCTCGAGTCTGAGGTAGTAGCTGAAGAATCTCTAAATGTGTTTGAGGTTATCTCTAACCACTCTCATCACGGTCTCTCCAAGATAGCTTCATCAGGCGCTCTCTCTTCTCTTTTGAAGATCGTTGAGTCAAGAGCAGAACATCTTCACGAACAAGCTATGATGACACTCAAGAACCTTTCGTCAAGCAGTGAGATTTGTCTGGAAATGGTGTCTCTCGGTTTCGTGGAGAAGCTTACTTCTTTCTTGCAGCAGAACGTTTTCAGCAAACAGTCGATCGTTGTCCTGAGAAACCTCTGCAACACGGAGAAAGGTCGGGTTTGTGTAACCGAAACTCCTGGCTGTTTAGCTTCGATATCTGATTTATTAGACTCAGATGTTTCCGAGGAGCAAGAGAATGCAATCTCCATCCTCCTGCAGCTCTGTGTGCAGAAGATGGAGTATTGTGATATCGTCGTGAGAGAAGGAACTAATATTTACTCGTCGCTTCTCTTGATATCCAAGAATGGAACCGAGGAAGCGAAGAATGGTGCATCGGAGTTGCTTAGAGCTCTTGAAGAAGTAGATGCTGTCGACAGAGGAGAAGAAGAAGAAGTAGAATCCTCCAGACCAGAAGAAGAAGAAACTGCAGCAACTAGTTCGCAGGTTGTCACTTCAGTTACGTATGAGGAACCTATAATAACCACAACACCACCCTCTACAAAGAAATCTGGTATTTTTGGATTCGGTTTCTCCAGTCTCAAGAAGAAGAAAAGTAGATAAAATGCATAAGTTTTGTTAGGCTGTTTTTTTGTTTCTTTTAACTTTAGTGTATGAAAATTTACAAATCTCTCGTGGTTGTCTGTTTGTTGACTTAGGTTAAGAAAACTATAATGTAATTTGATAGGGAGTACATTCTGAGGAATGTAGTTATGCAAAATTGTATATCACTAAATAATAAAAATCGTCAATTTGATCGCAGAAAGAGTAATTTGCTTATATTAATTACAACTTTTCTTCAAGAAAGAAACAGAAGATATAAGAAGAGAGAGAGAATTATATTTTGAAGATAACATATATATACAACAAGGAATTGTTATGACCACAAGAGCTTTTTCTCTTTCTTCTACACATATACATATCCCCTAGAATATATATTTTTCTCTATATTTGTGTAAAGATAAGAGTAGATTGAAAGACGTTTGGATTGGTTTCCTCTGTCTTTCTGGTTCAAATTTCAGATAACATAGAGGAAAAGGATAAGACAACAAAATTTGTGATTTTCTTTCCAATGACCCTTATCCCTAACTTTTTTTACTTGAGGCTGAAGAAATTGGAAGCAGAATCGGTTGTCAAGCTGTTGTAAAGATACTGTGAGTGAGTTTCCCAGCTTGAAGATGTCTGTTTTTTCTGCAGAAAAGAAAAAGAATTAGTTACTTCACAAACAAGTAACAAGAATTTGTGAATGAATGGAAATATTTGTCTGAGAGAAAGATTATTACAGCGCCGAGAGGTGTGATTTGGTTTGAGTTAATGACTGAGTAATCTAGAGATCCTTGATGATGTAATGGAAAAGACCGTAGATCCGCCGCCATCATTGACTGCTTCGAGACAGCTTCTGGAAGATCTGTGAAGTGAGCCTGAAGCTAGATTTTTAACTTAAACCAGTCAGTAAATGGCAGATAAAACTCTTGGGATGAGAGCTGACTATATTCTAAACTTTGTTCTCACCTGTTTTGTGGATAATTCATTGATATGAAACTCAAGATCTGGGTTTAAGACAGAGAGCTTCATCGACAAGAACTCGACTTGTTGTTGCAGAGATTGGACATAGTTGATGATCTCATCAAGCATACCTGCTTTTCCAGTAACTTTGCTGCATCCAGGAACTATATCTTGAAGACATTTCATCTTCTTGCTTATCTTTTCTCTCCTTGCCTGCCAAAATCACAGAAAACAAACTACTCAGATAAAACCCTCGAATGTAATTTCTCTGAAGTCAATCTTCTCTGTAACAACACTTACCCTTTCTGCTAAGCTATGTCTGTCGGTGGCTTCACCTCGTCTAGCTCTCACATGGATGTAATCTGGTTTCTGAATCTCTGAGGATGTCTCTGTGTTGCTCATGTTTGATTTTCCTTTCATGCTTGACTCTGTTTCATCCTCTGCTTTGATCTTCTTCTTCTCTCTCTTTTCTGTCTTTCCCTAAAACCATAAGTTGAACAATCAAAATCAATGTTTCAAACAAATCTCTAATCAATACTTTCTTGAGCTACAAACCTCTGGTTTTCGCTTGTTCTGCAAGGCAACGCGTCTGTTATCTTCATTGTTCTTCACTGGTTCCATTTGGAAGCTGCTTGTCCTGGAAATGCAGCCATCAATGGTATCATAGTCCGGTCCGAATTCTGGGAAAGGTCTGAAACTCTGCAACTCATCATTGTTGTTTCCCAAATAACTCTCAACCCTTTTGAGCTCTTCTCTCCCATCCGAGCCAAGTATCTGAAGAAACTCAGGTGAAACCATTTGCTGCTGTTGCAGCCATTTAAGCCTTTCAAGTACAGACAAGTCCATGAAGAGAAGGTAAAAAAAGAAAAACTTAAAGCTCTTCTTATCTTTTCTTTTGGGAGGTTAAAGCTAAAGAGAGAAAGAGAGAGAGTTTAAGTTATATGTGTGTGTAGGATAAAATAAAAGTAATCCATTTGATATAATTATTCTTAGCTTTAAATAGAAAGCAACATTGACCCACACACATGAGATTCGAAATCTAGTGAGAGAGGGACAAATTTGATAAAAGTGGAGGAGGTTGGGGACAAACAAGGTGAGATGAGAAGTCGTGGGGTCTAAATGACATAACCTACCATGTGGTCATGTCCTTATGAACATGATATGAGGACTCTCTTAACTTAGTCTTTTTTTTTGTGTCTTCTCTCTGTTTTTTTTTTTTCCTCTTCTTCTTCTTATTTTCCTGTTGCCCTTTCATGTTTTTGAGAGGATCTTTCATTTGGGAACCAAAAATATAGCCGACTTAGATAACTTAAGGTTTGACGGCTGATCATATTCATATAAATGTTGTGGTTTGAGATTTCTTGTTTTTCTTATCAATCTTGTGGTTGGCTTATTATTTAGTCATCATCGTACCACAAAATGTTATTATCCGATCTGTCATACAACGTTTTAAAACAAAATCTACCGATCTATAAATCATCAATACAAACATTGAATCGCCCAATGAGAAAAGTCGAACCATTGAGTTTTTGGTTAGGCTTTATATAATTGTACCAATTCATCGAATTTTTCTAAAGAAAGTTTTAATTGAAGAAAGAGTGTTTTTAAAGGTTATGGTGGAGAATGTGGGGAATGGGAATTATGAATCTTAACTTTCAAATGAATAGAACAATGTTTTGAATCATGAGCGGTTTAGGGTGAGTGATATCATTGTCATGTCTTGTTGTGAATCTATACGTGACCCTAGTAACGTATTTTAACTACACACCTATCAATCTATAAATTAAACCAACATTTTAATTCGATTTCATATATTAGAGAGATCACTAACCAAAAAAATTATATCTCAGAGACAGCTAGAAGGCATCTCTATGAATAGACTTGAAACATTATAGTATTAGTTTATTTAACAGAAAATTCAATATTGATAGGGACAAAAAATAAGAAAATGGGATTGAAGATAAGTGATAGGAAGGTAGGCGACACCATTGCTTTTGATCTAAGTGTTTGGTCCCTATACCTTTTTTTTTTTCTTTTATAATTATTCATCTGTACATTATCTTTAGATTATTAGGAGATTCTTCATTTTGAAAGCAATAACACATTGTTATTTTCTTGAATTTTTTAGGTTATAACTTATGAGAGTGAGATAGCATTATTACTGTAAAGCTGTAACATTGAAATAGATCACTTCGGCTTTTGAAGAGGTTACGGTGGCTTCAAAGAACTGATACAATCTAGCCAACGTTGAAGATCAGTTCTTCCGTCAGAAATCACAAACACAATGACTAAAACACAATGACTAAAATTTCATCTAAAACACTAATTAAATTGCTGAAAACGAAAAATTGTCATCGTCACATTGGATTCTCTCTTTCTTTCTTTTTATGTGTGTGGTAAGTGTAGATTTCCTCAACATGCAGTTTTTCTGTTTCCTACTAATTTTGAAAAGAGAAAAACTGTCACTTTGACATTTATAGAGTAAAACTGCATGTCGTTGTGTGTGCTCATTAACGGCACGACGTTCGTCGCCAACCGAAACAGAGGATACGACTGAACCGTCCGGTTCACGTAATTAGAGATTACCGGTTTTATTGTTAAACCACAAAATAACATTTTATTCCGAAACACTCTGTTTCGTCCCATCCACCAAATTTCGACTTGTCTGGCTCAGGCGTCGCCACAACTCTCCTGCAAGTTCACACATACACTCGGTGCTCCTGAAGAGTTTGATTTTGCATCTTCTAGCTCTCATTTCTGAAATACCTGACTCAGATTGTCCTTGAAGATTCTACGAGGTTTGTTCTCTGTCAACAATCAATGTCTGCTTCATGTGCTGTAACACCGTCTGCTAGGACTGAACTATTCAGCTCATCATCTAAAAGATCAATCTTTCCTGCGCAAATTTGCCGACCCAGTAAGAATCAACAACACATTTCATCTAACTTTTCCTTAGATTAAGCCTGAAACTTTTAACAATTTGTGTCAATCTTGCAATGAAGGATACAAATGTGAGATCAGCAGAAGGGATTTTGCAGTGAGAGGGATTGTTGCTTCTGGAGTTTCCGTCATGGGTACTCCTTCTTCACCATCAGCTGCTTCTCAGTCTGTTAAAGGTTTGACCTTTAAAACCATAGTTATAGATTGTGGCTTCTATCTTGGCTAAAAATGTCTAAACGAATTGGATGATTCTTTAGGTAGTGGTAGGTTGGCTTACAAGCCAGAAGGCTATAACTTTTGGGAATGGAGAGGTCACAAGATTCATTATGTGGTTCAAGGAGAAGGCTTGCCTCTTGTTCTTATTCATGGGTTTGGTGCTTCTGTCTTTCATTGGAGGTACCCTCAAATTGCCACTCTTTCCTTTAGATTCAGCTTCTCTCTTGTAGCAATTTATAGGCTTTAAGACGACTCTGTTTATAGCATGATGTGAAAGTTTGTACATTTATAGGTATAACATTCCTGAGCTGGCTAAGAAGTACAAAGTCTATGCCTTGGACTTGCTTGGTTTCGGATGGAGTGACAAAGCCCTCATAGAGTATGACGCCATGGTTTGGACAGATCAAGTTACTGATTTCATGAAAGAGATTGTGAAAGAGCCAGCTGTTGTGGTTGGGAACAGGTAAAACGAAATGTCTAAAGGCTCCTTTTGTCAATCCATAAGAAACATTTGAAACTTTTATCAATTCAAGTTTTGTACTTTTTCCATCAGCCTTGGAGGATTCACGGCGTTGACAGTTGCGGTGGGATTACCAGAGCAGGTCACAGGAGTTGCACTACTAAACTCTGCAGGACAATTTGCAGCCGAGAGTAGGAAACGAGAGGAAGCTGAAGAAACCGTGATAACCAAGTTTATAGTGAAGCCAGTGAAAGAGATCTTCCAACGTGTGGTTCTCGGGTTCTTGTTCTGGCAAGCCAAGCAGCCTTCTCGGATCGAATCCGTCTTGAAGAGTGTAAGTAATGTCTTTACTGACTTTTTGATAGATTTCTTCTTCATCAAAGTTTGCTACTTTTGTGCTCAGTTTTTTCCTATTTTGCAAATTTGCAGGTGTACGTAGACGCTACTAATGTCGATGACTACCTTGTGGAATCCATTTCAAAACCTGCAACAGATCCAAATGCTGGAGAAGTATACTACAGGTACGTACTTCAAAACACCATAAAGAGCTTCTCTGTTTTTGATACATTAAAGGGACTTGACTGTTAGTTTTGTTTGTTGGTTTCTTGTAGATTGATGACAAGGTTCTTGATGAACCAGAGTAGATACACTCTAGATAGTGTTCTAAGTAAGATGACTTGTCCGCTTCTGTTGCTTTGGGGAGATCTTGACCCGTGGGTTGGTCCTGCTAAAGCCGAGAAAATCAAAGCGTTTTACTCCAACTCGTCGCTTGTGCACTTGCAAGCAGGGCATTGTCCTCATGATGAAGTCCCGGAAGCTGTGAACATAGCTTTGTTGGATTGGCTGTCCAATGTAGTTTCCAAGCCATCATCCCCTGAAGTCATGGATGTGTAAAAGACTCTTTTTGTGAAAGAAGTATAAATAGTTGTAAATACTTTGTTACCCTTTACAATTGCTGCTTCTGGTCTTGTATTACCTGAGATTTAGCAGAGTATATGATCAGTATTCTGATTTTAGAGCAATGATTGGATCAACATTTTAAATTTACTGTTGCAGGAAAAAAACAGTAGTGTGTTTTCTTATTCCATGATGATCATTATGCAAAAATGTACAAAGAACCAACATTATGATCAACTCCTTTTATTCCATAGATGGGGGCCGGTTTATAATTATCTCAAGCACTGATTACGCTCTGAAACATTCTTTCAAATGATTGCCCTAACAGTTACTAGAACACTATAATATAGGGAAGTTCATATATAACACTTGTAGTACTAATTATTAGTGTTTTGAATATGTTGAGACAATCATTAGTATTTGGGGGAGAGTATATGTTCATTATCAACGTATAAACTCACTTGTATAATAGTTTTCTGGTAGAATAGTCATTTGTAGTACCAATTATTCATTTATCTTCAACCAAACGATGGCTAGCTATATGCGGACAACATTTAGAATCATATATTCTGGATTTTGTTTTTCTTTTGCTTTATTTGACCTTTCTTAACTATTTTTGGTCTACATGCATGAGTTTCAACATCTGAAACATACAAAAGGAAATTTATATGAATAAAACTCCTAGGCATAACTTTATCGTGTACGATTACGAATGTAAGTTAAATATATAGAGAAGATTACGCAAAAAGCAAAAGAGAAAAGTGGTCCTAGTTGATATTCAGATTGATCTAAAACTGTAGGTTGTATCGTGGAGACAAAAGTGAAGGAATCCAGTCGAGTTTAAAATGAAAAATATGAAAAAGAGATTTTTGTATATAACAAACCGAGAATAATGAAGAGATGAAAGATGGGTATATATAAACCTGGCATTTGGTCTTTCTATAGATAGATGCATAATTATAACTCCAACATGATCAGAGACAGATTTATGCGTGTCTCTTAAGTTAACCTAATTAAATTTAATACTATATTCTCAATCTATGAAATATTCATTTACAGGAATAAGTGGCAGCGCCAACGAAGTAAATATAACCAAATTGTTATAGTCCACTAGCTATTCGAACTTGAGAGATTTATTTCTATCGAATACACATGTATGTACCAGTGATTGTAGATATACTCTGTTTATGATGAAAATCAAACTGAATACTTATTAATTATCTGTGAATACTGAATACACCGATCATGAAATTGTGCAGGAATGAATAAGCGAATCTTGTAAGTAGGGCAAGCATGGCTATCGCCGCCATCATTATGTTCGGAACTTCGGACCATAATAGCTAAGAAACATTTTTATTTTTAACTAGTTCTCGCCATCTAATCAAAGTATTTTTAAGTAGTGTTTTAAGATCAAAGTATTAGTATACCGATAAGGCGATAACTTTTTTTTTTCAATTGCCTAGGGTTCAGGCATGCTTTACGTGGCACGCACTAGTAAGCAAGCATGTTTTTGTCCTAACACCAGGAGTGTAGTTGATTACTATCATAATTAAATAATGATATTAATTGATTTAAAATTAATGGTTACTCAAAAAATCGAATACATAAATCCACATTAACTGATGCTATAACTCAATATGGAAATGCCAACTACCCATTGAAAGCTTTATAAATAATTTTAGTTTACAGATGTTGCCACCATTACCTAAGAATAGTTATGGGGAAAAAAACAGCAAAATCGACTGAAGAAAAAGATTACCAAGTATTGGAAAGCTGCAATCTGTATAAAAATCACAAACCATATTCAAATCGTAGACTCAATATGAATGGCAATAGCGAAACGGTAATATATTGATTATCATTATTGCTATAAAACCCTTGTTAATCAACAATACATTTGAGAACTTTGAATTGAAATCAAATTTAGTATCAGAAGGAAGAGGGCAACGAAGAGTAATAATCATATGAGTTGTCAACCAAAGATGGAGTTCATTTAATAATGGATAAAATCATGCATGCCACGAAAATTATCATTATCGATTGTGGGCGCTAGCGAGACTGTGGTATCAATTTTAGTTCAATGGAGTAGGATGTGATAATACGTATACGAAATTTGTATACATGTTGATATTATATCTGCACCATAATTGTGTCGTACTTAATTATTAGAGAGGTGATGTAATGAAATTTATAAGTTTTGCAAGCAGGCTATATCTATATATATTTTTTTTGTTCGTGAGAATAATAACAAGAAAGATGTTCTACATGATCTGGAGGAACGGTTAGGCTGTCTTATTCGTGACATTACTCCTCTTTTTTTTGTTGTATTTTTATTATTACTACTGATGGTGCCAATTTTCCATTAATATTATATGCTCAATCTTGAGAAAATAACACCAACAGTCATTTTTTCAGACTATTATTGCAATTGTCAGAACAGTTCTACAACATGCCAACGTTTCACCTGTTCTTTTCGTAGGATCTAGCCTAATATTGTAGATTAATATGATGAATATAGATAGTTACTCCGATCATCGTTGGCAAACAAATATGCCAACATTATCAATGTCATAGTCTAATCCATAATCTGGATAGAAAATATTCCGTAAATTATAACCCTCGACATTATCGGGTGATTATTCGTTATTATCACTTAAAAAGGCCTGAAACTAAAAAAAAAAAAAAACACATTTCACCTATTTTGTTTAGTAGTTTGAAACTTTTAATAATTGAAAAACGTTGTAGTAAAGAAGTTGCAAATTGGAGAAAGAGTACAAAATAAAAGTGCGTTACACATGTATCTCATTCATTGGCATTTGGCAATGACAACTCTATCGTTTCTTCTTCTTTTACCACTTTCAGTTTTCACAACATTTGTTTCCTTCTTGGGAACCCAATTTCTCTTGTTCATTTATTATACTCTTTTATTATTCTTTTTGTTTTTGTCCGTATATTATTTTTGGTTTTTTATAGCCCTGCCAAAAACGACAACTAATTTTATCTATATATTTTTTTTATCTAGATGACTAGACCGCTCCGGACGATCCAAGTTTTGAGAGTGTTTATATTCAAAACAATGAGATTTCTGTGATCTGTTGTATATTTAATTCGATTTATACGTTCTATGATCAAAGTATATACAAACATTTATATATTCATAGGAAATGATGAAGATAGTGTGCTACAACGGTCGGTCCCACCGGAGAAGAAGAAGTGACAACAACGAGTAGTGTGTATTTCCAGTTGTACCCTTTCCCTTTCGGTTCGCGCGTTTCCACCTGCTTATCGGTTACACCTGTCATTCCCTAATTGGTTTCTTCATTTACTATAATTTAATTGTCTTCAAGTAAATAAGTCTTAGTAAAATAATGCCGAAAATAGTTAGTATTAAATTAATCGCCGCTGAGCCGGCCGTTACAATCGCAGCAGCACGACTGTTCTCACTTCTCAGTATTTGTTTTTTATTTGCAAAAAATCTATAATAGTTTATTATTAATCCATAGTTATAAAACAGTAATAAGCTAATACAGAAAAAAACTTTAACGTTCATATGCGATTAGGCTGTTTCTAAATTTTATTTATTTCTTTGTTAATTGTTCTTTTTGTACGATGTAGAGAGATGGTAATTAGATTACATACCTTTTTTCAAAAAAATATTCGAATTAGATTTCAAATTAAAGCTGAGAGGCCCTTTTTCGTCATTTTGGAGTTTCTTTTTGGGACATTTCTCTTTTGATTTTCGCTTTTGCGTCCTCTCTCTCTCTCTCTCCCTCCCTTGACTTCTGTTCAGACTCCGAAGAGAGCGCCTGAGAGCTATAGAGAGAGAAGAGAGAAAAGTGGAAGAGAGGTTGAACAAGGAGAAGCATCGCAAAGCCCTAGAATCATTTTTCATTGTTGATTCTCATGGAGAATCTCTCTCATTCTCGGCACCCAAACAGGTCCTCCTCTTCTCTGCCGAAGAAAGCTTGCAACGGAAATGGTGGTTTTAGCTACGGCTCCGGCAAGACGGCTAACACCTCCACAACATACGACGACGTTTTCGGTGGTCCGCCTAGGTTCGGAGCTCCGACGCTATCTCCTCGCCTCGAGGACTATTGTGAGATATTCGCCGGGTTTAACGGCTCCTCACGCGCCGCCGCCGTTTCCTCGATTCCGGTGCTCGATCTTCCACTTGTAGAGGATAGAGATGTCTACTTCGATGTTCGCAGCCAGGGCTTTGACTACAATGAAGTCTTCGGAGGTTTTAATGATCTCGATTTAGCGCCGTCGTATGAAGAGCTGTTTATGCAGCGGTCTACTGTTGATGATGGCGATTCCTCCGACGATGCTTGGTACTTCCCATTTTCCTTCAAAATGACTCTTTTCAATTTTTGTGTGAAATGTCTGATTTTGAATTTCTTCATGTTGAATAGAGGAATTTGTAGTTTAAGATTTGTAGTTTCAATTTTGTAGGACTCCGGAAGAGGTAGAGTCGTTCTCAGGAGGTGGCACAGAACATTCAAAAAGCCCATGCTTTTCTAATGGCAGAGATTCATACGATTCGATTGAAGGCTGCACAGAGTTCAACATCTCTTATAACAAAGCTAGCCAGATACGTGACGCTAACATGACCAGTGGCGTGATACGTGTAGCTGATCTTGGTGCTGTTCCTGGCTACACCGTTGCAGTTGATGAAACTGGGCCCTCTTCTATTGGTAGAGGTACAAGTAGTACTAAACATGTCTTTGAAGGCAAGGATTGTGCTCAAAAGTATTACTTTGAACCTTTTGTGACTGTTTCTGAGATTGGTTTGAAGACTCATCCTACTGGAATACCACCACCTTCGAGACCACCTCCGGTGTTGAAGAGCGGTTTTAGAAGTTCGGCTTCTAATTCTAATTCTAGAACCACTGGATCAGAAGGGTCTGCGGAAGGGAGTTCGCCACCGTTCTTTGATGTAGAGGTTGATGCAAACTCAGCTGCTGTGAGAGAAGCTATGGTTAAAGCTGAGGCAAAGCTAAAAAGTGCAAAAGAGATGTTCGAAAGGAAGAGAGATGCGGCACGAACAACCACGAAGCGAACCTCCATGAGCAATAGGATGGTAGAGGAAGGGAAACCGAGCCATACAGCTGCTTTGTCTCTGAGGGATAAGCATGGAAGTAAGTCTCTCTCTTCTCAAGGGTCTGCAAATTCTGACGGAAACGATGAGTGGGAAGAGGCTTCACAGTTTGTTGAATTGGTGAGAACAGAGCCACTTAGAAATGCTGATGAGAACAGTGGAGTATCTTTGCCCGTTTATGCCGAGTTCTTTGATCAGAAACTGACATGGGCAGCTAATGTTGACTGGGAGAAACAACAGAGGAGAGCAAACGGAGATAGGGATGATCATGGATCTAAGAAGTTGCCAAAACACCCTGGAACGAGAAAGGTAGCATCTAGGCATAAGAGACATGAGGACAGGGTTGCAGAAAAGGTTCCTGAAGAGCCAAAGAACGAGAAATCAAGACCAATTCGGAAAGCAGCTGAAAAGAGCCAGGAATGTGTGTTTGATTGGGACCAAAATGCGAGAAAGCTTAGGGAGGCTCTTGGTCTAGCAGATAATGAAAGCACGCTAGAAGTCTCCCGGGAATCGAATGGAGATGGTAACAATTTAAGAATGCATGGCGAAACAGATGAGAGTGAGATAAAACTGAACGAGGCCTTAAAGCGGATGGAGGAGGAAACTAGGATTAGAGAGGCTCGTGTAAAGGAAGAAAATGACAGGAGAGAATCTTTTGAGAAGGCAGAAAATGAAGAAAGAGTAAAGGCAGCTTTGGAGCAAGAGGAGAAGGAAAAAAAGCTTAAGGAAGCTCGTGAAAAAGAGGAGAATGAACGGAGAGCGGCAGAGGCTCGCGAAAAGGCAGAATTAGAAAGGAAAAGGAGAGAACAAGAAGAGTTAGAGCTGCGGCGAAAAGAAGCTTTTGAAAAGGAAGAAAAGAACCGTAGAATGAGAGAGGCTCGTGAGAAGGCAGAGCTTGAAAGGCAAAGGAAAGTTGCACTTGAACAAGAGAAGGAACGGAAAATAAAAGAAGCACGTGAAAAGGAAGAAAACGAACGAAGAATAAAAGAGGCTCGTGAGAAGGCAGAGCTGGAGCAAAGGCTGAGAGAAGCTCTTGAACAAGAAGAGAAGGAAAGGTTGATTAAAGAGAGGGAAGAAAATGAGAGGAGAGCTAAAGAGGCTCTTGAGCGGGCAGAGAATGAGAGAAAGTTGAAAGAAGCCCTTGAGCAGAAGGAGAGAGAAAGAAAAGTGAAAGAGACGCGTGAAAAAGAGGAGAATGAGAGGAAGCGGAAAGAAGCTATTGAGCTAGAAGAGAAAGAAAAAAGGCTGATAGAAGCTTTTGAGAGGGCAGAGACTGAGAGAAGACTGAGAGAGGATATTGAACAGGAAGAGATGGAGACGAGGCTGCAAGAGTCCAAGGAAAGAGAAAGAACACATAGAGAAAATCAAGAGCATCAGGAAAATGAAATGAAACGACATGAATATACAAGTGAAGAAACAGACAAGAGACAACGAGACTCAAGTGAAATGGCAGAAACCGGTGAAACCACCAACAATGCTCATGGAGAGCAATGGTCGAAAGAGAGTCTTAGCGACACTCTAGAAGATGATGAGAGTGGAGACAGCCACGAAGCTGTGAACAAGGTACAAGAGGATGAAGAAGAAGGACCAAGCCAGAGAGAATCTATGTCTGGAGAAGCTTGTCCTTGGAAGGTTTTTGAGAAGAACCTTAAAGATGCCAGCCAAAAAGAAGGAACCAAGGAGCTGGATACTGAATCCGGGTTATTTGGAAGGAATGAAAAGGTGCCTCAGCTAGGTGAAGAATCTGCTTCATTGACTGACAATGTTCAAGGAGGAAAGCTCAACCAGAAGAGCAAAAAGTTTGAGAGCACCATAGATTTCTCAGTGCTCAAAGGAGATGGTGGTATTAAAACTGAAGTTAAAGAAAGATCAGAAGACGAGAATGTCAGAAATGCTAGTGTTGACCGTGATCAAAGGAATCCAGAGGATAGAGGAAGGATCAATGAGACCCGAGCAGGTTTAAACCAAGATGCAAAATTAGAAAGACCTTTGCCTTCTCGAGTATCCGTGCAACGTGAGAAAGAAGCGGAGAGACTAAAGCGGGAAAGAGACTCTGAGATGGAGCGTTTGAGAAAGGTAGAAGAAGAAAGGGAGAGGGAAAGAGAGAGGGAGAAGGATCGAATGGCTTTTGATCAGAGAGCATTGGCTGATGCACGTGAAAGATTGGAGAAAGCATGTGCTGAGGCCAGAGAGAGGTCTTTGCCTGATAAAGTATCAATGGAGGCAAGAGTTAGAGCAGAACGTGCAGCAGTGGAGAGAGCAACCACTGAAGCTCGTGAACGTGCAGCTGAAAAGGCTGCTTTTGAGGCAAGAGAGCGAATGGAGAGATCTGTTTCTGATAAGCAGTTGCAGAGCTCAGGTTTCTTTGGTGAAAGAATGGAAAGATCAGTTTCCGACAAGCAGTTTCAAAATTCAGTCTCGTTTGGTGCTTCAAGGTATCAAAATTCTACTGGTACAAATACTGATGGTGAATCGCCTCAAAGGTATACATCAAGATTAGAAAGGCATCGAAGAACAGCTGATCGTGTGGTAATTAATGATGCTTCTAATTACCAAATACTCGTAGTGAAATGCAAACCGTTGATGTTAATTAATGTTACTGTCATATTGAATTTTCTTAACAGGCTAAAGCTTTAGCAGAGAAGAACATGCGTGATCTTGTGGCACAGAGAGAACAAGCAGAGAGAATTGTACAACCAACAAACCGAAACTCTTCTTTAGCTTTATACAATGCCTTCATCAAATAACAAGAATCATATTTTTGTTTCTGTTTTCCTACAGAGAGTTGCTGAAACCTTAGATGCCGAAGTAAAGAGATGGTCAAGTGGCAAAGAAGGAAACATAAGGGCACTACTCTCGACACTACAATACGTAAGTTTTCCTAATGAACAACATAGAGATCAAAGTTAAGAAGTAGAGTTATTTCTCAAAAATCTGAGTTTTTTTTCTTTCTTTTCTTGTTATGAACTAGATCTTGGGTTCCGAGAGCGGTTGGCAACCGTTGCCGTTAACAGAAGTCATAACATCAGCAGCTGTGAAGCGAGCTTACAGGAAAGCAACACTCTGTGTTCATCCAGACAAATTACAACAACGAGGTGCGACCATTCACCAGAAATATATCTGCGAAAAGGTCTTCGATCTTCTTAAGGTAAACTTCTCCACACAGAGCTCATGTTTCGTAACACTTTCACTACTATCTCTCAACATGAACATTAAAAGAACTGTGGTCTCTGAATTTCCAGGAAGCTTGGAACAGATTCAACTCGGAAGAAAGGTAGAGAGCGTTGTGTTTTTGACTTTAACATTAGTATATGATTTGGGTTTCCTACCTTTTCAACATATTCTTCAAGGTTCGATTTCTTTCTTTAAAATAGTTTGTAAAGTCGTGTGATTCTTGAGTAGTTAAAAAAGTAAATATCCTCTGTTTCAACTAAAATTCCATTGTAATCATTTTTTACTTGCTATAACCTGCTGCAATGGAATTTTTCTATAGTAAAATTTCTCAGCAAAACATAGTTGTTACCCTCTGCCTCATTCATACCTTTTCTTTCATGTGATGCTCAAGTTACATTACTTGTCGTTTATCTAGTTAGCAAAAGCAAATGTAATCTTAACAAACATAATTTAAAACTAAAAATATTTCACTAAAATGACTGGAATACAAATAATTTTATGAGTTCAACATACATATTTTCTACAAGCATTCTAATTTTATAAAAGAAAAGTGAGATGAATTTCTCGACAAGACGCTATTCATTTATTTGACCCACTTTGAACAATAAAAACATGTTCCGCATTTATTTGACCCACTTAGATGCTAAAATCTATTAATGTAATGTAAACACAGTCTCGTGGAAGTAGCTTGATGAGGCTGAGGTCAAAGATTTCGTTAGGAAACACTTGAAAAGTCAAAGAAGCTCGACGAACCCATCCTTGTCATCGCTTAATTTCATAACTTTCTAGAATAAAAAAACAATATTATATTGCTGGACTAATCAAATTCGCAGCCAAAAACTGACCATTTCCACTTTCAAATTAAATAAGTCACAACCACCATAAACTCTCATCACATGTCCATATATAACAACATATCGACGAAACTCTTCTTCATTACAACAACAACAACAACAAAATCATATCTTCACTTCTTCTCTTCACATCATCTTCTTCACTTGTCTATATTTTACACTTAATTTTAACAAATTAAAAGATGTCAATGCTAAGAAGCTTTAGCACGAGGACAAGAAGCCGTCGTGGAGGCTACGAGCGAGTGAGTGATGATTCTACTTTCAGTTTACTCGGAGCAAAGCTAAGAAGATCGACGAGTGTTCCTTACTACGCACCATCGATAAAGCTTGGTGCTGGTGGTGTTCCGACCATTCTCGAGGAGCTTCCACGTCAGAAATCCAAGAAAGTCAAACCACCAACCAAATTCAGCCACCCGATCTTTAGCTTTTTATACGGAAAGAAGAAGAAGTCGACGACGACGAAGCCTGAGTTTTCTAGGTATCTTGAGTATTTGAAGGAAGGTGGCATGTGGGATGCGAGAACTAATACCCCTGTTATTTACTACAAGTAGATGATGAATCTTGGGAAGTAACATGAAAAATCAAGAAAGAGATGAGAGGATGAAATTTTTTAGTTTATTGTTTAATTCAGAAGAATTTACAGCTTTTATTATATGATAATATTTGTATATTATAATCATATCGATTCATTAGTTTGCTTGTAAAAATACAAGTGTTGGAATCAAAATATTATGTTTTTGAGAACAGATTTGATCTGGAAATGATCGGAAACTTCAAAGCATAACACTATACCAGTCAAAAAGTCAAAGGTCAAACAGTATTAGTTTGACTTCATCCAGAACGAAACGGCTCCGTTTAAGGCAGAATCCGAACGTTCCTTTAGTTTCGTGGACCTCAAGGGAGGCTTTCTCTTATTCGATTTCCGAAAATTGGAAAAATTCCAAAAACTTAACCTCCAAAAATGGAATGTACATCAAAATTGTGGGAACTGAATCAAAATTCAAAAATAAACCAGTCTTTGTGGGCTAAAGTAGTACCACCAAGTTTTGGAATTTGGTTAAGAAATTAATCATGATTAATATTGAAAAGAAAAAAAATGTAAAAGAAAGATAGGTCGAATGTATAGAGCGAATGTATGGACCAAAGTCATGATATCCCAACAGAAGCACATAAAATATGTGAATCAAACACATTGTATCTCTATAAAATTTATAATAATGATACACTAAGTGACTTAATATACACATGGCTTTCGTATGCCAATGACACTTGTTAGCTTTATCACACATTTTAAATTGTCTAAATTATTTGGATCTCCTTTTAAGAATTTTAGAAATCTTGAAGTGGACTGATGATGCACCATGGGTATACTCGAGTAATCTCTCCCACTACTATTAATTTCAATCATGACTAGATTATATAGAAAAAATGTTATCAATATTTCGATTATCACAGAGTTTAGTCATGCATGTATCATAGGAACCCTGGTTGTAGCCGCTGAGAGAGCCAGTGGCTCAAATGTAATTACATCTTTTAATATCTGATGATATTTGCATATTATAATCATAAAAAAAAAAGAGTTTTGGAAACAAAATGTTGTGTTTTTGAGTGTTTATTTTGATCTGTAAATGATTGGAAATATCAAAGCAAAAACATTGATAAGTAAGTCAACTGGTTTGACATATATCCAGAACAAAACGGCGCCGTTTAAGGCAGAGTCTCAACCTCCGTTTGGTTACGTGGAGCTCAAGGGAGGCGGCTTCTCTTCTTTGATTTCCGAAAATTGAATTAACCACCCCAAAATGGAATGTTACATCAGATTTTGGGGAATTGAAACAAAATTCGGCAAAGAATCAGTATCTTATATTGAGTTTGATGGCTATGAATCAAACCACTAAAGCGTGTGCATAAACTACAATTGTTTTGGAATTTTTTTTTCAATTGGAAATCAACATGTTTTCAGTGGATCAACATGTAAAGGTGTTTCAGAGCTTCCTTTTTAGGACAAGAACAAATGTGATAGGTCTTATGTCTTCTTTAGCCAACTCTTCATCAACCATTCTACCATAAGTATCAAACAGCTTTTCGAGAATCTCTTCCCCAAAGTGCTGAGCAAGCATTGTTTCCTGAACCGCTCTCACAGTCTTCGCAACCGCCTTACCGTAACTGATATCATCCTCGTTCCCTTTCTCCTTGTCAACTTCCAACATCTCTAACCTCTCTAACTCAAAAGACCCTTCTCTCTTCACTTCACTCTCTATCTCATCAGCACTCGCAGCGTAAAAATGCATCTCGTAAGAATCCAGCTTCTCTTCCTCAGTCTCTCCCTACAACATCAACTTTTCTAATCAAGATCCGTATTTGTGAAAGCAACAGATTACAGATGTATATAAACTTTACTTGTGCTACAAGATCCGCTATGGATCTTGAGAGAAGTTCCCAGAAGAAAGAGTTTCCTCTGTCGATATGGTCAGGACCTTCTCTTCCAAGTATTATGAGTACCATTCTGCCTCCAGAAACCAGCTCTTTCGATCGAAACCGGAGGAAAGTGGAGAAATCTTCCTTGAACTGACTGTAGTAAGCTTTGGTAACACCTTCAGGACTGGAGGAGCAGATATTCACACAGCCTTTGTTTATGGACTTGCCTTGCTCGTCATATATAGCTGGAGGAACCTTGGAAAGCCAGTGTAAGCTGTAAGAGGAGTGGATAAAGTGGATGGTGTTTTCAGGGAAGAGCCTTCCGTAGAATGATCCAGGGTAGGCTGCAATGAAAACTGAAGGGGAATCACCATTATCTCTCTTGACCTCTGTGTGGAAGTCAGGGAAGGACTTGAATATGGTGTTGAAGTCATTTCCAGGGAGATCGTTGAGGAAGATGCTGAATTCCGGCAAGGGCTGGTTTGGGATCTCGAGGTGGTGAGTAACTTCGACGGCTTTGATCATGTCTCTAATGGTGGAAAGAGTGTTTGGTCCTGAAGAGCATCCCAGGTCAGCTATTGCTAAAGTACTCTTTGGTCTTGTCTCTTTGTAGAGTTGTTGCAGTGTCTCTAGCGTTATGTGTTTTGCCTCATCAGATGCTTTCTTCTGCAAGATTAAAACAACAAAAAGGGTAATTAGAAGTCTGCCGGATAATAAATTAACTCAGTGAAATTTTTAGTTTGGAATTTCAAGAACCTGGAGGGAAGAGTTTCTGGCATAACTAGTTTCCCCAGCTCCTCCTGTCATGTGAAACTCTTTTTCTAGATCCTTTTTATCCATCAGATTGACAAGAAATGGTTGAAATCTCACTAATTTCTTGGGTTAGGGTTTGTTCTTTTGGTGTTAGGGAATTTTCTTTTCTTAAAGAAGTAATCTTCGGCATGTCACTTCATTCTTCTATTACCCTATACTTTATTATTTTTGCTGTTTTTGCGTTTTGCATTTTCCATAAACTCTTTTATTTTCTTAATTTATATTACGATATGAGATCTTTCATCATTGTTCATGATTCAACAAATATAATATTAGATGAGATATTTTTCTTTGGGTGGGTGAAATTAGTTTACAAGGAGATATGGTAGGTATAGTCTCTATAGTATTATTAGTGACCAAAAATAGGAAAGAAGAAAACAAAACAATTTATTCAAACTACATCATGATGGCTTCATGTTATGTTTGTACTTTCTTTACTCTGTTCTTGCTATCAGTGCTAGACTCTGTTCCTATCAGTGCTGGACTCTGTTACCATTTCTTGTCTAAGGACTTAAGCTAAATGTTTTCTTAGAAACATGTCTCGACTTGAGTCTATTGGGTATTTCACATCATCAATCACATGGTTTCTCATATGCTGAATTATATGTATTATATGGAATATGGTTGAACAGAATATGGATAAATATAGCAGTAGAGTAATGTAATGTCACAAAACAACATTAAAGAAAAGTGGGGGAAACTTTGGGACAGAATATGATAAAGGAGGAAGAAGATAGATTGACTTTTAAAGGTAGAAAGCTAAACAAAAATGGGAGATGATGATTGGTTTTGTGTGTGACCACCACTTTCCCTCTTTCTTCCTTACTTTTAGGCTTTAGTACTCTTTCAATATCTCTGTCTCTCTTCCTTACCATTAGGCTTTTTTAGTAGTCTTTATTTCTATCGTTCTTATCTTTTAGTCTTTAGTGGTGGTGATGAATGGATGTTGAGTCACGACGAGTGTGGCGTTATGCTTTGTTGAGAGAGATGGGTGATATTTTGTGGTTCTATATGATTGTGTGTTTTGAGGGGTACGCACGCGTGTCACTAGAGGGATTCATGCAAAGCCGTAACGTATCAATCTTTTTTTTTGTGGTTTGATTTTTTATACATGTTCATATGATCCCTCTCTCCCTCTCTCTCTCGTTGCTTACGTCTTGTATTGGGCGAAAAATTAACTCTTTGTTTGCTTTCTTGTTACGTTTAAAGATTTGGTTCTTGATTGTTTCCATATTTTGCAGATTTGGAATTTATACTCGCCATTCCAAGGTTGGTTAATTCTCTCATATACTACTACTTTGGTAAGATTTGTTGCTATTGGCGGTAGACAAAAGTACACCACAAAGTTTTGGAATTTGGTAAAGTCATATCCATTGTTTTGTTCGCACTTCAAATATTCCCATCTAAAGTCTAATTGATATTCCCTTCTATAAGTTTGTTTAATGGTTCCATTATTTAATTTTTATCGACCATCTAAATCTTTCAATAATTAATTTAGGATGTTTTCAGAAGAGTCCCATATTCATCTCCATTTTTCAATTAGTCATCATCAAACTAATCAAGTAGTTAATGTTCACGCTTTACAAAAATGTGAAGTCTATGATATGCAACCCCAATAATTCACCAATCCATCGCATGAATGTTGATGTTAAGGAAATAGTTACCAAATTCGAAATCTTAAAGGAAACTGATGATGCTAGAGCTTTCAGTTTGCGCAATTGATGCACATTATTGTCTCACATCCTCTTTGTTTTTTGTTTTGTTTTTTTCGTTCACGTTTAATGTCGTTTTCCATCTACGGGTTTTACTTTAAATTTCTCTTTATTCACACATTCCATGAACTCATAAATATCATATTTGTTTGTTCATCGTATATAGATTTATATTACTTCACGGCGAAGATGTGGTACAGAGGCTGAAGGTGCACTACGACCTCCGTAGGTGTAACACAAAATTGGGTGGCTCAGTCCGTCGTCTCATAGCTTTGGGGCAAATCAGTGTTTTGGCTATAGAAGATTGAAGAGTGAAGAGTAGAAATTTATATGATATTTTACAATATATATAGAGAGAGTTATATCTTAAACATCGATCAATTGTCCTTATGTTTCTTTTTTTTTTGGACATTTGAGTATAAAACACGGATTTTTATTTCTTTGAGTATTTGGGCTATTTTCAATATTGTAATTTAAAGGAATTGACGATTCCATTCAATTAATGTATTATTCGAGTATATGTTTTTTCAATTCCTTTAAATTCCGGTGTTATTCGGTGAAGAATTTGTAGTTATTCTTTTCAATTCATGTTATTCAATATTGGATGTATTTAGTGGTATTGTAAAATTTGAATAAAATTTTGTAAAAGCTCAATTCTTTCAGTTTTTACAAAAAATAAAAATAAAAAATTGATTAAATTCCCAACAATTACTTACTTCAAAATCCATTAATTTTCAAATTCTTTCTCATTTCCTCCTAATTCTACAAACCAATGGCAATACCCCTAACATTGGGCCGGCCCAGGCGTAGCATTCATTGATATGTGGTCGGATCTTTTATAATTTCCTAATTTGTTTTTCTTCTCCATCCCGGTTTTGAACTTTCCTCGTGATTCAGTGATCTGATTCCAGATCTTTGCCGATAGGGTACTTTTTCATTTGCGGTAATTCTCGATTCGAAATTTGCCAATTTTGTTGTTCTCTGATCTGAATTGGGGAAATTCGTATAATGATCTGAGGATTGGTCGTGGTTCTGTAGGTTGTCCGAAAGTTCGAACTCGCAAATCCAATATTTGTGGAAGAGAAATACGGAGCTCTTTCAATGGCGACGAATCTCGTGGAAATGTATAACGCCTCTTTAAACTGGGTTAAAGTGCTTCTTAATGCTCCTTCAGCTAGAGTTGTTCTGTTCGGCGTCCCAATCCAAGGTTTGATTTCAGGATTTAGAACAATTTTCAGTTTTTTGAGCTATGGTGATTGATTATGAAAGATTCAAACTTTTTCGTGTCATTTCCAGGGCACATTTTCTTGGAAGTTATATTGGGTTTTGTCATCGTCATCCTCCTCTCTCTAAAGAGTTACAAACCCCCCAAGCGTCCGTTAACCGAGCAGGTTCAAATTCTCCAACGTCTGTTATTACTTTGTGTGGTATATTTGATTGAAATGGTATTGAGGCTTTTGAGTGATTGACACTCAGGAAATAGATGAGTTATGTGATGAATGGGTTCCTGAACCACTTATACCGCCGATCACTGACGACATGAGGCATGAGCCACCAGTTCTTGAAAGGTGGAGTATAAAAAAAACTCCTCTTCATCGCCTTTTTTGAAAACTTTAGGCTTAAGGATTTGTTTGTGTTCATACAGTGCGGCTGGACCGCATACAACGGTTGATGGAAAGGACGTGGTGAATTTTGCATCAGCTAATTATCTTGGACTCATTGGACACGAGAAGTTACTGGTAACGTCAAAGCTTACTTTGTTATCTATACGGTTTCTTTCTGTGTGATCAGTTATGCTTAAGATTAGTCTACGCCAGGAATCATGTACTTCTGCGTTGCAAAAATATGGCGTTGGTTCTTGTGGACCTCGTGGATTCTACGGCACAATTGGTAACAACTCAAGCATGACTTTCTTTTTTTTATCTTCCATTTAGCTGACTTCTTAAAGGCTTCTTACTGTTTGATACTTGTGGTTGGCCAGATGTGCACCTTGATTGCGAAAGTAGAATATCAAGGTTCTTGGGGACTCCTGATTCAATCCTCTATTCTTATGGACTTTCCACCATGTTCAGCACCATTCCTTGTTTCTGTAAAAAAGGCGATATCATTGTTGCGTAAGTCCACACGGTTATTAACCTCTTTGTCGATCTTGAAACTCTTTTGTCTTTTTGACATTGGACTCTCATTCTTTGTTTTTTCTTATTTCTCTTAGCGACGAGGGTGTTCACTGGGGGATACAAAACGGACTTCAGCTTTCCAGAAGTACAATCGTCTACTTCAAGCACAACGACATGGAGTCTCTTCGTGCTACCCTCGAGAAAATCATGACAAAGAACAAGCGCTCCAAGAACTTGAGGCGTTACATTGTAGCTGAAGCTGTATATCAGGTTTTGTACACACCTCTCTGTTTTCTTTTTCTTCTCCTCCTGCTTTGAGCTGTTGCGACGCTTTTACCATTTGCTTTTTTGTTGAAAACCACAGAACTCTGGTCAAATCGCCCATCTTGATGAGATTGTGAAATTGAAAGAGAAGTATCGGTTTCGTGTGATATTGGATGAAAGCAACTCTTTTGGTGTGCTCGGCCGTACTGGGAGAGGTCTTGCAGAGCATCACGGAATCCCTGTACGTATGAGTGACAACTGACATATATTCTAGTAGAGACTTATCATCATTTTCTAAATCCGATGATGAAATGATTTTGTTACACATTCTAGATTGAGAAGATAGATGTTGTGACTGCTGCAATGGGCCACGCATTAGCCACAGAAGGTGGATTTTGCACTGGGAATGCTCGCATCATCGATTACCAGGTAAAAGGATGATAAACTAATTACAGACGAAAACGTAAAGTAGACACTTGACACTCTCAAATGCCATTGCAGAGACTTAGCAGTTCAGGATACGTGTTCTCTGCTTCTTTGCCACCGTACCTTGCAAGTGCAGCTATCACGGCCATTGATGTCATTGATGAAAACCCTGATATGTTAGTTAAGCTGAAGCAGAACATTGTTCTGTTATGGAAAGGTTTGATCTTTTCATTTCTTGTTTAGATTCATTGGAGGAGCAATAAAGTTTTCTGTTTTCTGATTACAAAACGTTGGGAACACGCACACGCACAAACGCAGGATTGTCAGATATCAAGGGGATGTCACTAGCAAGCAACCCGGAATCGCCAATCGTTTTCTTGAAGTTAGAGAAATCGAATGGTTCAACGAAAGACGATTTGCTTCTACTCGAGAAAATGGCTGACCGTGTAAGTAAACAACATTGTTTCTTTTGCCAAAACCGAATCTAGACCAGATTTCTTGACATGAGTGGTGGTTCCAATGCAGGCTCTCAAGGAAGACTCGTTGTTGGTAGTGAGTTCGAAAAGATCGTTTCTTGATAAATGTCGGTTACCTGTAGGGATCAAACTGTTTGTTTCAGCAGGACACTCAGATTCCGATCTTCTTAAAGTAGCCGAGTCCCTGAAGAGACTCGCTTCAGAGCTTCTACTCTAAGTCCTGAAACAACACCAAAACTCTTTCAGAGAAACTCTTTCAACACCAAAACAGATTCACACAATCTCAAACTGGTACGCTCGCTCCTTTCAGTTTCACGGGATTGTGGTTTGATCTGAAGCTCTCTGTTGACGAAGGAGGATCCTTGAAGACAAAATGGCTTCTTGTTATTTACATTTATAAAAAAAAGTTCAAATGTTTTCGTTAGATTATCTGATTATTTATTTTTTCGTTTTTGATTCCCTTTTTTTCTACACTTACTCTTGTTGATCAAATAGCGTAGTCTTCTCGTAGAAATTGTAAAACTTTGAATTTATCGGAAACAAAAAAAAAATTCATGGTGTGTTAATGTATTATTGTCTCCTGTGTTTCTTGCAACAAAAGAAGAAGAAGGTTATTCAAAAACCAGTGTTGACACGTATCAGTCTAAACAAGCGTGTGCGAGACAGGATATAGCACACGACCATATTAGCTCATGTTCTGTTCTGTTTCCTCTGTTTCTAATTAGCAGCGTAACAAAAACAAAACTGCGACAAACAAAAAAGAGGAGAATCAATGGTCGACGTTAATGGAGTCGAGTATCCAAAGGAACGATTACGAGAGATTTTCGGACAAATTTCACTCTCCTTTTTATCTTTCTCCATCCTCTCATTTCCTCTTTGCAGAGGTAATTATCTTCTTTTTTTTCTCTCTCCTGTTTCCTTCCTCCATTGTTCATCGTCCCCATGAATCGGTCTCTTGCATGTGTGTGTGTGTCTGTGTGTTTTTGTTACAGATTGAATCTTTTGAAAGTTTTGTAATTGAATTGGTGGTTTTATGATAAAACTTTTATCGTATCATCTCCTTAATCGGAATATATGCGAGATGGGTTTATGAAAGGACATGCATTTTGGGGATTAGATTCTCTTTTATTCGGTTTAGATTCCCATTTTCCTCTGTATATGAGTTGAATTAGATTCCTTTTTTTTTTTGAGGTTCTCTGTTCGTTGATGGAAATTAATCTTGTAACTCTTTGGGGATATATGCAGGAAATAGGCAAGGGCATAGATTAAATAATAAGACACTCCAGGAGAGTGCACCTCCCTCGTGCCCTGTTCTGCCTATTCCATCTATCTGGCAACATCATGTCTTTGGTCCAAGGTAATAACAAAAGAAGCCTTTTTAATTAGTTGTTTGTTATCTTCTTGTTCTTGATGTTTGTGTGTTTGTTTAAGATGCCATGGAGAAGCCGAGGATGGGCTCTTTCAAGAAGAGGAGCTCCTCCAAGAACCTGAGGTACTCAATGACAAAGAGAAGGAGAAGTAGCAAAGTGATGTCTGTGGATATCGAAGATGTTCATGACGCCGAGGAGTTGAAAGCCGTCGATGCCTTCCGCCAGGCGCTTATCCTCGACGAGCTTCTCCCGGAGAAACACGATGACTACCACATGATGCTTAGATTTTTGAAGGCTAGAAAATTCGACCTCGAGAAGACCAAACTCATGTGGACCGACATGCTTCGTTGGAGGAAGGAGTTTGGTGCTGACACTGTCGTAGAGGTTATCATTACTATTATTCTTATTATCATTCATCAAGGAATGTTCTTCTGACTAACCATTTCTTATGTTTGTAGGAGTTTGATTTCAAGGAGATTGATGAAGTGTTGAAGTACTACCCTCAAGGGCACCACGGAGTTGACAAGGAAGGACGACCTGTGTACATTGAGAGGTTAGGTCTAGTAGACTCTACCAAGTTGATGCAAGTCACCACCATGGATAGGTATGTGAACTACCATGTCATGGAGTTTGAGAGGACTTTCAACGTTAAGTTCCCTGCTTGCTCCATCGCAGCAAAGAAGCACATTGATCAAAGCACAACCATTCTTGATGTCCAAGGAGTGGTATGCATCTTCGTATATATAGCCATGTCTTTGCTTTTTCTAGTATGTTGACTAATCTTGAATCTGAACAGGGACTCAAAAACTTCAACAAGGCTGCTAGGGACTTGATCACTCGTCTTCAAAAGGTTGACGGTGACAACTACCCTGAGGTGCGGTTTATGTTTCTATGCTCTGTTATCTTCCACCATCATGAGCTGTATAACTAAAATGTTCACGTGTTTGGCTCAGACCTTGAACAGGATGTTTATCATCAATGCTGGATCAGGATTCAGAATGTTGTGGAACACGGTTAAGTCTTTCCTTGACCCAAAGACCACAGCAAAGATCCATGCAAGTACTCAAATCCTTTTCCTTTTCATCTGCTTATTTTTCTGAATGAAGATAGTTTAAGTAATTTTTAGCTTATTTGAATATTACCAGGTTCTTGGCAACAAGTACCAAAGCAAGTTGCTTGAGATCATTGATGAAAGGTAAGTGAGTCTCTTGATACTAATAAAAGATAATATATGCTATTGAAGAGTACTGAATTTTTCATCTAAACTTGTAACAGTGAACTTCCTGAGTTTCTTGGAGGTTCCTGCACCTGTGCTGACAGTGGTGGTTGTATGCGGTCTGACAAAGGACCATGGAAAAATCCAGAGGTCATGAAGGTGAGAATTACTCTTCTTCTTTCTTCGGATAAGTTCTTAGTTACTACAAACAGAAGCGGCAGCAACATTTTATGGAAAGTTTCTTCTTGGAAACGAACCTGATTTTGCATTTTACTTGCAGATGGTTCACAATGGTGATCACAAATGCTCAAAGAGATCTCAAGCTGAGAACTCTGCTGACAACACCATCTCCGAGGTCTTTCATAATGCTTGAATAGCTTCTTTCCCCTGAATATTCATCACTCCTTCCAATGCTAAATAAACTTATACTCAATGATCTTCCAGGGAAACGAACCTACAACAGATTCGGCTCCTGAAAAGGATGATAAGGCTACTGAAATGGTAGGAATTACAAACCTCTAAGCTCTTGATATCAAGTGTGTGTTCAGTAGTACTTTCAGAAGACTTGATATTCTTTTTGAACTCTAACTCAGGTCCCAGTTGCTCACCCAGCCTGGAACATACCAGAAGCTAAATTTTCCCTCTCAAAAAGTATGATGATTTAATTTTCTTGTTCTTGCATTCATTTTGTTTAGAGTCAAAGTTAGACCATTATGACCTCAACGGTTTCTGTCTTCTTGCTGAGCAGAAGAAGTTTACGCCATCCAAGAGGCGTGCAACAACGCTACAACCGATGGAGGGAGGTCTCCCATTTTCACCGGCGTGATGGCTCTTGTGATGGGTGTTGTGACCATGATCAGAGTCACTAAAAACGTCCCCAGGAAGCTAACCGAGTCAACCTTGTACTCGAGCCCGGTTTACTGCGACGATGCGTCAATGAACAAGAGCACGATGCAGTCAGAGAAGATGACCGTGCCGGCGATCTCAGGGGAAGATTTCATGGCCATCATGAAAAGAATGGCTGAGTTGGAGCAGAAAGTGACCGTCTTGAGCGCGCAGCCAACAACCATGCCTCCTGAAAAGGAAGAGATGCTTAACGCTGCCATTAGCCGGTCCAATGTATTGGAGCAAGGGCTTGCTGCAACCAAGAAGGTATATAACATCAAAACACACGACATTTCCTCCATGAAAGCTTGTTAAAGCTTAATTTTCATATCGATGCAGGCTTTGGAGGATTCTCTTGGTCGTCAGGAGGAGCTTGTGGCGTACATCGAGAAAAAGAAGAAGAAGAAGAAGCTCGTAAGTTTTTATATAGTCTTGAAAGTTGATTTATGTTCAGACTTGAGACACAAGCCATCGAGTGTTGTGAATGCTTTTTTAACTGGGTCTTTGGGTTTGCTTCTTGTCCAAATATACAGTTATACTACTTTTGAGTGAAGAACTATCATGAAGGGAAAGCCTCTTGAAGAAGTAAAGCATCAATGGTGGATTGATTATGTTTGTTTTTTGTATCCAAGGTTAAAAGTCATCAACGCCAATCTTATTGTAAAAATATCAATTTCTTGTTTCTATTATTAAAGAAATTTGACAAGAAAGGCAGTTTTGTTCTTCCACTGTGTATATTATAGTTTCTTATAAATACATGTACATCATCAAATTGCAGTTCTCGTGTGCATGCTTATACTTCTAAATAGTAGTTACTAGAAAATGGATATGCTTAGAGTGATCAAATTCAGTATATTAACCTTTATATTAACTTCAAACAAGAGTCAAGAGCATATCCATTTTCTATTAAGGGAGATGACGTGGGAAGAGATGCTGCATTACCACCTTCCTCAAGCTTAAAATCATGTTTTTTGTAAGAGAATGAAATATGTAAAAGGAAGTAAAATCATCTCTCTAACATTTATTTATACATCTAGTTTGCATTGAGTTGTTGTATTAACCCTCCATGTTTTTTAATCGTTAGGAGGATTATTTATTGAAGTTTTTATTTTTGTCATTTTCTGAATTCATGTCACACAAGTTATCAAACCAACCTTTGAAGTTTGAAGGTTCTTTGTAATCTCAACCAAGCCGGAACTTACTAAACCGGGCCAGATTAAAATCAATTACTGTATTGGGTCGGTTATCACCATCTTATCATATGGGAGGGACCTTCTGAGTCATCTAGAGGGTTTAACAAAACCGATATACAAAACCGATATCCGTCGTGATTCGAATCGGAATCTGCCGGCGATATCCAAATTCAATCCAAAATCGGAAACGGATACGACGACGACGACCCAGATAGATTGTTGGAGGTACTAACTATGCAGATACTGAGGTGCCCATCAAGAGACCACAGCTTCATTCAATTTCTGTTAATCTCTGGTAAAAGCTCGACGGTCGAATTTGCACATTTCGTGATTTTCGAATTTTTAGAGAGCTATTGGAAATATCATTTGGCAAATTTGCAGCTTTTGCATTTGGAGTTTACGGTGCTGCATCTGTGCCCGTCCCTGATTCTAACTGCTACGCTCTTGACAATTCAAGTCGTCTTGTCGATTTTGTATCCTCTTATCGATTACTTGATTGTGTTGAGAAACAAGCTTAGGATCAATTGTTTTGTAAAGAGAGTAAAGGAGTTTGCTTTGTTGCATTAGCTGATTTGAGAGTGTTGTGTGAAGCTGCTTTCTTTAACTTGGTTCGATCAGAGCAGCTGGATCGGTCATCCATTTGAATACGATGGGAAGGTTGATATATACAGTATTCTCAATTTGTAACGTCTTACTTTTCCCATCTTACTTGACTCTAGGTTTGTGTTTTATGGATGTAGGAATTTGATTTGGTGGTTAGATTTTGCAAGGATGTTGAAACAAGAGGACAGGCGGTAAGCTCAATCTCATCATCAAACTTAAAAAAAACGGTGATCATTTCAGGAATAGAAATGAAAAAAGCTTTGATTTAACTCTAGATTCCACAAATGTGCAGGGATATGTTGATTTTGGACGATATGACCCGTTAAGCTACTTTTCGTCTGGTTCTGGAAAATTCGATTTTGTTCAAGTAAGAACCTCACTCTTCTTTACTCTGCTGTTTGGGAAAAGGCATCATAATCAATTGTTGAAGTTGGATAGAAGAGAACTTGCCCTCTGAACATGGATTCACTTGTTAGTGTTTGTTTCCTGATTTGTGAGAGATACCTGTAGGGGTTTTACCACGGCGACCTGTCGAATTGTGAGCTGAGTTATGACAAACTTGGACGTACAGCACAGGTTAGATATTTCTACACAAGAGTTTTCTTTGTCAAAAAATGATAGTCCCTCTTTTATTTTGAGTATAGTTACTATGTTTTATGTTCAGGTCAATATCATTTGTGGGAACTGTGTTGATGGACGCTGCAAAGGTGTGTCTGAGTCTGCTCTTGCTTTCTTTGTTCCATTACAGATGTTGAAATTCCGAATATTTCATAATTCCTATTTTCCTATTTTCAGGTGGACTTGGATGCATATGTAGTGTCACCCAAGATTCAACTTGCAGGTCTGTCTGTATGCTACTATAAGTCTCTGATTATCCAAGAATCGTAGTAGAAAAAAATCATTTTTTTCTTACAATGATGGTATGTTCCTCCTCTTTCCCACTGGTCCAGAGTTACTGTTGAACTGGCTATTCCGTGTGAGAAACCTGGCCCGCGTGTGTTTAAGGGATTCACTGTCGGTTTGCATCCTCGCTCTTGGGAAATTGTAAGTTAAAAAACAAACAAACCCAAGTTTCTAGTAAAAGCTTTTTTCTTTCTTCTGTATTTAAACTTGCTCTGAACATAAGACTCATAGATGGATTCTGTTTTGGATTTTGAGTACTGCAGGTTTATAATGGGATGACACAGTTTGGATTTGAGAAGCACCATCGTGAATTCAGGTATGGAAATCAATCAAGAAACTTTGTTTCTTCATGTTTGATTTTCTGTGTATCCACTTACCTGAAGTGTTCCTGATCTTGCAGTTTCAAGACCGAGCAGACTCATCTTACGCTCTATATGACTGCAATTGCGTCTCTTTCAACATTAGTAGGGAAGCCTATCATCAATGTTTCCCCGGAGAATGGTCTTGCCGTTAAGATAGCTGGTTCTTCCTTCACTGGGAATCATCCAACAACTCTATCACCTTCAACTTTAGTACTCGATTGGAATTGTAATAACTTCTGTTATCTATCTTTTTTTTTCATTGTGCCTTTGATCTTTCAAACTCTAAAACCTCTTTGTATTTGGAAAGGTGAGAAATCTCGTCAGGCTCCATATGAAGTTAATGTCACTATCCCAGTGGATGGTTATGATCCTGTTCAGTTTTTCCTCACAAAACTCTGCGGTGAGCTTATTATACCCTTGGCTTGATCATCTACATGGCATTCCCTTTGAGCTGACGCATACAATTTGTTTTTCTTAAATGATTTCAGAGTACAACCAAGGTAATGAAGGAGGATCAGCGAAAGGATGGGCTATATTCGGAGTTTTTTCCTGCGTGTATGTGCAATCTCTCTCTCTCGAAATCTTACTAACACTTTTGACGGAACCATATTGCACAAATGCTTTGTGATTTCTTTTCAACTCATTGTGTTGATTCTGATCAGATTCCTCGTTGCATCTACACTTTTCTGCGTTGGAGGCTTTATTTACAAGACAAGAGTAGAACGCGTGGTATACTTCAATCCTTCTACTTCTATTCTTGATTCTCTAATTCTTCTCTCACGCTTTATACACACAAACAATCACTGATATGTTCATATGGACGCAGCGTGGAACTGATGCATTACCAGGGATGTCACTTCTATCAGGCTTACTAGAAACTGTAAGCTTTACAAAAATGACTCAAAGTATAGTTTATGGAGACAATTTCTATGTAATCTTATGGCTATGGTCTTTGTAAACAGGTGAGTGGAAGTGGACAAAGCTACTCAAGAACTGAAGAGATCAACAAGGCTTTTGCCAATGAAGTGTCATGGGACCGCTCTTCCTCGTCTTCTTCTCAAGCACCAACACAGAGACCAAGTGATAGAACATATGGAGCCATCTAAATTTGTTGATTGACTCGCAAGAGGTTTCTTTTTCAGTCAACGGTATGGCATGCTGTTGAGCTCTTTTTTTGTTTTAATTTTCATGTTTAGTTTCTAGAATGAGGGGAAAATGTCAAGAGTCAAAAAGTTGATAGCTTCACCTTGAGATTGCTTTTACCTGCAGATTCATATGTTATGAAGGAAAAAGACAAAAAAACAAGCTTCCTTTCTTTGTATTGGTTACAAGAACAAGTATGTGTTCACAAGTCAACAAAGATTGAAACTTTGAGAGAGTTCTTTTTTTTTGTCAAAAGAGTAGTTAGAATCTCTTCCTACTCTCGTCTCTTTCTCACTACACAAAAAAAAAAAGACTTTGACTTTGTCTCTGCAAACATATTGTTTATGGAAATTAACTAATTTCTTTTCTTCTTTTAGATATAGTTAAATCTAGGCCTTATATTGGTTACTTTAGACAAAACGAAAGAAGAAGATTTGAGTATATTCTGTTCATACTTGGTTAAAACATATGATCATTATGGCTTCTATGTTAGTTAGTGAGTGAGTTAGTGACGAGCATTTTTATATTGTTTAGTCAATTGACAAAATGACGCGTTTAAAAAAAAATTGGCAACTGGACTTCATATCCTTAAGTGTCCGCTTAATGAAATCGCATTCTGGCTCAATCAAGATGTCGAAACAAATGGACATGGTGAAGCAAGAAACTCGAATATTTACTTCCAAGGAAAAGAATAGTTAATAGCCTTCAAATGTTGTTATGAGTCGTTAAAATATGGATAAGTATAAGGAAGTCTATGGATTATAAACTCAAGCTTGCTTTACTTTTCCCCCTCCAAATTTCAAAAGTCAAATTGATTTTAAACTACTAAACCCAAAGAAGGATGTTGCTTAGTCAAACTAAGCATGCAATGTTGGTACCAAACCCAAGCTTTAGTCTCTTTTAATCTTCTTTTCTGTAAATTGTTCTACAATTCTTTTTAAAAATGTTTGATTATTATCGTAATCTCAATATAGCTAATACCAACTCCATTTCCTCTTCCTTCTTATTCAAAGTCTCTTCCTATAAATAACCTTCTTCTTCTCCTCTTCCTTAATATCACTCATCATCACAAACTCTTCTACTTTATTAATCTTCGCCTTCTTGAGAAGTAATCAATGGCAAGACTCACTAGTTTCCTCCTCCTTTCTCTCCTTTTCATTTTCCCTCTCTGTCTCTGCGACAAGAGCAACGGAGGCAAACTCTTCCCAGGTTTCTATGCCCATTCATGCCCGCAAGCCGGAGAAATAGTGAGGTCAGTTGTGGCTAAAGCTGTTGCTAAAGAGACCCGTATGGCTGCTTCCTTGTTAAGACTTCATTTCCACGACTGTTTCGTTCAGGTTTGGTTCATTTCCTACTACGTTTTACCATTTTTGTAACTTAAGTTTTCTTGTTGACCAAGGTAACTGTTACATGCAGGGTTGTGACGGCTCTTTGCTACTAGACAGCAGCGGGAGGATAACGAGTGAGAAAAACTCAAACCCTAACAGTAAATCAGCTCGTGGATTCGACGTAGTTGACCAGATCAAAGCTCAACTAGAGAAAGAATGCCCTGGAACTGTCTCTTGTGCTGATGTTCTAACCCTAGCCGCTAGAGACTCCTCTGTTCTTGTAAGTCCCCTCCATAATCTCTGTTTTCTTACACCAAAAGTGAAAAAAGTTAGCTAACTTTGTTTGGTCTTTGGTTTAGACTGGTGGACCAAGCTGGGTGGTTCCATTGGGAAGAAGAGATTCAAGAAGTGCGAGCTTGAGTGGTTCGAACAACAACATCCCTGCACCAAACAACACTTTCCAAACAATTCTCACAAAGTTTAAGCGTCAAGGACTCGATGTCACCGACCTTGTCGCTCTCTCCGGTAAGACTCTTTCACTCTATCAAGGTTGCTTCACACGCACGGATCAAAATAAAAGATATCATATTACTTTACTTGCTTCTCAAGCCACCACTCTTGTTAACTGTTTCTCAGGGAGTCACACCATTGGATTCTCGAGATGCACGAGTTTCAGACAGAGGCTATACAACCAGTCCGGAAACGGTCGTCCAGACATGACATTGGAACAATCATTCGCTGCTAACTTGCGCCAAAGGTGTCCAAGATCCGGAGGAGACCAGATTCTCTCGGTGCTGGACACAATCAGCGCAGCGAAGTTCGACAACAGCTACTTCAAGAACTTGATAGAGAACAGAGGTTTGTTGAATTCGGACCAGGTTCTGTTCAGCAGCAACGAGAAATCTAGAGAGCTGGTGAAGAAGTATGCAGAGGACCAAGGAGAGTTTTTTGAGCAGTTTGCGGAGTCGATGATCAAGATGGGAAATATCTCTCCCATGACTGGTTCTAATGGCGAAATCAGGAAGAATTGCAGGAAGATAAACTCTTGAATTCGTTATATGATGAAAATGTGAGATTTTGGGGAAAGAAATGTGTGACACTTGTTTTATCTTGGTTGGCTATGTTGTTTTTCATTCTGTCATTTGAAGTTTTATGCTGTGTTTATTCTGCTTCGTGTTAAGAGCTATAATTCATCAATCAAATAAACTTTTATTCGGAAATATTTTACAAGAAACTTCGTAAAATGTTGTCTCGGTTTTCATCAAATAATCAATTTCCATTTAATTTAAGAAAATCCTAGAAATAACGTTAGACCATATTTTCTTGTTCGTAAGAAATGGCTGTATAAATTCATTTATTGGTTAATTGGGGATGTAATGCCTATGAATTTAGACGAAAGTAATGTTCAATTTCAGATTGGAATGGCCCAATAAAGGCCCATTTGTATCGCCTCCGGCTAGTTAGGGTTTATGCTTTTTTCTCATTTGAGCTTCGGATGCTCTCTGAAATGAAATCTCCAGCTCGCTTTCAACGAAGCTAACATCGATTTGTTTACCGTTAGAGAGAGAGTGAGAGAAATTGAGCGAGAGACTATGCGGAATCTGCGAACCATCTCCTCTCATTTGTCACGATGTTTCTCGTCGATCGAGACACGCCCAATTTCTGAGAGGTTGATCCCGATCCAATCCCGGAGGTACTCGTCGCCGGCGACGCAATCGGAGAATGTCTCCAAAATCGTGAACGAGCTCTCCAGTCTCACGCTATTAGAAGCAATGGACTTGTCAGAGCTCCTTAGGCAGAAGCTGAACGTCGGTGAGATGCCTGTGATGGCGGCGATGATGCCAGGGATGGTTTTCCCGGGAGCCGGAGCTGGGAAATCCGGAGCCGCAGCCGCCGGGAAGGGGACAGAGAAGAAGGCTGTAGAGAAGACGGCGTTCGATGTGATGCTTCAAGCGTACGAAGCGGCGTCGAAGATAAAAGTGATCAAGGAAGTGAGATCGCTTACTGATTTGGGGTTGAAGGAAGCGAAAGACTTGGTGGAGAAAGCGCCGACATTGTTGAAGAAAGGAGTTAGTAAGGAGGAAGCAGAGAAGATCATAGAGAAGTTGAAGGCTGTTGGAGCCAAAGTTGAAATGGAGTGACCATTAGGTACCACTTTTGAATTCTTGAAAGCAGCTTGAATTATTGAAGTTAATAGTCTTCCAGATTGTGAGCAATGTTATGTATGGAAGGTGTTGAATTGTAGTAGTGGCTATTAAGCCTTAGAATTGAAAAGGAAGAGTATGTTGATTCTGGATTTGCATAAAGTTGCTTGCTTTTGTTCTATGGAACGTTAATTCTGAGCTTGATATTGAGTTTCATGAGGAGCCTTTAGAAGTTTCTTCTGCTCTCTCAAAGCATAAGGTCTTGTTTTCAAAGCGTATAGAGAGCATAAGAAACGATGTTTAGATCTTGTAGTCTACTAAACGAGTGACTAGATTTGTCTAGAAACAACAACTGGTATTAGATACTTTTAGCATCTCTATGATTTCGTTGAACCAATTTGTCTTTCATTTACAAGCTAAAGCTTAAGCCTTTTTGGGTGCAGGTGTTATTTAAATGGAGCATGACAAGGAACAGAGGAAGCTTCTGCTGAGTAGTCTTTCAAGTGTTTATTACGAATGTAAGATGTCATGAAAAGTGGTAGAAACAGTTTTTTTGCCTTGAGTGGAATATACACGAAGGCATGTTACTTGTTAGGAGCAAAGTTCTCTTCAATTGTTCTCTCACTTATTGGTTTGTACTAACCACACAATTGTGGATGATCTCTTGTCAACAGAAGTTTAAAGTCTAGCACTTAATAATAAGAAATCATTGTTGTTTCTTGAATTTCATTTTGTGCACAAGCTTTTTCGTATTGGTTAAACTGCATAAAGAAACTGTTCTTGTTTTGAAGATAGGAGGAAGTGGTCTCAAGAACTCGACCTAAGATCATACAATTGGTTTGCTAATTACAATAGTAAAGGACACATAGAGATGTTTGTTATACTTTGTCGTCGTGGAACCTCCACCTAGTTTCTTTAGGAGATCTTCCATTTTTGCAGTTTTTCAAGTAATGGTCGTTGTCTTTCGGCTTTTGCTGCAAAGGAAGAGGACAATAAAACATCATAAGAAGACTAGCAACACCATGAAAGCCTTACAGAGAAGAGAATACACAACAAAAACACACAAAACCTTGACAGATGAGCTGGAGAGCATTGAGAGAATGCTGAGACAGATTGAACTTAGCCTCATTGCCGGTGACCATGAATCATACAAAACATCTGCGAAACACAAAAGCTCTCTTCACTGGACTTGGAAACAAAGGGCAAAACGGACATTGTGTTTTTGTGTGTGAGTCTGTTTCTTACCCAAACAAATGTGACCGTTGCTGTAAATGTGAGGATGGAGTGGAGCTGGATGCTGGAAGATAACCTGTTTATAGGTAAAAACCATTAGGCTTTTAAGGGAGTGATGCGATGAAATAAGTAGTAACAAAAAAAAAAAAAGGGTTTGAGGAGGAACCTGTGGAGCTTCCATAGGGTAATGCTCAGGAAAATCAACGAGAAGTTGGTAAGTTTCATTGGCATAAAGAGTTCCTGGAGCTCCATTCACTTCAATGATCCATCTTTTTCACACCAAATATTTCAACATTACATCATCCATTTTCGATATTCCAAGGAAAAGAGGATCAATGGGTTATATATACCGTTGGAGATTATCAGAGACTCTGTGCTTGAAACCAAAAGGAGGATTGGTCTGCCACTCCATGAACTCTTTCTGCAGTCGATTTGTGGCGATTTTGGTCAGACCCTAAACACAAAAGAAGAAAATGAGAGATGATCAAGCGAAAAGGAGATACAACAAGTTAAAAAGGCTTGTTGTTATACACAGTTAGTTGAAGAAGCAATTAACCAACCTTGCGAGTTGAATCAGATGAAGTTGTCATTTGTGTTTAAAGTTATTATCACAGTGAGTGTAAGAAAGAGAGAGAGAGAGAGAGTGAGAAGGAGGTTGAGTGTTTTGTCTCCTTAGCCATATCCATGAGGTTTTTATATAGCAGCGTCTTATCATCTTCGTTGCATATTGTGTTTAAAGCGTTGGATCTATGTCCAGTCATCAAGCCGACGTCGTTTTATCGTGTCGGCTCTCTTTTAATCTCCGAGACTTTCCACTTGTGCTGGAGAACCGAATCTTTACCCGCTTTTGCAACGATCACGATCATGATCATTTCAGTTTGGAATATTATAAGATAATAACATTCCAACATCTATTTTCAGAAAATTTGTATTTCCTAAATTAAAAATCCGTTGCTATTATCCGATATTTATGTATATTTTGTTCTAGCCGGTAAATAACTTTGATTTGATATAGATTTATCTTTGTATTGTTTTACCTGTTGATGGATTTATCATCATTCATGTTTATGTTGCTTTCATTGTCTTTTGGCCCTTGTGGTTTTAAATGTGTAAGCAACTTGATTCAATAATTTGATCTTTTTTATATCAAATTTGACTAGTCATTACAATCATGATGTTTGTATGGATTCGCTTCACCTTGAAACAGCAGATGTCCACATTTTACCGTAGAAACTATTGTCTCTGACGAGCCGTTTCGATCAGACCTACTAAAGCAAGGTTTGCTAACAAACGAAGAAAAACCAAAATCAGGTAAAGACTCAAAAGTCTTTTGTGAACAAATCAAGCCAAGAATAGAAAGATATTGTGTAAGAGAGTATTAAAATGCTATCATGATAGATTCTTCTCTTTAGTGTTTTTGGTCCAAATACACTGCAAACTTTGACTTTAAATACACGTAAGATCCATAGGTTTTTTATTCTTTCTTATCCAAGATAATATTAAGATATTAAAAACAAGATGACATAACGACAACAACAAGAAGAAGCATATACACTTTATTTGAGTTTAAAGACTTATAATCACTTGTTTCTTTGTTCCTTTGCATCAATCATATTGCTCAAACTTGGCTGCTCATATTCCAAAGAATCATCTCATCACCACCTTGCATTCGTTGAAACAAGAATGTCAATGATTCCAAAGTAAAAAAGATGATGATTCTTCCACTTTTGACGTCGGAAGAGCATTCATAGATCGATAGATGCTTTTCAATAATTTCGGTGCGTAATCATAAAGCATAATCTTTTATTTACCTTAAGGAGAGAAGAAAGAGTGAGGAAGAACTTTGTAAGGGTTGAGAATTCCCTTAGGATCCATCATCTTCTTAATGGAAACCATTAAATTAACCTGCAAATATGAAAGATTTGGTAAGAAAAGACTGACTCCAAAAGTTCCTATACATAGTTCGATTTATTGTTTGTTGTGTTAACTCACGGTTTCTGGTGATTTGCTGTAGAAAATTTCATTAGCTTTCATTACACCTAATCCATGTTCTGCGCTGATGCTTCCACGGTGCTTTGATGTCCACTCATAGATATAGGGCTCTATCAAACCTAAAATCTGCAAGAAAAGAGTCAATCAGATGAAACATTTGGACATGTTGAAGTGTTTCATGTCGAAACCTGTATTACCTTATCGCTATATTCCGCGGTTGAGATGTTTAAATGGAGATTTCCATCTCCAAGGTGACCATATCCCATAACATTTCCTAAGTCACCTGAAGCATATGCATGTTTGGTTGCAGTTTTCATTGAATCTTTCGGTATTTAAGTGATTATGAAGATATATTACTTACCTAATCTCTCTCGAAGATCATTGACAATATTGTAAATCTCTTCAACCGGTAAGGATAAGTCATATTTGTAAAAGGCTCCTGATTTCTGTAACGCCTCTGTTATACCCTGCAGGTTAATAATATTATGACATTATTCGTCAGTGTAACATCCACATTTCTCAGGGGATATAATAATAGTAGTACTAAGTGTGTATACCTCTCGTATGCGCCAAAATGAGGATGCTTGGTTAATATCTTGAGCGATTACACCATCAGAAACTAAACCTTTTTCAAATGATTTTAACAAGAAAGCTTCAAGTTTCTCCCTGCATTATTAGTTTATGAATCAGACAAAACTCTTTCACATTACTTATTGACAATGTGAAACTCAGATTGATTATTTCCACCTGTCAGAAGTTTCATCACTCCCCGTTGTCTCAATCAGAATATAAAAGTTCTCTGATGAGGAAACCGGATTACGTACACCGTCTAAGTGGTTCAATACCTGGAAATGGAAATGGTTTTAGCAAAAAGCATAGACAGATACACAAGAGAAAGTATCTGTAATGCAAAACAGTTCTTGAAAGCGTACTAAATCCATGGAGTTGTTATCAAGAAACTCGAAAGCGGATAGTATCTCTCCAAGATTTCTCTTTGCTTCAACAAGAATTTTCTGAAACAGAGAGACATTACTTCACTCCCCATCTCATCCAGTAAAGAGAATCCGATTACAAGAGCACAGAAGAAACTGTTGCAAACCTGGCAGCTAAGATAGTCTTTGCACGCAATAAAGGCTAAATTTACAGAAGAGAGCTTTGGTTGAGTGAGTATAGAAACTTTAGTTACAATACCAAGTGATCCTTCACTACCTGTGAGCACCAACATGTTTTAGTCTCTTTTGGTGAAGAAGTGACATCTGAAATCAGTGTACAAGAGCAAGACAGTAATAACACCTACCGATAAACAAATGTTTTAAGTCGTAACCAGTATTATCTTTCCGTAATTTCCCAAGCATGTCAAGCACATTGCCATTTGCTGTGACAGCTTCAATACCTGAGACAAATGAGATGAAGAAGATGAAACCAATGAGATGAAGAAGATGAAGCCAAAGTGTACTTCCGACTAGAACAGTGATTGATTTGATTACCTAAAACGGTTCCATGAAGTGAGCCATAACGGATAAGACGCAAACCACCAGCGTTAGTTGAAACATTTCCACCGATATGACAGCTTCCTTTTGCACCTAAGTCCAGAGGCATAATAAAACTGAGGAAACGTTAATTCTGTTGCTACATCTGATAAGAGGAGATGGTTATATTACCCTTTCGTGTCGAGGAAAGTTGCGAGGTTTTCCAAAATGCATCCTGCTTCACACACCAAGACGCCACTAACCTGAAGGCAGAGCATCAATGGTATCATATCATCAAATATAGAAACGTTTGCAATCTCCATTGACCAGCTCATACACATTTCCATCACAAACTAAGACAAAAGAACAGAAGCAGCGGTTGTTCTGAGTATAAGATTGCTAGTTACCTCATCAAAGGCTAAGACTTTATTCATCAAACCAACATTGATGATCACCTGCAAAGAAGCCACAGATCTATCATATTCCTGATCACACAAAACCTTTACTCATCGCTAATAAACATCAGTAGAGAAAACAAAGAATAGAACCTCATCAAAGACAGGCACACTTCCACCAACAAGACCTGTGTTTCCCCCTTGAGGAACAACAGCTAAACGCCTCGAATCACAGTACTTAAGTATCTGAGACACCTGCATAAAAGTTTAACACCAAGTTTTCATTGTGGTCCAAATATAGTTATGGTAAGATACAGTGGACAAAAGTAAAACCAAAACCTCTTCTGTGTTCTTGGGCAAGAGCAGCAGCTTACTAGAACCTTTGTACTTGTCCATCCAATCTGTATTTGCAGTCTCAAGCCTCTCTTCATCTTCAACCACGTTTTTGTCACCTAATATCTCCTTGAAGTAGCTAACATCTTTCGAATCCAACGACGCAAACAAAGGGTTTCTCTGAATTTGTGAAGCTGACCCAAAACATTTATACTGCTGCATCATCATCCCCAAATTTCTACCAAGCTCTGTGTTATGATGATTCCTAGCATTTGGCTCAAAAATCTTGCCTTTTGACTTGTAACCATTCACAAAGCCTAAACCCATAAATCAACCAAGTGAGTTACAAACTAAAAAATAAAATTTTCTAAATAAAAATCCAATTTTTACATATCCATAAAACAGAATAACAAAAGTCAAACCTGAAACAGAACGAGACACTGAGTTCTCTTTCGATCGGAGATTAATCAGAGATTGACATCCAAATCTTATACAATCTCCCGATCTTCTCCATTTCTGCATCATCATTCTTCTTCTTCTTCTTCTACTTCTTTTACTTCTTCACGTCTTCTTCTTCTTCTCCACTTAAGTCTTTTTCTCTCTTACCACAAAAAAATGTTCGTTGGTTTGATAAAAACTAGAAAGGAGGCTGACATGAAATGTCTATATTACGGTATTACCCGTGTGTCTGGTAGGTAACGAAACGCTGCGTTTTTGTCTGAGTAAGATTTGATCGACTTTGCCTGTAAAATCCCTATCCCCTAGCCTGAGAGCCTCCCGTTGTTCCCTTTGGAGCTTCACCTCCAATGGCGTCTTCTTCTCTCTCGTCTCTTTCCTCCATTCTCAGCAACCCTCAAGGTTGTTCTCTCTGCTTCAAAGCCTCTACACGTCGCGGTCTCTCTCTAGCATTCCTCTCCTCCAAACTAAACCGTGCTTCTTCTTCTTCTTCTTCTTCTTCTTCTTTTTCTGCTCTTCTCCCTCGTCTCACACATAAACCGATCAAGAGGAAGAATGGGTTTTCTCTAGATCTCTCTAGAAGCTTCTCTGTTTCTCAAATTGCTGGTTCCGGTAAGTTTGATGGTCCAAGCCTCCACCAATTCATCTCCAATGCTCAAGCCAACGCTTCTCTTACCCCTCCCCAGACTGATTCAGAGTAAGTCTTCTACTTTCGACCCCATTGCCTCATAGATTCCATCGGTTATGTAGTTCGAATGATCTTAAAGCTTTGATTTTTATTGAATTTTCCGAAAATTGGTGTTTGGTCGAACCTAAAGCTTCGAACTTTAAGAAATCAGAGTGCCGATTTTAGTTTCAGAAACCAATTCTGTCAAATGTTTGTGCCCACCAGTCCATAGATAGTGGAAGCTTTAAACTTTATGTTCTGTTGATTGAATGATGATTGTTCTTGCTAACCTTATGCTAATACTTTTCATTTCGGATCCTTTCTTGCTCTTAGATGCACATTAGACTCTGAGATTGCGTCAAAAGGACGGATTTATCACGAAACATACGGATGTCAAATGAACATAAACGACATGGAGATCGTCCTTGCGATCATGAAAAAATCCGGTTACAAAGAGATAGTGACAGATCCAGAGAGCGCAGAAGTCATTTTCATCAACACTTGTGCAATCCGAGACAACGCAGAGCAGAGAGTATGGCAAAGACTCAACTACTTCTGGTTCCTAAAACGTGAATGGAAGACCAACGTTAAAAGAGGAAGAGCACAGTCTCTCAAGCCACCTAAAGTCGTCGTCTTGGGATGTATGGCTGAGAGACTAAAGGAACAGATTCTAGACTCTGATAAAATGGTCGATGTGGTGTGTGGTCCTGACGCGTACAGAGACCTCCCGAGGCTGTTGGAAGAAGTAGACTATGGACAAAAAGGAATCAACACTCTTCTTTCTCTAGAAGAGACTTACGCAGACATATCTCCAGTCAGAATCTCCCAAAACGCTATCACTGCGTTTGTATCAGTCATGAGAGGATGCAACAACATGTGCGCTTTCTGCATTGTTCCGTTCACAAGAGGTAGAGAGCGGTCACGTCCCGTGGAGTCCATAGTACGAGAGGTTAAAGAGCTTTGGGAGTCCGGTGTGAAAGAAGTTACGCTTCTAGGGCAAAACGTCAACAGCTACAACGATGATTCGTCTGATCTTGACTCAGGTGGTAAGTGGGAGTACAGTGAGGGTTTCTCGAGCAGGTGTAAAGTTAAGAACAAGGGTTTGAGATTCGCTGATCTTTTGGATAGGCTCTCTTTGGAGTTTCCTGAGATGAGGTTTAGGTTTACTTCTCCTCATCCTAAAGATTATCCAGACGAGTTGCTGTATTTGATGAGAGATAGGCATAACATCTGCAACCTCATTCATCTTCCTGCTCAGTCTGGTAACAGCAGAATATTGGAGCAGATGCGTAGAGGATACACCAGAGAAGCTTACTTGGATCTTGTTCAGAAGATCCGGAGTATCATACCGGACGTGGCTATAACCAGCGACTTCATAACCGGTAAGGTTACATAAAGGACATTGCTTTTAAACCTAATCAAAAGAAGGCTAATTCTGGTTTTGGCAGGCTTTTGTGGAGAAACGGAAGAGGAGCATGAAGAAACGCTGAGTTTGGTGAGAGAGGTTGGATACGATATGGCGTATCTGTTTGCATACAGCATGAGAGAGAAGACGCACGCTCATCGGAATTACACGGACGACGTTCCAGAGGAAGTGAAGCAGAGGCGTTTAACAGAGCTCATCGAAGCGTTCCGCGAGACGACAGGTCCGTGTTACGACTCTCAGGTGGGATCGGTTCAGCTGGTTTTGGTGGAAGGACCGAACAAGAGAGCTCCTGAGACGGAACTCATCGGGAAGACGGATAAAGGACATAGGGTTTCGTTTGTGAGGAAGCCTCTGGTTGATAGAGAGTGTCTTCGTGTGAAGAGGAGTCCTGAGGTTGGGGATTTTGTGGAGGTGAGGATTGAGAAGTCGACGAAAGCATCTCTGTTCGGAGAAGCTCTCGCGATAAGTAAGCTTTCGTTGTTTCACGATGTTGGTGTCGATGCTGCTGTTGCGTCTTGTGCAAGTTAAAGAAACTTTCGTTTTTGTTTGTTTCTCGAAAGCCTTTGCATTTTTGTTTTGTATACTTTTCAAAGTTTATCCAACTCAGTTATTTACAGGAGAAATTTTTACTTGTAAAAGAATTTGTAAACGAAAAAGAATAATAGAAAGAGAGAGTTAGTGTTAGAAATGTCAGCAATGAACAGAGGAGAGAGGGAGAGAGAAAGAGAGAAAGTCCGTCAATGGCGATTGTGAGATGTGAGTAATGATTTTGTTTTTCGAAATCAGCGAATGGCCTTTATTTGACTATGACAAGTCAATGTTTTTAGTGTTTCTACTATTCTCTGTTGCTACTTGCTACACTCTTCTTCTATTTATTTTTTTATTTTGATTTTACAACATAAAAGAGATAAAAGCTTGGAGGATCGTTGCACTTATCAAAATAAAAGCATTTTACAATTTTTAGAATGTACTGTTTGTTTCAAGCATGTTTGTGTGACACTGCAACAACTGCAATCGAAAAAATAAATCAAATTTTTGATATGTTCCATAAGCTAGACTGAGGTAGAATTCCTGTTTTTAATAAGAAAAAAAATGTATATGTTGTTGTGACTTGTGATCCATACAAGAACTAAACCTAGTGAAATAAATTCAAAATTTTGTGTATGCAAATTGGTAGCCAAGTTCAAATACAAGACGAAATATTTGGTAGAGAATCCCTGGTAATACATTAAGCGATTACTATTAAATAATAGGGCCCTGATTAATACTATACTAACTTAGAATAAAAAAGGTTCACAGCTCGAAACATTTTAAATTGTCTGTGTGGCTGGCCTAGGCTACAGGTATCAAGAATTTCAAAACAGTCTATGTACTTAATTTCAGTTAGTGAGTTGTTGTTACAAGTTGTAGTCAAGTATTGTTTATACACGCATTAGGCAGAAAGCTTAATTGTGAACCGACCTTTTGATTAACATGTGTACCTCAGCTTTTTATCAGACATTTATTCGATTAATTAATACAGTATGACTCTTGTCACATGTGAAGTAATCACATTCCCCAATAACAAAGTTGGATTTAGCATTTCATATAGTTTAGTTTACGTATTTAATAAGGAGCACGGGGTACATAAATATGAATATCATACAATGGCATTTGCCAAATAAAGTAGTTTAATTGGCACTGATTAACATAATTAATTTTGTGTGGCTGTATGTCGTGATTTATTAAGCTCATGGATTAATCGGCGAACTTATGTTCATCATTGTTTCAAAATCTAAAGCAGATCTTGAATTACATAAATATTTTATTTTTCAGTACATTTGATGCGTGTATTATTTCTTAATTCGATATATAGTATCAACTTTTTACTTTAATTAGTATTTAATCACATACTTTGCTAACAAAGTGGTCCGGCGAAGTGGATCATATCATTGAAATCTAAAATTTGGTCAATGTAAAATATGGAACGGATTCAGTGCCAAACTATATAACCGAGTTACTAACGTTGTTCTACTAATCGTTGAGTTTGGTAAGTTAAAAATGGGTACCCTTAAAAAATCTAAAAGATGTTGTTAATTAGTGACGGTTTTTGCAGTGAAACAACTATAACTCAGATCGTCCTATTGCCGCTTTGCGACGATTTAGCAACTAATTCGTTGTATATGTTGCTGCTAGTCGACTAATATAAAAAAACAGCTTCATACTTCAGAGACGTACAAGAAAATTTCTAATAATGGATAAACAAATACTAGTGAATAGCATATGCATATAAATAAATAAATTGAAAATGAAATAAGGGCAGGGGTGAGAAGTAGCTATCTAATTTCTAAAAATGAGACGAGACAAAACGGCCTAAGCGTGGCGCAATAGCCGTTCGCAATTTCTGTCCCCTCATTTATTCCTCCCTTAACAACATTTTCTTTTCCTCTCCTAATTCATATAAACGTCGACTTAGGTTTGTACATTTTAAAAGGACCCAAACACATATAGATAGATGCATACGAATCTGATTTTTCCATGCATTTTTAAAAAAGTTCATATCATTTCACTATAAATTCAATCATTTTTGGCCATTCGTGTATGCTTTTAATGACAAAAGAAACCAAGTTTTATACTGTAGCATGAGTTTTCAGAAGATAAGTCTACACTTTTGGCTTGAGATTTTTTCTCATTAAAGAAATAACTAACAATGTTGTGATAGTTCTTATATATATATAAAAAAAACTTCGTAACAACAATATATAAAGTCATCAAATGTTAACTACTCATCAATTTTTGGTCAACTCTGATTATTATTTTTGGTATGAGATGTTCTTATATAGAAGGTCATATTTAGTTATAATTAATACCTTTATAATTGTTAGATAGATATGTGATTCTGTGAAGATCCAATTCTAACATATGTGAAACTTTTTTATTTTAGTCAAATATCACAAATTGACTCTAAACAAATTACTCCGTATACTGTACTTAAAGATTTATACTAATTAGATTTTTAGTTATCCTTTAGGTTGAATATATATAGTGTATACAATATATATCATTAATTCCTCTGTTTCGCCCCCATTGAAAATGACATCACCATAGCTTCAGCCTTCAGCCTTTAGCTCTACAAATATTTATTCTCTCACTTTCTCTTCCTGCATGGTTTTTGAGATTTGAGAAACCTAATCCTCTATCATCTATCTCCTCACAATTTTTGGTATACCTACAACTACAATACATGTGTAATAGCTTCGTATGCTTTGGCATATAATTGATTATTACCAAGAAAACTAGTGAAATTTCTTGGTGTGTGTGTTTTATGTATTCGCCGGAAAGAATCCGATCGCCCGAAAATCTCTCTTGGCCTTCTGATTTCATGGAGTATTGGGTGGCCGGGTTCTTGGTTTTAACGGCCGGAATTCTTCTCCGTCCATGGCTCTGGTTTTGTCTTACGAGAGATGAAGATCAAGAAGAAGAGAAAGAGAAGAAAGGAATGATTCCGAAGGGAAGCTTAGGTTGGCCGTTGATCGGAGAAACCCTAACCTTCATTGCTTGTGGATATTCTTCTCGGCCTGTTACCTTCATGGACAAACGAAAGTCTTTGTAAGTCTTTTCTATTAATTACATTAACCAGAAGAATTTTCTTCTGTCAAATCCTTTCTAAAAAAAAAAGTATTTAGCCATTTCTTTTTTAAAAACTTCAAGTAAATTCGAATGAAACTCTTGGACATGACATAACTTTGGGTTATATAGTGATAATTAATTCGTTTACACAAACAACTCATTTGGGGATGCGAATAGATTAATTAAAACTCTTGGACATGACATAATTTTGATTAAAAACAAAAGAACTGACAAAACCAACCTGTCTTCATGTTCTTGGCTATATACAACAGCAAAAGAGTTTAAGGCTTTAAGCGGAGGATCTTGTTTTTTTGGATGATTGAGTTCACTTCATTTCATGTGTCATCTTTATCTCCTCTGAGTATACTATTTTCCTATGTTATTATTATTATATAATACTATGCACTAAACATCTTTGTTGGGTTCTTGGTCGTATTCATTATTGTTTCTTGTATACTAATAAGTTTTTTTTCAAGATGGGTCCTCTTGAATACCCACTGATTTATCGTTTACCTTATTTCATCTCCGTTCAGCTTCTCTATAAGTGTGATAAGATATAGATAAGATAATAGATGCAAATATACTAAATACGATAAGGATTAGTGCAGTGTCGACTATGTTTTTTTTTGTCTAATTGATACTTTTTCGTCTCTAATTATTAGATGTTTTTAAAATAGTTAAAGAGTATACTTATTGAACAAACATGCATTTAGCTACTAGAGTATACTCCACTAGTGTAATTTGATTTTATTTTGTCGGCAGTCTTAACTATTGTTAAGTACATGATTCAAGATTTTAAAACCGATTAACTAGAAAAACAAGACCGATTTTTATTTGTTAAAGGGTAGATACCTATAACCTCGAGATATTCGAGGGGGAGGGATTATAAAAGGGAGGAAGTAGACACAGACGAAATATTTCTTTTTGTAGCCATACACCATTAGCCTACTTCTCCATAGACCTCAGCTTTCCATTTAATTCATCATGTCATCTTAGCCACAGCAATAACTAACACATGCCTAGTAAAGTGCAAATTCATTTCTATTACCATTAAAATCTACTTCCTCCGTTTTTTTAAGATAAATTTTATAGTTTTTTCACACAGATTAAGAAAAAGTTAATTTTCAATCATTAATGCATAGATTTCTGCAATAAAACAACTTTTTTATAATTTTAAACCAATAAAAATCCAACAAATATAATCATTGTATCTTGAAAACTGAAAAAGTGCATCAAAAAGATAAAAATTTTATCTTTGTGAAACAACACATAATGTCTAGAAAATTCATTAAAAAAAAACGGAGGGAGTATAATCTCTTTCACTTTTATAGTTTCTAAAAAAATAGTTATCCGAAAAAAATGCAGGTCTTTATCTATTAAGCGTACAGTTTTCACTTTTCATACAAAGTGTTATACCGTATTTGAATTCGAATGTTGTCGACAATGCATTTTCTTTTAATTGATATTATGTGTTTCTTACGGAAATCTTCTTACATGTAAAAACATATAGATACGGGAAAGTGTTCAAGACGAACATAATAGGGACACCAATCATAATATCAACTGATGCAGAGGTTAACAAAGTGGTGCTCCAAAACCATGGGAACACATTTGTCCCTGCATACCCTAAATCAATCACCGAACTACTAGGAGAAAACTCTATCCTCAGCATCAATGGACCTCATCAAAAGAGGCTTCACACGCTCATCGGCGCCTTCCTTAGATCTCCTCAGCTCAAAGAGAGGATCACTCGAGATATTGAAGCCTCTGTTGATCGCACTTTAACTTCTTGGTCTCAACTTCCCTTGGTTCATGTCCAAGATGAGATCAAAAAGGTATATACTTTGGAATCTGATGAACATTTGTACTTTACAACTCCACATGTTGTATTAGCTTACATGTTATATATCTAGTTGGATTACGTATGTTTAACACACTTTGATTCGTAACCAAAAAAAACTTGTAGATGACGTTTGAGATATTAGTAAAAGCGTTGATGAGCATTTCTCCTGGTGAAGATTTGGACACCCTCAAGCTTGAGTTCGAAGAATTCATCAAGGGTTTGATTTGCATCCCCATCAAGTTCCCTGGCACTAGACTTTATAAATCCCTCAAGGTCAAATATTTTTCTTATACTATATGAGCATTTTTGTATATCTTGTTAGTCACATTGGTACGTAAATTGTATTAGGGTTTAATATTTTATTTGAATTAATCATGCAGGCGAAAGAGAGGTTAATGAAGATTGTTAAGAAGGTTGTGGAGGAGAGACAAGTGGCTACAACGGAGAGGGAGAAATCTCCGGTGAAAGACGCGGTGGATGTACTTCTAAGAGACGTTAACGACGGTGGTGATTCGGAGAAGCAATCTCAGCCGTTAGATTTCGTCAGCGGAAAGATTGTAGAGATGATGATACCCGGAGAGGAAACGATGCCAACGGCGATGACATTGGCTGTAAAATTCCTAAGTGACAGTCCCGTCGCACTAGCCAAACTTGTGGTACGTATTAAAAACTTAACTTTGATATACTAACCTTACACAGCACCCACACGTGCGCGTGCGTGTCTAAATGCATATTGCCGACGTCTGTGAACCGTACGATTTGATGTTTGTCCCCTTGGGGATATATTAACGGCTGAGAATTAATTTAAGAAGTGTGGGACCAGAGTAAAGGGTTTTGACTTTTGTATCCGTGTCAAGTCACTATCGCAAGTCTTCTCGACGAGACACACGAGTACACGCACGTGTAGGAAAGGAAGAGACACGTGAGAGTATATTAGCCGTAGGATTAAAAGTGGAGTGGACGGTTGTCGGCAGAGGACGATTTGTATTAACGCCTTTGTCTGTACGAGCGGCCACACCGCCTGTCAGAACAGCGTTTCGCGTCACAGAAAACGTTTTGTTTATTAATGTTTCAATCAAAACGCTCTAAATTGCGTTTTTTTCTTTCTCATCTTGTTTTTACAATATTTTTTTTAAAAATTATTAATTGTAGGAGGAGAATAAGGAGATGAAGAGGCGGAAATTGGAGTCTGGAGAAGATTACAATTGGACTGATTATATGTCTCTCTCGTTTACTCAAAATGTGAGTCCACTAATTGAAATAAATTAGCAACTATTTTTTTTTTACTAATCAGCTATAGATTGTAATAAGGCCAATCAAAAGGTTTAATCATCTTGTTTTGTACTCCAAAACACAAACAGGTGATAAATGAAACGTTGAGAATGGCTAATATCATTAACGGGGTGTGGAGGAAGGCTCTCAAAGATGTAGAAATTAAAGGTAAGCATGTGATATATTTGGAAACTATCAAGTAGATCAATAGTACCCAAAAAAGCATGTGATTTGGTTTCAGTTTAATAATAGAGTAGCTAATGGGAAGCTAATTAAATCACATGATTGAATTTAAAAGCTTTTCTAGGGTAATAAATTTGATTGGTGGGTGAATGGCAGGTTACTTAATACCAAAAGGATGGTGTGTATTGGCATCATTCATATCGGTTCACATGGATGAAGACATTTATGAGAATCCCTATCAATTCGATCCGTGGCGATGGGACGTACGTGACCATTTCCTATAATTGTATTTCCTCATAATTAAAACATCGTGATTAGTTTAGTTGCTAATCTTTATCTTCTTAAGCAGAGGACTAATGGATCGGCTAACAGCAATACTTGCTTCACACCCTTCGGTGGCGGTCAGAGGCTATGTCCTGGTTTAGAACTATCGAAGCTCGAAATCTCCATCTTTCTTCACCAACTCGTAACCCGCTTCAGGTATATACTAATAAACATGACTTTAAAAAATTACAATATGTAGTTTAGTTCGTAATAGTATTATTGCATCATATCATAACGCATGTTCAAATCTGGTAATATATGTGTGTAAGTTAAAAAAAAAAAGTTTATAAAGTCATGTTTAAATCTGAATAATGTGTTTTTGGTCTACCAAAATATTGACACGTTACTGAGTATCGAATATATTACTTAGAATTTTGTAACGTTTTAATATATTATTAAGCTTTTATATATTTGTATGATACTAAACAATTTGTATTGTTGTCTATATGTATAAGTTGGACGGCAGAAGAAGATGAGATCGTGTCATTTCCGACGGTGAAGATGAAGCGGAGGCTTCCGATCCGAGTGACTCCCGTCGCTATAGGATCTCCGATCACTATTGGATAAAATTAACTAGACGTCCTTCGAAAAGAACAAACTGTTTGGGCGAGAGGAAGCAGAGAAGCAAAAAAATTATATTAAAACAATATAGAGTAGAGGAGGAGAAGAAAACAAGACTGGTGGGTAAGCCAGAAAGAGCCATATGTACAGCTAGTGATGGCTCGAAGATGAGAGATTCTAATTATATTTGTTTGTCATGTCAAATTATAAGCGTTGGTTAGGTTGTCCCTTTCTCTTTTATTTATCGTACCAAACGCAACTTGAGAGTTGAGATATGATTCCATATATACATATATGTAAATTAATATAAAACCTACATGTCGTCTCAGTTGAAATCTCTATCTTAGTTTTTATTCCATGCTCTATTTTCGCTAGTAAAAACTGTAATTGGCATATATCTATATATTGTATAGACTATAGAGTGGTTACTGAAAATGTATCCACCAAAAATAAATTATAGTCTCGATCGATAATATGATGACACAACTCGACGTGTGATATAATATATAGGTGTAGATATATACTAACGTATATGATAGAAACAGAGTATAATATTGGTGGGTGATGATGAGAATAGATTGAAATTTATGGCGGCCATGGTAAGGACAATGCCATGCACGAAAGACGAAACAGGTCCATGGGGAGTACACGTGCATGTTGTGTACCTCGACCCACCCTATAATTATTTCCATTATTATCAAATTTGTGGAGCCTTTTTATGTCATTTTCGACACCGCCGATTTTCAACATTATTTGTATTTATCTGTTTACTTGCGATGGGTTTTATTCATCTACTATGGTGTTATGAAATGGTGTTATGAAATGTTCAAGAAGATTAATGATTATTAAATAATTTTTAATCATGTTGTGGAGATTGAAGAAGTAGACATGCTGATCACACGCGTTTACGTATCAACTGTTTTTTTTTTTCTAAAACAAGTCACATGCAATACTAAAAACTTTATACCATATTTGGAGATACCATGTATGGTTATAGTCTGGCTAGTTGGTATAGAGTTAATTTATATAATATGAAATTTTTGTGTGAAAAGGATTGATGTGAAACTGTTTTAGCTGTGTCAACTGTGTTTCCATAGTAATGCAATAAGACTTTGCAAAGGTATTAAATGAAGAGAGTAGTTTTTATTGTATGAACTATATGAGAATGGATTAAGTATTAAATATTGTAATTAGTCGCTTTGGCCGAGTGGTTAAGGCGTGTGCCTGCTAAGTACATGGGGTTTCCCCGCGAGAGTTCGAATCTCTCAGGCGACGAATACTTTTTGGTTTAAAAAAAGCATTGAAACATGTTTTTTTTTTTTAAAGAACACGAGAATGGCATCTATGTGGTGGAATCTAGAGATACACACACAAAAAGAACGCATTCTGATATTCGACGGGTCACTTTATTTGACCTAAAGCCCAAGTTTAGACTATACTCGGCCCATGGCCTACGTTTATTTCTAAATACTAACCATGTACATTCAGTCTCAAAGTCTTTTGGATTTATTGCTTATGATAGTATATTACATGCATTCAACACATTATCTTACGATTAATATAAGTACCTCGATCACGGGCCTCGACCTCGACCAAACGTGTAAACGAATGATTATCAAGCAGAATATGTTTAAGATTTGTGAAGGATTTAATATGTAATAAGCAAATTGCAGTTGTTAATCCAAGTAATTATGGTGTACGTTAGTATATAAAGATATCTCTCTTTGCTTTAGCAAAAACAAAAAAGATATCTCTTTGCAAGTAGACTTATATATATGAAAATAAGCTATTATTGCTACGTGCTTGTATATGTCTCTTTGCATGGTCAATTCGACCATCGGTCTCGATTGCTATGTTCAACGGCATGGTCCGTCCGTCCGTATCATATTTCTCGTTCCATGACCAAACAACAACAACTGTTCTAGATATTATTAAATAACTATGTCGTCTGTTTGATTACGGATCATGGGTGGAAATACAATAATATAATGGCTCGTAATATTATATTAAAATCTGTAAATGTGCGCTATGATAATGTACTCCACTAAGCTCATGAACATAAGTCTTCTTAATGACCGTTATTATATCGAGTCATGCAAAGCTTTTGTCTAATAAAGATGAACCAATCTGTAAAGGCTATTATAGCATATCATTAATCCTGTTCCAATTTCTGAGATAACGTGGATCGTTAATGTGTATTAGAATGCAGGCGTCACTATATGACTTATATTTTTGATACTACTTCCGTTTTGATTAATTGAGCACTCTCCATATTACCGTGATTAGAGAAACATTTTAGCTTGAATTAATCTTAAAGTAAGATTTTATGTTAATGTTTCTTGCATTCTCAGTTTTGAGTATGGTACTGTCATAGTGTCATGACACTATCAGCATTTAATGTAGTGTTTTCCATGAAACACAAAATTACTCCTTCTGTGTGGGGATATATATTGTTTATGATTGAATGAAGTACTAGATGATGAACTCTTATTTATGAAGCAATGTGTGGTAACATTGTAAATTTATTAGCTCAATACAAAAAATAAATAAAAAATCTCCATCAAGGATACATATCGGTTTCCTTTTTTTGCATGTACTAGCTAGTGGTCCGTAAATGTCGTTGTAATAGTATTGATTGTGAAGATAAATATTTAATGCAAGATGGAAAAAGATATTCACGCGACAGTTTGGTTATAAAAGTTTAGAGTCAATCAACAACGGCAAAATTTAATCATTTGATTGATATGATGAGCTCAACGGTAGAACCTTTGGTAACGGTAATTAATTAGGATTAGTAATTTACAGAAAGTCTCATATGCTAAGCAATTATTATGTTTATAAATCATGATTATAAATTCCTGTAGTTCCATAGTGTTGTAAAGGGCTGAAATTGTTTGGCTTAAAGTTTTTCTCTCTTTAGTGAAAAAAAGTTAGGGAAAAAAACAGAAAAAAGGTTAAAGCAAAAAAAAAAGGTAAAAAAGCGACATGAAAAGGATCGCAAGAAAGAGTCAAAGGCGCGAAAGTTAACGAACATTAACGTGGCGCCAAATCAAGTGTCAGGATCCGACCGAGATTCCTTATTCACCGAGTGGTTAAAAAATAAGTTACAGTTACATCGGCGTCAGTGTGAAACTGTGTGAATCTGTATTCTGATTACGTCCAGACGCGTGAGTGCGTGACGTACTGACATTAAGCTTGCAAATTTAAGGATTGGTTTTCTTTTTTTTGTCACACGATTTTTTTGTTCTCGTAGTAATAATCACTATTCGAATATTTTCTAAATTGTTAGTTAAATCATGCTATGAAAGTATATAGATATATATTGTGTTACATTTACATTTGAATAGTAACGTAAATATGGCTATTGGTTAAGAGAATAAAAGTTGATGCTTCAAGATATGGTTATGGAGAATGATGTATTTCTAGCATTACATAGGTCCATATTGAACGTACAAGAATGAAAATCTAACTTTATTGTATTGGGAACAAGCGAAGGATCGGAAACTCGACAGCGTAATCTCAATCCGGTGAGAGGCGTGTGAAAATCGCCTTTCTCCTCGAATTTTAAAAATGTCCTCCCATATAGCTTTATAAATGAATAAAATGTAGCTCAACAAAAAGATACTATAATAGTAGAATAAGAAAATAACAACTCAAGAGAAACGGAGTGAGGAATCTGTGGTTCTCGAGAGTTCCAAGCCAATGAGAGCCGAAATAAAAGGGACGGATGTAAACGAGGGTGCGTGTGTGGTTCCATAACTCATACTATGAAAAAGGACAAAACTCACGCGAGGACACGTGCACCGAAGCTTTTCCCACGTGCCAAAGAGTTCGTCTTCGTTCACACTTCACACACCGAACCACGATGGGTGGTAACAAAAGTAGGACCCTAAAGCACCATCCTCCTACACCTAAACTAAACGACATTTGCATTTACATATAGAGGTTTACTGATTAAGGCTGGTGCTTTCTCTTTCGGGGTAGAATAGGGTTGGTGACTATCTAACTAAAATTTAACCACCACTTAAGATCTGTGTTCTAAAACTCGGGTTCCGCGGCCGCTTATGCGGAGGCTCGGCGCTCGGCGGTCGGACTCCGCCTCGATTTCATCATATTCGGTCAACTAATTGGAAAACTTGAAAGAATTTGTGTTTTCTTAGATTTAAAGTCCAAAATCGTATGTTATTGTGTAGATCTGTTAGATTGGGATGAAAACCACAAGAAAAACAATCAAAATCGTCAAACAGAAACAAAAGCTGCGTGATTTAGGTTGCAGAAGTAGCCTCCAAAAGGAGGGAGACGAGGACAAAATCGTCAATACACATTCATTAAAGTCAAACAGGAAAAAAATGACAAAAATAATGTCAATGAGATTCGAACTGTCGACCATTTTATAATAAGAGAAGGCACCAACCATCTCGCTGTATACAGCTTATGGAATATGTTGCGCAATCTACTATATATTACCTACATATGTAAAAAAAAATTCCGAGTACTCCCCGACTTATTTCCGAGTTTTGCAAAAATCGCTACTCCCACACCAAGCACCCTGATAACACCCAGCGAGATTTAGAACACAGCTTAAGATAATACATTGAAGTAAACTTTAACGGCATTTCTCTGATATAAAATAAGACTACTATAACGTTTACAAAGAGAAATGACTCAAATATATCACAATAAAGAGTTTGATACTGTTTATTATGTGTAACTAGTATCACAATAAATAGTTTGAGACTGTTTATAATGTGTAATATATAGGTTAATTAAGTTATTAATTAGTAATGTTGAGACAAGATTAACAAAGGATGTAATGAGATGATATGATGCCAACAAAATATTTTTTAAAACAAAAATGATGAGATTCTTCTACTTGTTAATTTGTTCATATCCAAAATTACAAGCACTGGAATAAAAACCTTAACAAAAGTGAGACCACAAGGGGTGCAGCAAGGAAGTGGGGCTGCCGTGTAGTTTAGGTAAAGCGTAAAGCAACTGCATGCCGGTTTGCCCCACTCTTATATGCCTTCATTTCGTTTATGTCTTCTTTTCCGCACTTCACGCCGTCGGAACATTAATTAGATCACTTAAGGTTTAATACAAATCCTTAGTCTCTCAAATTCTTATAGTTAATCATCCTATGGGGACACCAAGACCTGGAAATCTTGACATTCAGATTTATTTGATGACTGAAAATCAGGATTTAAATAGATTAATTAGTTAACTATCTTTATGTCGAGACTTTATTTTGACCACTTAGGTCCACTAATAATTAAAAATCTCTATTATTCGTTATTGTATCGCATTATATACAAATAAATAAATTGAAAAATCAACGATCTCAAATGTGTCATATACATACACAATGAAATTGAATAAGTTACACGATCATAGTTACTACAGTATTCAAATTCAGTTCTAATGACCTTATACAAACTTATGGAAAGAATGCAAAAATGTAGCTACAATTTATGAGTTTCAAAACAGTATATAATTTGATTTGACATGATGGTATACGAAAGAAAAATAATTGACATGATTAAATAGAATTTACAATAGCACGATTCAACAAGAAAATTAGATATCTCCGAGCATCAGAAAAGCTGGTTGATTCTATCGAATCGCATCTGATTACAAATCTGACCAGAACTCAAAAACAAAGCCATTATTTAAAACAGTTTTAGAATAATAAAAGAGATAGCTTAAGTGAAAGTTGTATATGTCGGACCGTACGTTCTGAGAGTGTTCTCAGTGTCACTTCTCTTTATTTTCTTTCCATTATTCTGGTTCACAATTATTTATGAAGTTCCTAAAATACCCCTAGTCAACCTAAGCAATCACGAGTCAAACCCATTAACGCAGACTACTGTCGGTGTCGGTGGGTGATAAAATTGGAACTTTACCATCTGAACAGAAAATAGCGCAATCACACACATGTTTACGTGATTACTTAATTAAACAGTCAGTGTCTTACTGCTAAATCCTTGATTAAGGAAGCATCCTTAACTAATCTCAAGTAGGCTGATGGATTTGAACTCTCATCGGATCCAAGAACCCAAGATATATATCTAACTGATTTTCAAGGAAACTTTTACCAAGAAAAAACTGTAAAATATAACAAATCCAACAAATTTATAACGCACTGAGCTTTGCTTAAGCCGTTGGATCTTTCAATTTTATGATGTTATATATGTTTACAAACAAACGATGATAATAGACCACACACTAAACCAGTAAACTCCCTCAAACTTACAAAGTCATTTACAAGCTTACATTCGGATACGATTACACGAAAGACCACAAAACTACAAGAGATATTCGTTGGAAAAACTTTAATGGATGAATTTAATAAGCTACAAGTCTGTACATATGTAGATGACAGGTACACTGTGATTTGGAAGTGGAAGACACATGTACGATGTGAATCCATATTGCGACGACTGATCAACACTAAATCAATGTACCAGCCGTACTATCTTTTGTTTTCTTATTATTACTTTAAATCATCAAATCAAATTTCAACATCTACTAATCAAGAAATCAAACCCACACCAATATTCGCACACACACACACTAACATTTCAACATCTATATTTCAATATCCACACACATATTTTGACATATTTTTAAGATTATCAAACAAATAAATGAAGAAAAAACCTCAACTGAAAAAAATAGCGTGATTAGCTGCTTTAATTCAATCAACGTGCCTCTTTTTTCCTTTTTTCCCTATTTTCATAATTACTGACTCTCTTTTTTTATTTGATTCCGTTTATAAAATAGTAATAAAGCAATTTAATAAATGCATAAAAATTGGTGGGAAAGCGTCGGTAGCTCACAGCCACGTAGTTGTGATGCTAGTAGACACTTGTGAAGTGTAATAAAACCTCTTCGTCCTCTCTTCCTTTCCTCTTCGTCTTCCTCTTCTTCCTTCTCTCTCCTCAAAACCTCTTCTTTCACTGTTTCAGAAACAGCAGAAGAAGCTTACAACTCTTCCTTCCTTTTCTCTCTCTGTGAGGACTTGTGAAGAAAGTTAATGTGGGAGATGGGGACTGGAGATTCTGCTTCTCGAGTGATTCTCTGGCTCTGTTTAGGGTTTTTGGTTATAGGCTTTGGATTTGTCCAATGTGGTGTTACTTATGACCGGAAAGCTCTTCTCATTAACGGACAGAGACGAATCCTCTTCTCTGGCTCCATACATTACCCACGAAGCACACCCGATGTAAGTTAGAAAAGCCCTCAACTTTTTTGTTGGGTTTAATTAAAAATCCAAACTTTCTTTCTTGTGTTCTCTGTTTCATTAAATCTGTCAAATGGGTTTCCAATGTTAGTCAATTCTGTGTTGTTAGATGTGGGAAGGTTTGATTCAGAAGGCGAAAGATGGAGGAATTGATGTGATTGAGACTTATGTATTCTGGAATCTCCATGAGCCTTCTCCTGGAAAGGTAACTTCTTCTTACTATTTTTCCTCTCAATTTTGTTCCTATTTCTACTTTTTTTTTTGACAATTACTTCCTCCTCTCAGTACGATTTTGGAGGGAGAAATGATTTGGTGAGATTCGTGAAGGCGATACACAAAGCTGGTTTATACGCTCATCTTCGAATTGGACCTTATGTTTGTGCTGAGTGGAATTTCGGGTAATACCAAACGTCCTGTGACCTTGTCTTGTCAATTCAGATTTAGACGACTCTAGATTTGTCTATATATGTGTGTATATAAACAGTTTCTGTTTGTCAGCTCTAAAGTTGTTGTTTTTTTCCTTTGCAATGACCAGAGGATTCCCTGTTTGGCTAAAGTATGTTCCTGGAATCAGCTTCAGAACAGATAATGAGCCTTTCAAGGTCTTATTTTGCTCCTCTTTGGACTTTCATTATTTCATTTTTACCATATTTGAGCATTTACTTTATTAGAAGTTAGAAACTTGTGATGTTAATGTTCTTGGGGTAATGTTTGCAGAGAGCAATGAAAGGATTCACAGAGAGAATAGTTGAGCTGATGAAGAGTGAGAACTTGTTTGAGTCTCAGGGTGGTCCCATTATCCTCTCTCAGGTAAAAAAAACTTTAATGGAACAGTTTAATTACTCTGAATTTTAGGAGATCTATGTGAGTTAACAGAAAAGTATCATCTTTTATTGGAATGTAGATTGAGAATGAGTATGGAAGACAAGGGCAGATGCTGGGAGCAGAAGGTCACAACTACATGACGTGGGCTGCTAAAATGGCTGTAGAAACTGATACTGGTGTCCCGTGGGTTATGTGCAAAGAAGACGATGCCCCTGACCCTGTGGTGAGTTTCTTCTTCCCATAAGCTTAGTAATAAGTTATGGTTAATTGGTCTGGAGTGGCTGAATGACTTTGAAGACTCAATTGAAAAGTAGTTTGCTTTGGTATTGACTATTGAAACTCATTGGTTTTGGTGACAGATTAACACATGCAACGGTTTCTACTGTGATTCGTTTGCTCCTAACAAGCCATACAAGCCTACGATATGGACAGAGGCATGGAGCGGATGGTACAGATTCTCATTTGCTTTTAACTTTGTAGCTGTTCATGGACTTTTCATCTTCAAATTAATAACCTTTTTTTTTATCTTTTTGCATTGTGAAATGTATCATAAAGGTTTACCGAGTTCGGTGGACCAATGCACCATAGACCAGTTCAGGATCTTGCGTTTGCGGTTGCACGTTTCATACAAAAAGGAGGATCCTTTGTTAACTACTACATGGTATGATATGTGAATAGTTAACCACTTTGACTAATCATTGGTATAAGATTTGGTTTTCCTGAAGGCAGTGTTTCTCTGTTTTGTTGACAACAGTATCATGGAGGAACTAACTTTGGAAGAACAGCCGGAGGTCCATTTGTCACCACTAGCTATGATTATGATGCTCCAATCGATGAATATGGTAAGGACTGGAAACTAACAAAAGAGCCTACACATTCATTGGAATATAAGATTAATGCGGTGCTTTATGTACTGATTAAGTGTTGTTTAATGTTAATTAGGTTTAATCAGACAACCTAAATATGGTCACCTAAAGGAGCTCCACAGAGCTATCAAGATGTGTGAGAAAGCTCTGGTTTCAACTGACCCTGTTGTTACCTCATTAGGAAACAAGCAACAGGTAAGAATGCATTTGATATAATAAATATGGTCTGGATTAGTTGTAAAAACTCTATGCAGCTTTGACTAAATTCTGTCACTCATTTTCACTGTTTTACAGGCTCATGTATACACTTCAGAATCAGGAGATTGTTCAGCTTTCCTTGCAAACTATGATACTGAATCGGCAGCTAAAGTTTTGTTTAACAACGTTCATTATAACTTACCTCCTTGGTCGATCAGCATTCTTCCTGACTGTAGAAATGCAGTCTTCAATACCGCAAAGGTTAGTGTATATGATTGTTTTGTTCTGAATTTAGGAATTGTGGTTCCTCAAATTGTGTTTGTGATATTTTTCTGAAAGTTGTGGATTTTTCTTTGTTTGATTATTAGGTTGGAGTTCAAACATCAAAGATGGAAATGTTGCCGACAAGCACGAAGAATTTCCAGTGGCAGAGTTATTTGGAAGATCTTTCTTCTCTAGATGACAGCTCCACATTCACCACTCACGGACTCTTGGAGCAGATAAATGTCACGCGTGACACAAGCGACTATCTTTGGTACATGACCAGGTAAACAAAACATATCCCATTTGCTACCTCAACACAATATAAACTTTCCATAGCGTCAATGTGATTTTCTGGCACTTGCTAAACCAACACTTGGAATTTGTATGCAGTGTTGATGTTGGCTCAACTGAATCATTTTTGCATGGAGGAGAGCTACCAACTCTCATCATTCAATCTACAGGCCATGCCGTGCATATATTCGTCAATGGACAGCTTTCAGGTATAGTACTTCCACTAGTATGGCCCATTTATCTTCCATTAGTAGAGTTTCTGATATGCGAAACTCCATATATGAATTGCAGGTTCTGCGTTTGGAACAAGGCAAAACAGGAGGTTCACTTATAACGGAAAAATCAATCTGCATTCTGGAACTAACAAAATTGCGTTGCTGAGTGTTGCTGTTGGATTACCAGTTAGTATTCTTTTAACTCTCTTCCTCTCATAAAGTTGTTTCCATTTTTCTCTTAACCTGATCTTTTTTTCTTTTGAATTATTGAAGAATGTGGGTGGACACTTTGAGTCATGGAACACTGGAATCTTGGGTCCTGTGGCGTTGCATGGGTTGAGTCAAGGGAAATTGGATTTGTCATGGCAAAAGTGGACATACCAGGTGTTTATCAATCTTGTTATCTCTCTCTTGGTTTCCATTTTTGTGCAATTAAGTAGCTTACTTAGCTCTGATTTTTCCTTCAGGTTGGGTTGAAAGGTGAAGCTATGAATCTTGCATATCCAACCAACACTCCCTCTTTCGAGTGGATGGATGCGTCTTTAACTGAACAAAAGCCTCAGCCTTTGACATGGCACAAGGTCAGATCAAACCAAACACAACTCAACAAAGCTTTTTTTTCTACTTTCGAATGTGAGCTAACAGAGAAATCATTTTTCTTTTTCCACAGACTTACTTTGATGCACCTGAAGGAGACGAGCCGCTTGCTTTAGACATGGAAGGAATGGGAAAGGGTCAGATTTGGGTGAATGGGGAGAGCATTGGGAGATACTGGACAGCATTTGCAACTGGTGACTGTAGTCATTGCAGCTACACAGGAACATACAAACCGAACAAGTGCCAAACCGGGTGTGGCCAGCCTACACAAAAATGGTACCATGTGCCGAGATCATGGTTAAAGCCGAGCCAGAATCTCTTGGTGATATTCGAGGAGCTTGGTGGAAACCCATCAACTGTATCTTTGGTGAAAAGATCTGTATCCGGAGTCTGTGCTGAAGTTTCTGAATACCATCCGAATATCAAGAACTGGCAAATCGAGAGCTACGGGAAAGGACAGACGTTTCATAGACCTAAGGTTCATTTGAAATGTAGTCCTGGTCAAGCAATCTCAGCTATCAAATTTGCAAGCTTTGGGACTCCTTTGGGAACATGCGGGAGTTACCAACAAGGAGAGTGTCATGCAGATACCTCATACGCTATCTTAGAGAGGGTAAAAAAGATTTGAATCTTTACACAAAGTATTTCAATCAATACTCTTTTGTGTATATAACCATGATGTGTCTTTTGTGTGTTTTGTTTATATGCAGAAGTGTGTAGGGAAAGCGAGATGTGCAGTGACGATATCCAACAGTAATTTCGGTAAAGACCCGTGTCCTAATGTGCTGAAACGGTTGACGGTTGAAGCAGTTTGTGCCCCAGAGACATCCGTTACCAATTGGAAACCTTGAAGACAAGAGCCATTTGATTACAAAGTGTATAACCCAAACAATACAAAGAAAAGAAGAGAAGAAAATGTAAGCTGTGTTTAATGCATGTGTGTGTTAGTTTGAACAGAAACTTTGTGGGTTTAGAGTAGTTTCAGTTAGTCTGTAGAGTTGTGATGGGTCTCGGGCAATTCCGAGTCTTATCAGAAATGTTTTAGCCACCGGTCACCACCGACCATTTTAACCGGTTATGGAGACCGGGGTTGTTGAGTCTAAATGATGTCAGTTTAATGTTTGGTTTGATGATTTGTCTTTGTAATCACTTTAAAAGGTGCATGTTAGGGGAATGGAGATCCTATTGTGACCCATCAACCATACCTTTCGAAGCGATTTCGTTGTCAATTTATTTTTGTCTACATTTATGATTTATTTTTATCCTTTTGTCTACACTTATGTTGTTAATAACCTGAGCCTAAATTACACAAAAAATACAAAATATCTGCATTATCCTAACAGTTTTATTTTCTTCGAAGTAGGAACAGATTTTTCTCTAAATATTTATTTCGGATATATATAATTAAAAGCATCTTAGAGTTTATACCTAGTCTAACTGTTTTTAATTGAAAAATATGAAAACGCTTTACAAGTTTTATTTTTACGAAACTATCATCATCGAAAATGAATATTCTCTGTTTCAAATTCTTATAAATATATTTTATTTTTTATATTATAAAAAAATTATAGACTTTGTTGGAACCAAATATTTTGTTACTGAGCATATTCCTACACCTCAGAGGATCCGATTAAGCTATATATAAAACTTCACCCAACAAAGAAAACCTCAAAACTCTTAAACCTAGCAAAAACTATCGATCAAAGATGAAAATGATCAATTTCTTCATATTCTCGGTTGTGCTTCTAAGCATCACCACTGTGATTAATGGTGGAATTACAAGCGAATTCGTTCGACAAGCTGAGCCATCGATCGAGATGCCTCTTGAAACCTTTCCCGCTCTTTCTGGTACCAACACTCCTGAACAGGTTTTGATTCTTCTTCTCCTTCGTCTCCTTTTCTTCTCAATTGTCACTTAAATCAAACTATGAAGTTGTATTGATATATTTTTTTGTTTTTATTATTGCGCTTTTTTTTAGGTTCATATTACGCAAGGAGACCATAACGGACAGGCCATGATTATCTCGTGGGTGACGCCGTTGAATCTTGCTGGTACTAACGTCGTTACTTACTGGATCGCTGGTAACGGCACCGACGTACCGGCAAAGAAGAAAGCTCATGGCTCCACGTCATCTTACAGATTCTATGACTATGCTTCTGGATTCCTTCATCACGCCAACGTTAAAGGACTTGAGGTTTGTATACTTTGTCATATTTAACTTGTAACTCAAGTAACAGCATGGACTTCATTTAATTTTCATTTTGGTATCTTAATGCTCTTTTTCTTGTTTTACATGGCAGTACAATACTACCTACATCTACGAGGTTGGTGCGCATCCATCCGTTAGACAATTCAACTTCACAACTCCTCCAGCTGTCGGACCTGATGTTCCCTACACATTCGGCATCATCGGTAATCCACAGATCGATCGATCTTTTGTAAATTAGTTTTTAGAAAAATCATTCTAACGAGTCCATTGTGTTTGTAGGTGATCTTGGACAAACCTATGCTTCTAACGAGACATTGTACCACTACATGGCGAACCCTAAAGGCCAAGCCGTTCTCTTTGCCGGAGACTTGTCTTACGCTGACGACCACCCGAACCATGACCAGAGAAAGTGGGACAGTTGGGGAAGATTCATGGAGCCTTGCGCTGCTTACCAGCCTTTCATCTATGCCGCCGGAAATCATGAAATTGATTACGTTCCAGAGATTGTAAGACTCACTTGATTACTCTATCTAATTCATTTTACTTTAGCTTTTCTCTAAGTACAATTTGAATCTGTATTTAGAGTGAGACTCACGCCTTCAAGCCCTACAAACACCGTTACCCGAACGCCTACAAGGACTCAGGGAGCATATCTCCTCTTTGGTACTCAGTTAGACGCGGCCCTGCTCACATTATCGTACTCTCCTCTTACTCTGCCTACGGTAACAATAAACACATCACTAATGTTTTAATATTTATCTTTGAAAATTTTCTTAAGTAACACGTTATGTCATATGCAGGCAAATACACATCACAATACTTGTGGCTTGATAATGAGCTGAAGAAGAACGTGAACAGAGAAGAGACTCCTTGGTTGATAGTCATGGTCCACTCTCCGTGGTACAACAGCAACAACTACCATTACATGGAAGGGGAGAGTATGAGAATCATGTTCGAGTCGTGGTTCGTCAACAGCAAAGTCGATATGGTCTTGGCCGGTCACGTCCATGCCTATGAGAGATCCGAACGTGTCTCCAACATCAAGTACAACATCACTAATGGCTTGAGCACTCCCGTGTTGGACCCTAATGCTCCGATTTACATCACAATCGGAGATGGAGGAAACATTGAAGGAATCGCAAATAGGTAGATGACCATTTTATTTTTTTTGTTTATTTATTGTTGTTTTGATATATGAAACTTAAAATCTCTGTTTTGTTTATGTCTTTGTACAGTTTTACTGATCCGCAACCTAGTTACTCTGCTTACCGTGAAGCCAGTTTTGGTCATGCTGTTTTGGACATCAAGAATAGGACTCATGCCGTCTACACGTGGCATCGAAACCAAGACAATGAACCTGTTGCAGCTGATTCAATCATTGTGCTTAACCGACACAACCTCCCCAGAGAAGAGACTCCCGGCGTCTAAGATTTGATCTAGAATTTTAGTTATGTTTTATTTATCTTTCTTTTTCTGTTTGGATTTTTTTTCTAGATTCCACATTTTCTTTTCAGCACATTTAATTACTTTGGTTGTTTTTTTAAAAAAAATTGCTTTGAATTAATAAAGATTGTGCTGGATTCTCTCCAGCACTCCCAAAAACCTCGGATCAGTTTGTATGAATATTCTGTTTACATTATCATTTCTCCATTATCTTCTTCTCAGTGTACCATTAATATTCTGCTCAAAAGATATAAATGGCGATCTATACACATTTTCAAGTGTCAATAACAACACTACGATAATGATAAGATCTTTTGTTTGCAGATTTGATGTAGGATTTTAATTAGTTTGCTATGTTTTACATTTTCTTTTTATTTATTTTGGTTTTTTTTTCTTTTTCAAATTGCTTTGAATTAATAAAGATTGCGTTGGATTCTCTCCAGCGTCCCAAAAACCTCGGATCAATCTTTTTACATCATCACATATCCTGTATTTTGTAACAACGATTATTACATATTCTGATATTCAGTTATTAACATATTTTTCTCGATTCTTCTCTAGTCTTACGAACACAAGAAATGTTTACCTTATCAGAATATACCAAACTATAAAATGTATCATGGTGTTTAACCAGTACAATTTCCCGATGGAAGAGACTCCCGGAGTCTAAATCTTTAGTCTTGCAGATTTGATCTAAGATTTTGATTGTTTGACATTTTCTACTTTTATCTTTGTTTTTCTGTTTGGATCTTTTTAGATTCTAAAATTTTCTTTTCAGCACATTTAATATTTTTGGTTGTTTTTATTTTATTTTTTATTAACAAAGATTGTCAAAATGTACTAAAAAATAAAAGAAATCTTATACTATTACAAATTTACGATGCAAAAAAAATTAATGGGCGATCTTTAGCAAAAAAAAAAAAAATTTAATGAATTTTTTTTTAATGGGTGATCGAATAGTAAAAATTATTTACACGCCTTGCTGTTTTCATAATTTAAAAGACAACGCGTTGTCTCACTGGAAATTAGTAAAACAACACGCTTTCCCGTTTTTCCTCTATAAGCCGGGTCGGGGCAACCGTAATCAGTTACTGTTAAACTCGTCTCGATATCGCCGCCGACCATGCTTCCTCAGGCGAAAACTGCAGTCACTGATGTCGTGCTTCTTGACAGTGACAGTGACGACGACGCTAGAGGAGCAGGAGGAAGAAGAGGAGGAGGAGCGTTTCAGAGCTTGGCGCCTGTAATGGAGAATCAGCAGGTTGCAAGTACGATTGCTGATACGACGGTGGCTCCTCGGGAAACCCTAGAATGCCGGAGCTTCTGGAAGGCCGGAGATAACTTTGCGATCCAGAAAGTTGTTACTCCGGCTGCTCCAGGTAATTTCTCCTTCCTCTCTCACACACAGATAGAAGAACACAATTATGGAATTTGGTATTTGAACGAGATGAAATTTGACAGGTATGCTCGAGCACGCTCGCATTCATCCCAAGTTTCTCCACTCGAATGCTACTTCACACAAATGGGCCTTTGGAGGTAAACTAAGACAGAGAATTGTGATTTATCTTTGGCTAGTTTGCTCTTTAGAGAAACAAGATGATCAATTACATATTTTCAGTGAGGTCGAATGAAAATTTTGTGATGAAATTTGTTATTTGTATTGTATTGCAGCAATCGCAGAGCTACTTGACAATGCTGTTGATGAGGTATGCGTGAGGGCTTCTCTTTTTGCTCTTTGTGAGTGAATTGTATTATCTTATAGCATTGGTTTTGGTTAATTTGAATCTTCCTCAGATACAAAACGGTGCTACTTTTATCAAGATTGATAAGATCGATATTGTCAAAGATAATTCTCCGGCTTTAGTTTTCCGAGGTACATTGCGTTTGAATGAATGTGTGATGCCTTTGCCTAACCGTAGCTTTGGATGTTGTTAATGACATGATCTTGCTTTTCTTTTTTCACTCAAAGATGATGGTGGCGGGATGGATCCGGATGGGATCAGAAAATGCATGAGCTTAGGCTACTCATCTAAGAAGTCTAACACGACAATTGGACAATGTAATTTCTCTACTCTGTTAATTGGATATCTAGCTCGTTTCTTGTTTGAATGGTCTTACTTTCTTGGTCTCTAACCAGAGTTTCACCTTTTGTGTGTAGATGGGAATGGTTTCAAGACAAGTACCATGAGGCTTGGAGCTGATGCCATCGTTTTTAGTCGCTCAACTCGTGGAGGGTATTGATATATCTTGTACATATACAATCTGAATTTGGTGTATGCGCTTGGTTTTAACTTTACCATATTTTTATCTTCTCTGTTTTAGCAAGTCTACCCAGAGCATCGGCCTTCTGTCTTACACGTTCCTTAGGAAAACTGGCCAGGATGATGTGATTGTTCCTATGGTAAAATCTTCAGCATATATAGTTTTCTGTTTTCATGGATGAAATAGATTTTTCACTACAATGTATGGAAACTCAAGAATGTGCAACTGTTGTTTGATCTCAAGTGATGTTATCATGTCTGTGATGCAGATTGATATGGATATATCCAACGGTCGGCCCCAACCAATTATCTATGGATCTCCCGAGGATTGGTCTACCAACCTTAACATTCTTCTCAAATGGTCTCCGTTTACAACAGAGGACGAACTTTTTCAGCAGGTTGTTCCTCGTAAAGACTGTGGTTCCTCATGTAATTTGAATGCGGGTCTGTTTTTTTGAATTCCTTTATTTCCATTTTCTGTCCACCAGTTCGAGGATATTGGAACGCATGGAACGAAAGTAATTATATACAACTTGTGGCTCAATGATGAAGGAATCTATGAGTTGAGTTTTGATGACGATGATGAGGTACTTCCACGTCCATAAACGAGTCAGGTCTTTTTGCATAAGTTGAGTTATCTAAATCATTTTCTTTGATATTGGTACAATAGGACATACGGCTCCGAGATGAAAATGCCATTGATGCTAAACGGGTGCATCAGAAAACACTAGAAATAAGATCTCATATTTCATACCGCTTACGACATTCTCTTCGGGTAATTCCCCTGAACATCTTCTTACTTTCATTTTTGTTTTACTGTTGCAAGGATGTTGAAAGACTGACTTTGTTAGTTTCTCTGTCCTTAGGCGTACGCTTCCATGTTATATCTCAAAAAGTTCAAGAACTTCAAAATCATACTTCGGGGAGTCCCTGTGAAGCAATATAACATTGCTGATGAATTCAGATATCCAGAGACTATAATGTACAAACCCCAAGTAGCTACAATGGGATATGTAAGACAAACTAAGACTTCCTCTTTTTCTTCTGCTCTCTGGTTTTATTACATGGAGCTTCAGCTGTGTTTTCATAAATGCAAACAAAACTCTTTACGCAGGCTCTCACTAAGCTTCCTTATTACAGGCTGCCTCTGAAATTAAAGTTGGATTCATCAAGGAGGCACCTAAACTTCCTGTTAGCGGTTTCAATGTCTATCACAAAAACCGTCTCATCAAGGCATGTTTAGATATAGCAGTTATTTCCATGTTCTAGAATATATCTTTAATCCTTAGAAGAAATCTAAGTTTTCCGCCTTTGTACATGCATGGTTCGACTAAGTGATCTCCTTGCACCATTACAGCCTTTCTGGCAGGTCTTTATGGAAGTTTCATCGAGAGGCAATGGTGTTGTCGGTATAGTGAATCATTCTCCTTTGTGATTCCATTGAATATGATATTGTTAAAGGGAAAACGCTGGAGGAGATACTCATTAAGAAAATTCTGTTCCTCAGGTGTTCTTGAAGCAAACTTCATAGAACCAGCGCACAATAAGCAAGGATTTGAGAGGTCTTCTCTATATCTGCGGCTGGAAGCGAGACTGAAAAAGATTATCCCAGAATACTGGTCTCTTCTTCATCTTCAAAACCTTTTACAACCATCTCTCGTTTTTTCATTGATGTGATTTTGGTTCCAATCCTCAACATGTTTGTTTGATGATTACTTTCTTCTTATTATGGAGAAAAAAAACAGGTTAAGCCACTGCCACTTTTTCGGATACCGAACTCAGCATTCGCCTGCAGATATCTCGAAAAGGATAACAATACCTGATCAACCTCCTACTGTCAGTACATTCAACCAAAGACCTTCGCCTTCTGATAAAACTAGTCAAGCTGGTCCGATAATACGTGAAATCAGTCTTAGTAATGGCACGTCGACCCGTACAGTTGCTGTTGCATCGCCACATATGAGACATTCCTCGGGTTTAAGATATAACTTCGAACCCGTGCAGCTCAACGCTCAACCTGCAGCAGCTACCGTAAGTGAATGTTATTTGATGGTTCAGTTTTATTCACAAGTTTGATATCAAAATTACTAAATTGAAGAAATCTTCCCAGGATACTGGAAACATCCTCGGTGGCAAGTCAGCAGAAGAGATAAGCGTGGAAAACTTACAGCTCTTCATAAAGTATATATACTTACACTCAACACGCAAATTTTTTATTTTATTTCTGTTTCATATCTCTCTCTCGGATTCTCAATCAGTTATGTATGTGTTCCTTCTTCAACAGGTGCGAGGAATATATACAGAAAGAGACTGAAATGGAACAGACGGTGAGTTTGATACAGTGGTATAATAAACATCTGTCTGATACATAATACATTGCGTTCCTAACATGGATCATGAAACAGGTAAAGAACTTAGAAAAGGAACTGGAAGAAGCTAAAAGCAAATGTGCACAACTTGCTCTGCTTGTAGATGCTAAGAAGAAGGAGATGCAACAAGCCTAGTTAAAACGGTCAGACTCTGTAGAATCTTGAGAACCCCTGATTTGTATCAGATCTTATGGTGTTCTTGCATTTGCTTAATGGCATCTGCATATGTGTATATATGTAATAGTATTTTACAGAACAATGGAGTCTCTGCTTCATTAGCACCTATACATTGTTTGTTGGGATATATGGCTTTTAATTTATCGTCTCAACAGCAAAACACGTTATGATATCAGAAACCACGTTTTGCTGTTTTTATAGTTAAACCGTCTCTAGCTAGCTGATACAGTATTTCAGAAGACGGCGCGCTGTCTCACTGTAATATCGTGAAACATCACGCCGTTTTTTCTTCCGACCCATATCCAGTCTTTATTAATTTTAGATCGCAAAAGACGGCGCGCAGTCTCACTGGGAAATAGACAAACAACACGCTGTTTTGGATCGCAACAGACGGCGCGCTGTCTCAATCGAAAATAGAGAAACATCACGCAGTGTACTCTCCGATACTGACTAAAAGCTTACAGTTGTTAACCATGGAGGCATCGTAGTAGTGTGACGAACAAAAATCCGTGCGACGCTTCGCTTGCTCGGCGTCGGTAATGTCTCCCAACGCAAAAAATGCGGTCGCTAATGTCGTACATCTTGACTCCGGTAGTGACGATGAAGACGGAGCAGGAGGAAGAAGAGTGTTTCGGAGCTTAGCTTCTCTAATGGAGAATCGGCAAATTCCAGGTACGGTCGCTGATGCGACGGTGGGTAATCGGGAAACCCTGGAGTGCCGGAGCTTCTGGAAGGCCGGAGAAAACTTTGTGATCCCGAATGTTGCTACTCCTACTGCTCCAGGACTAGGTCATCTCTTTTTCTCTCACTCACACAGATAGACACACGCACCAGTATTTGATGAAATGAAATTTGACAGGAATGCTTGAGCATGCTCGTGTTCATCCCAAGTTTCTTCACACGAATGCTACTTCACACAAATGGACCTTTGGAGGTAAAATCTGGCTGTTTTCTGGGAGCGATCAATTAGATTGATTTGTGATTCTCTTACTAGAGAGCTTCCTCGGAGGTGTAGAATGAGAAATCTGTGATAATGAATTTTGACATTTTGTTGTTTGTATGGTAATGCAGCAATCGCAGAGCTACTTGACAATGCTGTTGACGAGGTATGCTTGAGGAGGAAATGCTTATTTCTTAGTTTCTTTTTTGCTCATTGCCAGTGGATTGTTTATATATAGCATTGGTAACTTGCTTTTTCCTCAGATACAAAACGGTGCAACCTTTGTCAAGATCGATAAGATTGATATTGTCAAGGATAATTCTCCAGCTTTAGTTTTCCAAGGTACATTGGCTTTGAATCAATGTGTGATGATTTTCGCTAATCGAGGCTTTAGATGTTGTTAATCACATGATCTTTCTTCTCTTTTTTCACTCAAAGATGATGGAGGTGGGATGGATCCAGATGGGATCAGAAAATGCATGAGTTTAGGATACTCATCAAAGAAGTCTAATACGACAATTGGACAGTGTAATTTCTCTACTCTGTTAATTGGATATTGAGCTCGTTTCTTGTTTGAGTGGTCTTTCTTTCTTGGTCTCTAACCAGAGTTTCACCTCTTGTGTGTAGATGGAAATGGTTTCAAGACGAGTACCATGAGACTTGGAGCTGATGCCATTGTTTTTAGTCGCTCAATTCGTGGAGGGTATTATTGATATATCTTGAACATATGCATACTGGAGTTTTGCGTATGCTCTTGTTTGATGCTTTTTTTATCTTGTGTGTTTTAGCAAATCCACTCAGAGCGTTGGCCTTCTGTCTTACACATTCCTTAGAATAACTGGTCAGGATGAAGTCATTGTTCCAATGGTAAAATCTTCAGCATTTGTAGATTTTATGTAAATGTGCAAGTATTCTTCGTTCTCAAGTGATATATCCCTAAATGCAATAATGCAATGCAGATTGATATGGATATATCCAAGGAGCGACCACAACCAATTATATACGGATCTTCAGAAGATTGGGCTACCAACCTTGAAATTATACTCAAATGGTCTCCGTTTTCCACAGAGGACGAACTTTTGCAGCAGGTGGTGCCTCATTCTGAGGACGAACTTTTGATTCCGATGGTTGTTTTAATGAGCTCTGTTTTATTAACTCCTTAATTTCCATCTTCCGTCCACTAGTTTGAGGATATCGGAACGCATGGAACAAAAGTAATTATATACAACCTGTGGCTTAATGAGGAAGGAATCTATGAGCTGAGTTTTGACGATGATGATAAGGTAACACACACTTCTCGTTATATGACGATGAAATATTTTGTCAGAGGTGTCTTCTGCAGACGACAAGTTGTAACTTTGATGGCATTTTGAGTTTATTTTCTTTGATTCTTGTATAGGACATTCGGCTCCGAGATGAAGGTAGTGATGGAAAGCGGTTGCACCATAAAGAATTGGAACGGAAATCTCATATCTCATACCACTTACGTTACTCTCTGAGGGTAATCTCCTAACTATCTTCTTCCATTTTTGATAGTTGAACTGTTCCAAGGACGTTTGGAGACTCAGTTTATAAGTTCTTCTTCCTTAGGCTTACGCTTCAATGTTATACCTCAAAAAGTTCAAAAATTTCAAAATTATACTTCGGGGAGTCCTTGTGGAGCAGTACAACATTGCTGATGAACTGAGATATCCTGAGATTGCAAAGTACAAGCCCTATAAAACAGCTATGATTGAACAAGTAATACAGTCTGGACTTTCGTTTCTCTTTTTTTTTATCGTTTCGTTACATAGAGCGTTAGGTAATTGTTTGCAGTTTCTCCATTGCATATAATGTATGTTGTTTTCATATGAAAACATTGAGGTTGGTTGAAATTCCGCTAAGCTTTCTTTCTTGTTACAGGCTACAACTGAAATCAAACTTGGATTTATAAAGGAGGCGCCAAAGATTCCAGTTTGCGGTTACAATGTCTATCACAAAAACCGTCTCATCCGGGTACACGCTTTCACATTCCACCAGACAATTCCATGGTCTATTTTTCATCTTTCATATGGCTTTGAATTAGCTGAGATCTCTCTTGCACCTTTACAGCCTTTCTGGAAGGTCACTGCGGAGGGGTCACATCTAGGCCATGGTGTTGTCGGTATAGTGTCTCGTCCATTAAATATGTTTTGTTTGAGGGAAAAACCTGGAGGAGAGACTCATTAACCAAACTCTGTTCCCCAGGAGTTCTTGAAGCAAACTTCATCGAACCGCTACACGATAAGCAAGATTTTGAGAGCTCTTCTCTAGTCAACCGGTTGGAGATTAAGTTAAAAAGGATTCTCAATGATTACTGGTCTCTTCTTCCTCTCCAAAACCTTTTCCTTATCATCTTTTGTCAAATATGATTCTGGTTCCAGACCGCAATATCTTTGCTTGACTCTATTCCACTGCTTGTTATGGAGCAAAACAGGTATAGCCACAGCCACTTTCTTGGGTACAGTTCTTATCGAAAACCTTGGGGTAAGTCGAAAATGACGCCAGTACCTGATCCTCCGCCAACTGTCAATACATTCACTCCTCCGCCTAGTGTCAATACATTCAGTCCTCCGCCTTCGCCTTCTAATAAAGCTGGCCCAATCATACGTGAACTAAGTCTTAGTAAAGGCACGCCAGTCCTTAAAGTTGCTGTTCCACCGCCACATGTGAGAAATTCCAGAAACAACTTCGAACCAGTGGAGCTCAGCCCTCAACCTGCAGCAGCTACCGTAAGTGAATTTTCATTTGATGATTCAGTTTTATTCACAAAGTTTTTGACATAACACAAACTATTTGAAAAAAAATAATCTTCCTTAGGAGGAGGATGCTGGAAACAACCTTGTTGGCAAGTCAGTGGACGAGATAAGCGAAGAGAACATACAACTCTTTATGAAGTATGTACACAAAAAAAAAGAACTCATTTCAGTTTCATATCTCTATTTGGGTTCTCACTCTAGTCCTGATGTGTTCGTTTCTTCAACAGATGCGAGGAATATAGAAAGACAGAGAATGATTTGGAACAGACGGTAAAGAACTTAGAAAAGGAACTGGAAGAAGCTAAAAGCAAATGTGCACATCTTGCTCTGCTTGTGGATGCTAAGAAGATGCAGATGCAACTTGTTTAGTTAAAACCGTTGAAAGACTCTGGAATCTACAGAAGCCTAATTTGATACAGATTTTGGCCGTGTTTCTTGCATGTGCATATATATATATGTAAGTAGCGTATGTATCTGTCAGGCAAAGAGTTAGGATCTAACGCGAGCCTCTAAAGCTAGTTTCTATTTAAAGACATAAGTTCAGATTGTATGAGCCAGTTCTCTTTCAATGTCAACTAAACTTGATAAGGACGAAGAAGTGGTCCTGCTTGTTATTACATACAAATATTATGAGTTTTGTTTTATTTTATTGTGTAGAGTGGGGACACTTACAGAAGCCTGAGAGTTATCATTATGTAGATTTGGTAATTTAATCAAAAAATTCATTAGACAAAGAAATCATTAAATGAACAACGCTGAGGTAAAGCTGCAGTGGAATCTTCAGTAGACAATTATTTTCGTTTCTTAGGGAAAATAATTTGCATCCCAACTAGATAAAATGGATAATGAGTAGTGTGTGTGGAGTGAAGAAAACACAATTCACATCATTACAATAATTTGTATGGACCGACCGACCAATCACTAACATGCATGGACCATGGTCAAAATTTCAACATCTACGTTATTGAGTGAGCCAAGAGCCATACGATCTTTAGTTTTAACTTTATATCCATGCCGATCTTAAAAGTTTAATAGAGGGTAATAATCGATCGAAGAATCACTAGATAAGAAACACAAAAGAAGATATATATTCTTTTTAGACGAAAATGGTGAAGGGATATATACTTTCAGGTTTGGTGCGTAACAATTATTCCATTTTTTAAAACTATATGGTTACTATATGGTTTATGTAGATATCCAATACTAATAGATTAGACTTTACTCTAAAGGACTCAAATATGCCATGTTATTATCAACAAAAAGCCACATTTAAAGGCTGAGAAAACGACAGCCATAACATTATAATATAATTTCAGTTTTCCATTATTGTCTCGTTCTTGTTGTTCGCATTTGCTCCAAATTCTCCAATGTTTTCATGAAGTAAACCATCCCATAATTAAGACCTTCTAGATAATATACACTTACAATTGTTTGCTTTTTCTTTAGCCTCAGCATCTTTTATTTTCCCTCATGAAGTTTGTTTACATTAAAGTTTTTTTCTTTTTGAAACATAGATAGAAGATAAATTAGTAAGTAATACAGTATGGAGTATATAAAAATTGTGAAAACTAATTATTTAGAGTTTCTCTAGATATTGAAGAAAATAAAAGAAAGAGAAGGGAATGATAAGTGGGAGAGGCCCGAGAAGAAGAAGAAGACGTTCGTTGTCTGTCTCTTAAACCAGTCGAGAGGTCTCTCGAGCCCAGCGTTTGCCTTCTCCTTTGTTGCGTTGACTCTCTCTCTCCTTTTATTTTCTTTTCTTTAGCTTTTCTTCTCCATAACCTTCGGACTAGACCAACCTGGACCGGTCCGATCCTGATAAAGCCGATTTAATTTAATTTTGATTTTTTTAGAGATCATATTGATCCGATCATGTCGTCAAGCCAAGGAGTCCACTATTAATTATCGAAAATGCCTAAACAACAACGATATTTCTGGTGATATATGGGCCGATTTAGAATTGACTTAACTTGTATTTTCATTTTTGGGGTTTGATTCGGATGTGACAACACTGGATCTAAAAATAGATTACCAATCCAACAGATGTTTGATGTATACCACATCATCTTTAATTGTACAATCCTAGTTGATGTATGTTAACATCTCAAATAAAGAGTGTTTATTTCAGATAACAAATATCATGTCATTAATAATAGTATTGGATAGAGATAGTTCAAATTTATTAAATTAGTATTTGTTATGTATCCATATAATCATCGGGGAACTCTTGTAACTAGTGTAAGCATGTGAAATCGTAAAATCGTAGCAATATTACCATGCTACGTTTTTTTTCTTTTTTTTCTTAAAGTATTTTGGCGTACGTGAATTAAGCATAACTCAGAATTTGTGTTCCGACAATTCTAGTTGAGAACGCGAATAAAATTATTTCTTATTCGCAAATTTTGTTGCATTATTTTGTTCGTCTTTTATATAGGAAAATTTATATATAATTCACGGTGAAAATAGACGAATACAAAAAAGTACACGTAGGTGGCGCAGTGTTCCCTTGTATAGCCACAGAGTCCAAAGAGTAACATGCTTTTCTATTTTCCTTTTACATCTTTCCTCACTTTTATTTTGTACTACATTTTTTTTAGTTATTCAAATCACTCGATAACGATATTAATATGGTCATTTGATACAATCAATAAAAAGAAAGCCTCTTTTTCACTGCCCCGAATAGCCGAATCTCTCTGTTTCCATAAACTATTCATGGTGAATGATTTTTATATACACTATTCATAGAGTATTAGTCTATTCTTAATAGTTAATCCATCACAAAATCATTAATTTTCTAGTTAGAGAAATAATATAGGCTTATGAATGCAATTTTTTTCCGATAACTATAACATTTTTNAGGAGCGACCACAACCAATTATATACGGATCTTCAGAAGATTGGGCTACCAACCTTGAAATTATACTCAAATGGTCTCCGTTTTCCACAGAGGACGAACTTTTGCAGCAGGTGGTGCCTCATTCTGAGGACGAACTTTTGATTCCGATGGTTGTTTTAATGAGCTCTGTTTTATTAACTCCTTAATTTCCATCTTCCGTCCACTAGTTTGAGGATATCGGAACGCATGGAACAAAAGTAATTATATACAACCTGTGGCTTAATGAGGAAGGAATCTATGAGCTGAGTTTTGACGATGATGATAAGGTAACACACACTTCTCGTTATATGACGATGAAATATTTTGTCAGAGGTGTCTTCTGCAGACGACAAGTTGTAACTTTGATGGCATTTTGAGTTTATTTTCTTTGATTCTTGTATAGGACATTCGGCTCCGAGATGAAGGTAGTGATGGAAAGCGGTTGCACCATAAAGAATTGGAACGGAAATCTCATATCTCATACCACTTACGTTACTCTCTGAGGGTAATCTCCTAACTATCTTCTTCCATTTTTGATAGTTGAACTGTTCCAAGGACGTTTGGAGACTCAGTTTATAAGTTCTTCTTCCTTAGGCTTACGCTTCAATGTTATACCTCAAAAAGTTCAAAAATTTCAAAATTATACTTCGGGGAGTCCTTGTGGAGCAGTACAACATTGCTGATGAACTGAGATATCCTGAGATTGCAAAGTACAAGCCCTATAAAACAGCTATGATTGAACAAGTAATACAGTCTGGACTTTCGTTTCTCTTTTTTTTTATCGTTTCGTTACATAGAGCGTTAGGTAATTGTTTGCAGTTTCTCCATTGCATATAATGTATGTTGTTTTCATATGAAAACATTGAGGTTGGTTGAAATTCCGCTAAGCTTTCTTTCTTGTTACAGGCTACAACTGAAATCAAACTTGGATTTATAAAGGAGGCGCCAAAGATTCCAGTTTGCGGTTACAATGTCTATCACAAAAACCGTCTCATCCGGGTACACGCTTTCACATTCCACCAGACAATTCCATGGTCTATTTTTCATCTTTCATATGGCTTTGAATTAGCTGAGATCTCTCTTGCACCTTTACAGCCTTTCTGGAAGGTCACTGCGGAGGGGTCACATCTAGGCCATGGTGTTGTCGGTATAGTGTCTCGTCCATTAAATATGTTTTGTTTGAGGGAAAAACCTGGAGGAGAGACTCATTAACCAAACTCTGTTCCCCAGGAGTTCTTGAAGCAAACTTCATCGAACCGCTACACGATAAGCAAGATTTTGAGAGCTCTTCTCTAGTCAACCGGTTGGAGATTAAGTTAAAAAGGATTCTCAATGATTACTGGTCTCTTCTTCCTCTCCAAAACCTTTTCCTTATCATCTTTTGTCAAATATGATTCTGGTTCCAGACCGCAATATCTTTGCTTGACTCTATTCCACTGCTTGTTATGGAGCAAAACAGGTATAGCCACAGCCACTTTCTTGGGTACAGTTCTTATCGAAAACCTTGGGGTAAGTCGAAAATGACGCCAGTACCTGATCCTCCGCCAACTGTCAATACATTCACTCCTCCGCCTAGTGTCAATACATTCAGTCCTCCGCCTTCGCCTTCTAATAAAGCTGGCCCAATCATACGTGAACTAAGTCTTAGTAAAGGCACGCCAGTCCTTAAAGTTGCTGTTCCACCGCCACATGTGAGAAATTCCAGAAACAACTTCGAACCAGTGGAGCTCAGCCCTCAACCTGCAGCAGCTACCGTAAGTGAATTTTCATTTGATGATTCAGTTTTATTCACAAAGTTTTTGACATAACACAAACTATTTGAAAAAAAATAATCTTCCTTAGGAGGAGGATGCTGGAAACAACCTTGTTGGCAAGTCAGTGGACGAGATAAGCGAAGAGAACATACAACTCTTTATGAAGTATGTACACAAAAAAAAAGAACTCATTTCAGTTTCATATCTCTATTTGGGTTCTCACTCTAGTCCTGATGTGTTCGTTTCTTCAACAGATGCGAGGAATATAGAAAGACAGAGAATGATTTGGAACAGACGGTAAAGAACTTAGAAAAGGAACTGGAAGAAGCTAAAAGCAAATGTGCACATCTTGCTCTGCTTGTGGATGCTAAGAAGATGCAGATGCAACTTGTTTAGTTAAAACCGTTGAAAGACTCTGGAATCTACAGAAGCCTAATTTGATACAGATTTTGGCCGTGTTTCTTGCATGTGCATATATATATATGTAAGTAGCGTATGTATCTGTCAGGCAAAGAGTTAGGATCTAACGCGAGCCTCTAAAGCTAGTTTCTATTTAAAGACATAAGTTCAGATTGTATGAGCCAGTTCTCTTTCAATGTCAACTAAACTTGATAAGGACGAAGAAGTGGTCCTGCTTGTTATTACATACAAATATTATGAGTTTTGTTTTATTTTATTGTGTAGAGTGGGGACACTTACAGAAGCCTGAGAGTTATCATTATGTAGATTTGGTAATTTAATCAAAAAATTCATTAGACAAAGAAATCATTAAATGAACAACGCTGAGGTAAAGCTGCAGTGGAATCTTCAGTAGACAATTATTTTCGTTTCTTAGGGAAAATAATTTGCATCCCAACTAGATAAAATGGATAATGAGTAGTGTGTGTGGAGTGAAGAAAACACAATTCACATCATTACAATAATTTGTATGGACCGACCGACCAATCACTAACATGCATGGACCATGGTCAAAATTTCAACATCTACGTTATTGAGTGAGCCAAGAGCCATACGATCTTTAGTTTTAACTTTATATCCATGCCGATCTTAAAAGTTTAATAGAGGGTAATAATCGATCGAAGAATCACTAGATAAGAAACACAAAAGAAGATATATATTCTTTTTAGACGAAAATGGTGAAGGGATATATACTTTCAGGTTTGGTGCGTAACAATTATTCCATTTTTTAAAACTATATGGTTACTATATGGTTTATGTAGATATCCAATACTAATAGATTAGACTTTACTCTAAAGGACTCAAATATGCCATGTTATTATCAACAAAAAGCCACATTTAAAGGCTGAGAAAACGACAGCCATAACATTATAATATAATTTCAGTTTTCCATTATTGTCTCGTTCTTGTTGTTCGCATTTGCTCCAAATTCTCCAATGTTTTCATGAAGTAAACCATCCCATAATTAAGACCTTCTAGATAATATACACTTACAATTGTTTGCTTTTTCTTTAGCCTCAGCATCTTTTATTTTCCCTCATGAAGTTTGTTTACATTAAAGTTTTTTTCTTTTTGAAACATAGATAGAAGATAAATTAGTAAGTAATACAGTATGGAGTATATAAAAATTGTGAAAACTAATTATTTAGAGTTTCTCTAGATATTGAAGAAAATAAAAGAAAGAGAAGGGAATGATAAGTGGGAGAGGCCCGAGAAGAAGAAGAAGACGTTCGTTGTCTGTCTCTTAAACCAGTCGAGAGGTCTCTCGAGCCCAGCGTTTGCCTTCTCCTTTGTTGCGTTGACTCTCTCTCTCCTTTTATTTTCTTTTCTTTAGCTTTTCTTCTCCATAACCTTCGGACTAGACCAACCTGGACCGGTCCGATCCTGATAAAGCCGATTTAATTTAATTTTGATTTTTTTAGAGATCATATTGATCCGATCATGTCGTCAAGCCAAGGAGTCCACTATTAATTATCGAAAATGCCTAAACAACAACGATATTTCTGGTGATATATGGGCCGATTTAGAATTGACTTAACTTGTATTTTCATTTTTGGGGTTTGATTCGGATGTGACAACACTGGATCTAAAAATAGATTACCAATCCAACAGATGTTTGATGTATACCACATCATCTTTAATTGTACAATCCTAGTTGATGTATGTTAACATCTCAAATAAAGAGTGTTTATTTCAGATAACAAATATCATGTCATTAATAATAGTATTGGATAGAGATAGTTCAAATTTATTAAATTAGTATTTGTTATGTATCCATATAATCATCGGGGAACTCTTGTAACTAGTGTAAGCATGTGAAATCGTAAAATCGTAGCAATATTACCATGCTACGTTTTTTTTCTTTTTTTTCTTAAAGTATTTTGGCGTACGTGAATTAAGCATAACTCAGAATTTGTGTTCCGACAATTCTAGTTGAGAACGCGAATAAAATTATTTCTTATTCGCAAATTTTGTTGCATTATTTTGTTCGTCTTTTATATAGGAAAATTTATATATAATTCACGGTGAAAATAGACGAATACAAAAAAGTACACGTAGGTGGCGCAGTGTTCCCTTGTATAGCCACAGAGTCCAAAGAGTAACATGCTTTTCTATTTTCCTTTTACATCTTTCCTCACTTTTATTTTGTACTACATTTTTTTTAGTTATTCAAATCACTCGATAACGATATTAATATGGTCATTTGATACAATCAATAAAAAGAAAGCCTCTTTTTCACTGCCCCGAATAGCCGAATCTCTCTGTTTCCATAAACTATTCATGGTGAATGATTTTTATATACACTATTCATAGAGTATTAGTCTATTCTTAATAGTTAATCCATCACAAAATCATTAATTTTCTAGTTAGAGAAATAATATAGGCTTATGAATGCAATTTTTTTCCGATAACTATAACATTTTTTCCCCGACAACATACAGTAGTGACGGTTTTCTAAATGTTTATACATGGGCTAGTCATCACTTTGGAAAGTAGTGACGGTTTTCTAAATGTTCGTGTCTTTTTAACATCAGATTTTTGTTTTGTTTTGTAGATTAGTGTATTTTAAAACTAATAAAAACAAATCGCTAGGCAGCTCAAATAGCATAACACATCGATAGTTTTGATTTAATTTTTGTAGATTATCTAGTATTTATCAAAATTTTGGCGTTTTCTTAAGAAAGATAAAAGTTGTCTTCATTTGATCAGAAGATTAGATACGTCGAAACAATCTAAATATGACTATACTAAATTTTATGTAGATCTATATATACATCTATAACTAAAAATGTTGAAGTATTCGTAACTATACTAGTATTATTTTGGTTTAGGATCATAAATATTTGGTTTTAAATTTGGTGAAGAGAAAAAAACGAGCTACAAATACAATTATGACAAAGGTTTGGCATTGCTTTTTCTTTAATCAAGGTCTGGCATTACTTTTAATTAGGGTAAATGTATGAATAAGTAACATAAGAATCTTGTTTAAAATATGAAAAAATCGTTATTAAAAAGCTAAGTTAAAGTCGATCGAAGAGAGAACCCTAAGGTATCTAGGTGAGCAATTAATATTCTTTGAGTAATACAAAATCCAAACGTATAGTTAAGCGGTAAGATTTCTAAACGCGTGGAATTTCAAATTAACCACAATTAATACGGCTAATTAATACGTACGGACACATGTGCTAACTTTTTTTCTTTCATACTCCCTCTGGTTCAAATTATAGGGGGTTTAAGGTTTTTGCACACAAATTAAAAAACCATTTAATTGTTGTACTTTTTGAAATAAAATATATTTTATCATCAATTTCAAAACATTTCAACCAATGAATAACATATATGCAGAATATAAATAATCTAAAGTAATAAAAACACATTTAATTATACACTAAAACTCTAAAACCCCTTATATTTTGAAACAAAACTAAAAGTCTAAAACCCCTTATATATTGAAACAGAGGGAGTAACTATGAACAAATTATGTGCCATTAACACATTCTCCACGTGGCAAACTCTGGTCCATGGGATGGAAAAAAGAGTGCTAGGACCGATGGATCATCTCCCGTGGGTGTGAGACTGTGAGTCGATAGAGAGAGAGAGAGAGGGAAGAGATAGGAGAGAGAAAGAGTCTTTGTCTTTGTTTAATTCCTTTTACTCCATACGGACAGAACTAGAAGCGTTTTGTTCAGACAAAGCCGAAGTGAGAAGGGGAAAGAAAAGCTTTTCACTTTGGTTTTCATAGAATCTGCTACAACCAAATCAGAGTGTTGGAGAGAGAGAGAGACTTAAATTCTGGGGATGAGCAGAGCAGAGGAAAGAGAAAGCTAAAAGACGCCCATGGCGGCGTTGCAGAAATCTATAGAAAAGAGAAAATAAAGATTCATAAACAGACAGCTTAAATTCTTCTTTCTTACTTCTCTTTTGTTTCTTCTCACTTTCTCTCACTTCAACTACTCATTACCAAGAAAACACACTTTGCTCCAATAGATAGAGAGAGATCTTGGGAAAGCATTTCGAGTTTAGATTCGAAGAGCAAGAAGTCCCACGAGTGAGAAGAGGCTGAATTTTAGTGAGACGAAAAGATTATAAGGAATTCATGGTAATTAGGGTTTTTGAATTATGGATATTATTGGGTCAAGACTAGGGTTTGAAGTGTTAGGTCTTAGGAAATGGCTGGGATATTCTCATTAGGAGGAAATAACAACAACAACGGAGACGAAGAAGAAGAAAATCAACAACAACATAAAACAAATTGGGTTTGGTGTAGATCAAGCACAAACACCAATAATATCAACCCAAGTCCGAGCCTATGGCAGATTCCACCGGAGCAGCAGATGCTCATGCATCATCATCCACAACATCCACAGCAGCAAAGCTTAGATCTTTATCCAGGCCATCAGATCGACGTCTCTGACTTAGCCACCTCGTCAAGATCCATCACCATAAGCTGTCGGGACTGTGGAAACCAGGCTAAGAAAGATTGCACTCACATGCGTTGCAGGACTTGCTGTAAGAGCCGTGGCTTCGATTGTTCTACTCACGTGAGGAGCACGTGGATCCCTGTTGCGAGACGACGCGAGAGGCAACATCAGCTTAATATGTCCTCATCTGGAGGCGGCGGCGGTAGCGGTAGTGGCGGCGGAGGCGGCACGAATGTCCCTAAACGCCATAGGGACACTAGTCTTCCTGGAACATCCTCCTCTCGCTTACCATCCGACTCAGCAGGTTCTTGTTTCAGATTTGTTTTCTATTATACAGTTTGAGATTCTGACTTCTTCAGATTCAATACATATATAGGTCTCTTCGGACCAAACTTGATTGTGTTAAACACACTTACTTATGTTTAATTTACAATTTAATACTTACAAAACCTTTATTTGCATTTTTAAAATGCGTCATTCTATTTTTATTTATTAATTATCAAAATATCAAATCATTAATTGCGTTTGTGTTTGCAAATTTTAAAAGATGTTTGATACATTACATTGATGTGTTCTGTTTTGAAGGTAAGCACATAATTTAGCATGAAATGAATTGCCTAACTATATGTTTTTAATTTTAAAACTTAATGTTTTTAGGGTTAGAAATGGGGGAGGCAAGTTTTCCGGCAGAAGTGAGTTCAGATGCGCTTTTCCGGTGTGTTAAAATGAGTGGCGTAGACGACGGAGGAGATGGTCAATACGCTTATCAAACCACGGTGAACATCGAGGGTCATCTTTTCAAAGGAATCCTATATGACCAAGGGCCTGAAAGCAGCTACATGAGTGGTGGTAGTGGCGGAAGCGATCATCAAAGCTCCTCCGCAGGAGGCGGAGGAGGAGGAGGGAATCCTTATATTAATCCCGCATTGCCCGACGGTGGTGGAGGAGGGTCATCTTCGATGTTTGTTGATCCTAATTCTGGTAGTTACTATCCGAGTAACATGACGACTATGTTCATGCCTCCAGGTGCGCAGTTCTATCAAAACCCACCAAGATCTTGAATAATTCAAGACCTCAAGTTTTTATATATTGAAGCTATAGATGTAATGTGTTTTTATTGGGGGATTCATGTTGTCATCAATCATGTAATACTTATACGATATTGCAAAATGGATCAACATTTGCATGTCTGTTTGTTATTATGTGTAATATATGTGTTTTTATATTTACATTGTACGGTAATGAATCTTGATTATAAATATTTTTAATTTTGGGTTTTATACATGTAAGCTGTTTTTTTGGTTCTCGATACTTTTTTCCCATGTTTATGCCGATATTGCCGGTTGCTTCTCTCATTGGATAAACTCGAGAAATTCTTTAACATTATTATATTTTCATAAAGTCTAGTGAAGTCTACATAAATTAGATACTCAGAAATATATCTTCTTCATGTTAGCATCAACTATTTTATATTGTTACAATGACATTAATCTATATATCTAGATTTGAAGGTAAGTTAATTAAAGTGAATTCAATAGTGACAACGACAGGAAAGCGAATGAGGGCAAAGTCTTTCAACATATAAGTTACGATTGTAGTACAGACCGGTCCTATATATTGTCAATTCTACACTCAACGCGTTCTACTTCATAATGAAATTGGTGTTTGAAAATTCTGTATGTATGAAGGAACTCGTGGATTTAATTATATAAATTGTTCTTGCATCACGTGCCTAGCTATGGTTAGAGCATTGGTAGATACCACCAATTAGTTTTAGAAGCTAGCTAATTATGAATTATTCGTTGCATTTAGAGAAAAATCTCCTAAATACAACCTTTCGTAGAGTTGAATTAGTTTTCCTACTTGCCAAAACAAGTAAATAAGTCTCACTTGCTTCATGGGCTATACAAAACACTAAATAATATTGCGAATCGTCTCAAAACAACGAAAATAGAAAACGTTATGTTTCTTCTCTTTAACTATGCTTATTGATTACAATACCAAAAACTATAATCTTAAAAGTTATCCGCCATCAACATCATGAGATCATAACCAATAAGCTCTTTAGCGATAGAAAGAAGCTATCAGTTAAAAATTATCAATTTAGAAATAAGTACTTATTCATAGAATTTGCAAGCCTTTCTTGCTAGTCTAATTGCGCACATATTCACCCAAAGCTAGCTAGGAAACAATAACAATGTATAAATAGCTTACTTAATCCCAATTTTTTTCGGACAACTATACACGTGTGTGACTATGTATACAGTCCATTCAATTTGGTGACCAAGAAATTCAAAAAAGGAAAACAAGAAACGATTAGATCACCCGAAGTTCACCTCGGGAACGTACCTTGACTCGCAAGTCTTCCATCCTCCTTGATTTTGAACTCTCCAAGTGTGAACGACAGAACTATTAGAGATATGGTTTCTGGTTGGATTTGAGTTCAAGAAGATACATAAGGCATAACCAGAGTCGACAGACAGAGAGAAAGAGAGAGAAGTAAAGATGAAATTAATGATAATGAAGAATGTTGCAGACATTGGATATAAAGAGGGGCAAGTAAGGACGACGTACCAACAAAAAAAAAAAAACTAAATATATATCTTAAAAAAAAAAGAAAAAAAAAGAGAAGCTAGCTAGGGTTTTTGGTAGAACTTTACTTATAGGGTGGGGATGAAAGAAACTGGCTCAGTGATGCAGCAGTAACCTATAATTGCGTTGAGTGTGCCCATACTTTCATCAGCTTTTCTTTTCTTGTTTTCTTTAGACGAGACACGCATACACACCTTTACGTACATATGCATATACGACCATGCATCATGTATGTATAATACTGCTGTGTATGTGTAATGTGTGTGTAGGTATACGGTTGAGTGGTCCTTATAAGAACAATATTGCTAGATGAATATGATTTTTTTGAGGTATCACATTCATTCATTATATAGTCAATGCATGGTTCATCTAAGTATCATTTAATGTGATATCTAAATCGCCAAAGACCTTCTTAGTTTAGCCCTGAGATATAGATGAGGTTGTCTTGCCAATAAAATTTTTGGTGAAATTTTTGAATTAGTCGTAAGTTATTTGGTAAAAAAATATAATGGTTACTAAGAAAAAAATCCAATCGTATAAAATATCTCAAAGCTTGAGTAAAACATCTGGAATCAAACTTATTAGGTGATAATACTATCAAAACTAAACATAAATTACGAGTGATATGAATCAATCACATATATAGCGTGTGTGTGGGTGTGTGTGTGTGTGTCTCTCTCTCCCTCTCTCTCTCTTTCTCACTGATCTCTCACTTTTATTAGGCCAAGCATAAGGAGGACAAGCTTGAAGTAAGCTTCACGAAAGGCGAGTCTAATAAAGGCGAGCTTGAAACTGTTCCATGGAGGGTATCGAGCTTCAAGATCCATTGCTAAGCTTCCTTCCATTATTGCCTTCTCGTGACTGAAACATTCGAATGAGTATTTCCCGTGATACCTTCCTATTCCACTCTCTCCCACTCCTCCAAAGGGCAACGCATCGCACATATACTGCAATTCCATTCAACAACATTGAAGATATGAGAAAATTATCTATATTGTGTTTTCAGAGTCAAAATCCAAAGTTCTCAGTCAGTTTTGGTTTACCTGGATCATGACGTCATTAAAGGTAACACTTCCGGAGGATGTTTCTGACAAGATTCTAGTTTTAAGGTTCTCGTCTTTAGTGAATGCATAGATGGCAAGTGGCTTTGGTTTCGACTTGATGAACCCTATGCTTTCTTGGATGTCACGTAACTTCATTACATAAGAGAAAATAGACCAAATCACAAACGATTAGTTGATTGTCTTTGTCTACTAAGTGATATGGATGACTACTATATACTTGAAATATGCTTACCGTGATAATCGGGAGAATTGGACCAAAGATTTCTTCATTCATGATCTCAGAATCAAGTGGAGGATCCAACAAGATCGTTGGCTCAACAAATCTGTCAAACAAAATTAGGTTAAAAGAATTGGAAAGCTAATAACGTGCAACTCAAGAAACATAACTAAACCAAAACATACAGTTTATCTTCATCCATGGAACCGCCATAGACAATAGAAGCTTTAACACCAGGATCATTAAGAAGACGGGCCAATCTCTGAAAGTGTTTCTTGCTCACAATCTTTGAGAGACATCCAGATTCTTTTGGGTTGTCCCCAAAGAAAGACTTCACCGTCGTCTTCAGCATCTCAATCTATAGAAACCCACCAAACTCTTAGAGATCCTATACAGAAACAGTGTTCTCGTTTGCGTTTGTATGTACACGTACCAGAGGAGACGCAAAACTCTGTTCGACAAGAACATAATCTACCGAGATACAAGCTTGTCCACTGCAAGACCCCCATTTACCTCCGGAGATCCTCTTCACAACCGACTATATATGTTCATCAACAGTAATTCAAATTCAGATTCCTTTAGGACTGTTTCAATCAAATTGGAGCTAAGGGAAACAGAGCAAAGCGCAGACCTTCATGTCCTTTGAAACGGAGTGATGATCAACAATGGTGGGACATTTTCCACCAAGCTCCAATGTCACAGGAGTCAAATGCTCTGCAGCTGCAGCCAATATGATCCTCCCAATCTTTGGACTCCCTAACAAACAAACAACAGCAATTAAGACAAGTTCCAGTATAAGCGAGCCATCGCATGCTAAAGGGTGGATTCAATGATATACGTACCGGTGAAGAAGATCTTGTCCCATTGTTGCTGCAAGAGGATAGTGGCGACATCAGGTCCTCCTTCGATAACTTTGATGGCCTTGTTGTCGAGATAAGATGGGATTGTCTTGGCGAGGAAGGCAGATGCGTTAGGGCTTAGCTCCGATGACTTTAGCAGCACGGTATTTCCTCCTGATATTGCTCCAATCAATGGGTCCAGAGACAAAGCTGAAATAAAGAGCTACAATGTTAACTATACTTAAAGAAGAAACTATAACATGAAACTGATTCAAGATCCGAATCTTACATATAGGAAAATTCCAGCTAGACATAACAAGAACCGTCCCATACGGTTCCGAGATCACTTTCCCTTTTGCTGGATAGAACAACAGAGGAAGATTTGACTGTTTTTTCACAACCAAGAAAACAATTAGCCAAACCAAAAAACAAAATTTAATCGATAATCAGGTCTCCTAAACCCAAATCCAGTCTAATATCATACATCAGTTGCTAAATATATTGGTATATGGTTCTTATTACCTTTCTGGGAACGACCCATTTATCAAGACAGTCTAAAGCAGTAGTAGCTGATCTGATAACAAAACCAAGCTCATCTCTGAAAGCTTCAGTACTATGTTTGCCCAAATCTTGAAACAGGACATCGCACATCTTGTCTTCGTTGTCCTTAACCATCTCGATTATAGCTCTGAGCTGTGTCTTCCTCCACTTCACACTCCTCGTCCTCCCGCTCGCAAACGTCTCTCTCATCTCCCTCAAACTCTGCTCCACAGTCTCCTTCATGTCTTCCATGGCTTCTTTCTCTAACTCTCTCTACTCTGGTCAGAAGCAGAGTTTGGTTTTTATTATGTGCTTTTTTGTGTTTGATTGCCTCTTTTAGAGAAAGAGTGTTCCTTTTTAAGATTCATCCACTTATAGGTGGTGGTTAAAAGTGGAAAGACAAGCTTAGTTGGGGAATAGATAAGGTAAAAAATATTAAATACGTTGCTGCGATCTTAGGTTCAAAGATCTCGTTATCATGAAGATGGAAGTCCATATCTCGGAATTAAATGCTATAGTTGATAGATTTATTTAATTGTTCACATGTTAGATATTTTCTACAAATACTTAAATATTATGTGAAGTATATGGATCGGTGACATTTATTGGTGTGTCTATTAGTGTCTCACCTAACATAGTCCTGAAGGTTTCCTCATCGGCAATGGACATTAAATGCTTTGCCGCTTCGTGAATTGATATCTTCTTGTTTTTTTATTTGTCAAACTATCAGATTCGTCTAATCGTGTCTATATTTGTTTGTTGTTTAATTAGGTTTTTGTTGAATAAATTAGTCGCATAGATGGGTGGTACAATTTAATTTATATTGTAAATATGGTTGGGAACTTCAATAAGTTTGCGTATTGAAATGTGAATGGTACTACTTTAACTATTTTACAGGTTGTCTAGTTAATAGATCTGTGATTATTATTCCTTTATAGGTCATGGTTGGCAAACTAGTCATAATAACTAAATCCGATCTGAAAATGGGAATAAAAACTAAACTATAGTGTGTGTATATATATTACAGCTATAGTGTGTGTATATGTATTACAGTGTCGGTTGTTTTTGTTTTTATTTTAAACTTTTCTGATAAAAACATATTTTTTATTAGTAGAAGATTCATGATCGTAAGCGTATACTTATAACTTAAATCATGGCTATTGTTTGTTTGGTTGATCTGCCAACATTCTTTACGTTGCAATCGCATTCAAAAGCATTCCATGATTTCACTTTTGACTAACTTGCAGTAAGCCCATTCGGCCCAATGGACTAACTAGTAAGAAGAAAAATTGACAAAAGTAGATAAGAACTTAAAAGGGGTGTTCCGAGAATCGAACTCGGGACCTCTCGCACCCGAAGCGAGAATCATACCACTAGACCAAACACCCAATTGTTAGAATCGAAGTAAACAATATTTATATTCATATGAATACAAAGCTTATGCTCCCGCTTAACAATATTTATATTCATATGGCTACAAAGCTTATGACCGATATGATTCTTTGAAATTCTAGTAACAATGTTTGCGTTTGCACTTTCGAGTAGAATGGTTTAACCTTTAATACTTATTATATTTTTTTCTTTGTCTTTGTCACATTAAAGTTTATACTTTTTGTGTGAAAGAAATATTTTCATTATATATATGAATATCTTATGTATGAGAGTGTTACCGAATGAATACAAACGTGAGAGATTTTTGATTAACAATGTTTTCACGCGCACATCATGTGATGGTGACTCTTTCCATTCTTGAATTTAAAGAATAAATATAACGTTCTTGTTTGTTTCGGTCTCATTTTCAGATTCTTCACATTGGGCCTTCCACCGACGGTCGAGTGGGCCCGTGAGGCCTGACTTAATAGACCATATTTTTCAATCATTCTTCCCAGCATATTATTTTTTATTATTAGTTTCCTTTTTTTTTTCCTAGAAAACCATCAATACGAGTGAGAAATATGTGTTACTAATTACCTCTCTAAAGTTATCTTTACGTTGAAAAACAAATTTCTTTTTCTCTTTTGCAAGAAAATAGCTTTATATATTAAAGGAGTTGTGTTACAGGCGATAATTTTAGCCCAAAAACACTTCCATCAAACCAATGATTATTTAGGTTGAGATACGCTTCCAGTCACCAGATCGTTAAAATACCACTATTGTAAGCCCTTCTATTCAAGAAATGCTTTCTAGTTTTATTTCAATCTCTACTTGCATTTTTCTAATTAAAAAAGGAACAGGACTTCAAATAGTTTTGACACTAGTTATGAATGATTTACTCTGGTAGACCAAGAACTTAAAAAGACTTTCTATAGTTATGAAACAAATAAGAATTATGCACCAGTGGCCCTAAGTGATATTGCTAAACTATGGAGAATCTTGGCCTGTCTTCTTGATATTGCAAACTTAACAAAACTAGACCTGTTATCTTTTTAACAAGTGTGTAGGTAATTTCATATAAGCTTTTGGCTGGATCTAACTTATGATATTTTTGTCCATTCGTTTATAATGGGGAATGCGTACGTGGCAATGCGTGGTTTGTTGATTCGTAACTGGACATTGCCAAACAAAGTCTCCCAAATTCACAAAACCAAACCCACTCTTGCTTACAAACACCAATCAGTTCTGTCCAGTCTCCACCACCTCTCTTTCTCTCTCTCTCGACACGTAGAAATGTGAACTTTAAATTTTGAAAAAAAAAAGAGCGAAATTTTTGTAAGATATTGGGAAACGAACAAACTTTTTTGAATTATGGATTCGCTCCTCCAATCTTTAAAATAATTGTAGTCATGGGTTTTGCTAGTGCTTAGTAAGAAAACAAATGGAGTGTGTAGAAGCATTTCTCGGCGATTTCGCCGTCGACGACCTTCTTGACTTCTCTCACGCAGACGCTTTCGTACGTGAAGAATCGTCTTCGTCACAAAGAGAAGAAGACGAACAAGAACAAGAACGTGATAAATCAAAGAGCTTTTCTGACCAAAACACAAGTCTTTTACCGCTTGAAGATCTCTTATCTTTTCCCAGCTCCAAGCTCGACGTTCCAGTGAGCCCATCTTGCGCACTCTGTTTCTCTCTCCCCTGTTTTACTCTGTTTTTCTCTCCTCTGTTTTCATCTCCCCTGTTTTGGCTCTGTTTTTAATTTCTCTTTTTTTGTTCTGTTTTGCTTGTAAAGGTTGGTGATTTGGAGGACTTAGAGTGGTTATCCAACTTCGTGGAGGATTCTTTCTCAGAATCGTATATTCCCACTGACTTTCCGGTAAATCCAGTCGCGTCGGTGGAGGTTCAGAGACAATGCGTTCTGGTTAAACCCAGAAGCAAACGCCGCCGCACCAATGGCCGTGTCTGGTCGTTGGATTCGCCGTCATCTTCGTCAACCACCGCTTTCTCCGCCGCCGGCGGAAATAAGAAGAGAGTGAGGCAGAAGGTGGAGGCGTCGTACGGCGGCGGAGTCCAGCAGCAACCGAGGCGGTGCTGCAGCCATTGCGGGGTCCAGAAAACGCCTCAATGGAGGATGGGTCCGTTAGGTGCGAAGACGCTGTGTAATGCTTGTGGGGTCCGGTTTAAGTCGGGTCGACTTTTACCCGAATATAGACCCGCTAATAGCCCGACGTTCTCCACCGAGATTCACTCTAATTCCCACAGGAAAGTGTTGGAGATGCGGCTTACGAAAACGGCGGATCCGGGTCGGGTTTAACCCATATTGTATTGATATGCTTCTCATTAGTTTCATCTTATGTATGTCGTCGTATGCACTAATGCACAATGTAACTTGTTAGACGGTAGAGAATCAGGGAGATCGTAGGTTCTTTCACATTCATGAAAATTAAGCAATAACTAGAGATAAACGATTTAACAGAACGTATGATTTAGATATTAAGATCGTTAACAGATTTCTAGAAATTGTTTGAAACAAATGCATGAATGAGACAAGCCTTTCTAATTACTGTTGCCTTTAAACACCAATTACCTTTTTTCAGTTTAAAAAACTGCAACTTTTCAGTTACCAGCAGGCAGCAGCTTTAACTGAAGGAGTAAAACGACGTTGTTTTTTGAAAAGGCAGTTATAAAGGTAATTTGTCCTTTTATTTGTCGACATAAGGTAAATGTTCAAAACAAAGTGTATATGACATTTTGTTTATAAGCTTTTGTGTTTCATTTTGAACTTTTACTTTACAAACGAAAGCTAAATTGTTCTTCTATCAATCAAGACACGATTGAATGAATTTTATTTTCAGTATCACTCATTCACTCTTGTGTTTTCAATTCTAATCGTTTAGCGACTCTTTTGTCTTCGTTGAGTAGAGCCAATATACCAAAAACATCATATGACGAATTCCAAGACGAACCCAATATCAAATTCATATCAATAATTCTACTCGTGAGGCTACAAATACCAAAACATTGTTTCTTTCCTGACTCACTGATATTAGTAGTTTTAGTCGACACAGTATTTTAAAGCTCAAACTTTAGTCTCTGTTTGCATACAAAAAAAATCAGCGAGTCAAAATCTTTTAGATGTATGCAAAATATGAAAGCAAATCCTTAATATGAAAATAGTACGAGTAGTTTTGTGTGTGTGTGTGTGTGGATATGTTACTACCGACCGATAGCTTTGATTTTGTTTTACAAAAGGGAACAATCTTATTTATCTTTTAAATCAAAGTACAATCTCCCAAAGATAATACAAAAAAAAGAAAGTTCACAACGAAATCAGTCGTTGTGTTCTTAAGCCGTTGAAAAGTGCAAACAGATTATTGTAGTACGTAGTGGTAACAAAGCATGGCTTGAAGACATATCATAGTTCTTAGGCATGTCTTATTTAATTATGACTTTCCGTCGACCTTTTTAGCACAACCGGGAAACCAACAACGACCACCACCTCCCCATCCAAATCCAAATCCCCAACCTCCACCATTTCCATCACTTCCTCCTCCTCCACCGCCACCTCCACCCCCGCTTCCACCGCCTCCTCCTCCTCCTCCACCACCACCACCACCGCCACCCTCCTCCTCCACCACCTCCTCCACCTCCTCCGCTTCCTCTACCTAGGCCACGGCCTGAGCCATTTCCGCTACCTCCGCCTCCGCCTCCTCCTCCACCGCCACCACCACTTCTTCTGTTATTTTTGTGATCTTTTCCCTTCCCACCATTTCCGCCTCCACCGCCGCCGTCTCCTCCTCCGCCACCACCTCGACCTCCACCTTGGCCTCTGCCTCCGTCTCGTGGTTCACATTTTTCACTCTTACTTACATTGCTATTCTCACCCAACAAGGGTTTTACAAACCCAACGGTCGAAACATTCACATTATTCTTAGAGCCCAAAACGCCTGAAGAAGTGGTACCATTCATAAACTTACTCTCACTTCCATCTCTCTCTTTTAGGTCTCGTAACCCGTTGACAGAGACTAAGCTCAGGAACAACACAAGATAAGCAAGACCGAACAAGAAAAGTGCCAAACTTGATGATGATCTCTCTCTTACACTCTCCATTTTAATTTTATCAAATATCGATCATCAAACTCTATTGACTTGTCAAGGTTGTGCTTCAACTCCGTCTACTTCTTCTCCCTTTTATACTATTTCTGTTCACTCTGATTAATTACTAATCCTATGCATTTAATTTAATTAATCTCATGCACATGCATCTCCTATACGGAACCTACCAACTTTTTATTTCCCTTTAAAAAAAAGAAGAAGTCGAGACTTGAGTAGAGGCTCTTCAATTATTAAACTTTGTTCGCATTTTATCTATCTATCATAGTGTGACCCAAACTATAAAAATTGCTTCACGCGCAAGACGGTCCACAATACACGATATAGATCTACACATCGATTAAAGGCTAAAAGAATTTATTTCTTTTGGTTTATTTTTCCTGCTAAACATAGTGTTTCTTTTGAATTTAGATGTAAAAAGCGTCTTTACATTTTTGCTTATATATTCAGGTACGTAGAAGTAGATTCATTGCAAATGCATGTGAGATCATTAAGGGATAGTATAACATATAACATACATTTAATTTTTGTCAGCAACATAAGACACATACATGAAAATAAAGAACATATGATAAAAATAGTGGGTAATGTGGGCACCAAAAGGGTATTGTCTAACGTACCCTACGAAACATTTTGTTTCTTTGGAGATGGCTTCTCTTTAGGTTTACGCTATCTCCAAATTTCATAATGCCTTCACACGAAGACGCTTCGTTTGTGATATTAATTGGTTGCATTTGAATAGCCCTACAATCTTATAGGAGTACCAAAATGTTATATTGCGAAGTCTTTTTCATAACTGACAGAATAGTAAGGACTAATTTCATAGCATTAAAAAAAGGACTAATGTCACCTTCTTCCGTTCTTTGAATTTCGTTTATTTTTTAAAAACTTACAAAACACAAATCTAGACCACTGAACTGGGTGATATATTTCTTCACTATGACGAGCTGTTTTGTTGCATTTCCGACCGTTGGATAACATAAGCTGAGATCTGGAGATATTATCAGCCAGCCCGAGTTATATTGGGCTGATATTGTTCGGCCCAAGAGCTCTACTAATAATCTAATATTGTAGAAATTGGGTACCGTATAACGGTTATACTGTTTTGATCAACAAATGACACGAAAGAAAGGCACATAAAAAAGATAAGGATCAATTGATCAACTGTCACGAAGAATTTTGGATAAAAGGGTAATATTGGAAAACAAAATAAGGATCAATTCTCTTGTCTCGTAAAGTTCGGACTAAGCAAAAAAAAAAAAAAAATTGTGTAGGAAAATACATGTGAAAACTTGAAACCATATACACGAGAATCGTCTTCCATTTTATTTTGTCAACACGAGAATTCTGAAACCTCTAATTGATGAAATTGACCAGAAAAAAAGGATGGAGACACGTGAAGTGACGGAAACCACAAACGCACCGAAACGTAAATGATAGGCCCAAATCCATATTCCCTCGTTTGATTTAATTAATTATATTTACTTAATTGGATAGAAATTGTTATCATCGTACTTGTATAATGGTAATTATCCATTATGTAAAGATGACGGTATGACGACGTAAAGAGCTTTCTATGATGCAATCAGACTTGTTTTTAATATCTTTGGCTCATAATTGGATTTATTTATTGTTTGGTCCGGTGGTTTGTATTCGAAGTAAAACCAAATACCACATATATATAAACTAAACATTTGATCTGCTACTAAGTGAGATAGTCTACCTATAGTTACGATATGTAGATTGTTATAGAATATTGTTTATTATATTGATAGAGATGTACACTATATATACAAGGGATCGTGATGAGTACACGGATCTCATGAGAGTGATTACAGGGATTATGATGAGCGTGATTATAGAGATTGATACATATCATTGACTAGGAGATGTACTTTCCTTAATACGCCCCCTCAAGATGGAGAGAGTACACGAGACTCCAATCTTGGAAGTTAGGTCCGTGAAGGGAGCGCATGTCAACGGTTTGGTTAGTGCATCCGCGAGTTGGTCTTTGGAAGAGACGTGAACCACACGTAAAATTCCGGAGGCAACTTGATTCCGAATGAAGTGATAGTCCAACGCCAAATGCTTCATGCGTGAGTGAAAGACAGGGTTGGCACATAAGTAAGTTGCACCCACGTTGTCACAGTAAATCACAGGAGGAGCAGGAATTTGAACACCCAATTCAGAGAGCAGCGAACAAATCCAGCGAAGCTCGGCCGAAGCATTGGCAACTGATCGATATTCGGCCTCTGTGGATGACCTGGCGACTCCTTTTTGCTTTTTGGAGGACCAGAAGATTGGATGTTTACCGAGATAAACAATGTAGGCGTTCGTGGAGATGTAGTCGTCACGATCGCCACCCCAATCAGCGTCGGAGTAGGCGTGAAGGGTGGTTGGATTTTCTTTGCTGTAGAAGAGTCCATGAGAGCTTGTACCAGCGAGATATCGTAACACCCGCTTAGCCGCTTGCCAGTGGTCTGAGGTTGGAGCATGCATAAACTGTGACAGCCGATTTACTGCATATGACACATCTGGCCGTGTGAAAGACAGGTACTGAAGGCTTCCAACGACAGAGCGATATTGAGTGGGATCGGTGAGAGGTATTCCAGAACCCAGAGTCAGCTTAGGTGTACTCGCCATAGGTGTGGTCACAGGTTTGGCATCCAACATGTTGCAGCGTGTTAAGAGATCCAGAATGTACCGGCGTTGCGTGAGGTGTAAACCCGAGGGAGTTCGATGTGCCTCAATGCCTAAGAAGTAGTTGAGGTCCTCTGGATCTTTGACAGAGAATCTAGTGGCCAAGGATTGGAGGGTCTGGTCAAGGAGTCGCTGATCATTACTAGTGACAATAATGTCATCGACGTATACCAGCATGTAGAGAAGGCTCCAATCGCGCTTGAGAATGAACAAAGAGGTATCTGCAACAGAGTTAATGAAACCAGTGGAGAGAACGAAGTTACTGAGCTCAAGGTACCACGCTCGTGGAGCTTGTTTAAGGCCATAGAGAGCCTTGTGGAGGCGACAAACATGAGTCGGTTTCTCAGGGTCCACAAATCCAGCAGGTTGATTGATATAAACCTCCTCTTTCAGCGTACCTTGAAGGAAGGCAGTGTTGACGTCCAATTGCTTGATGGGCCAGGAACGACTCACGGTGACGTCAAGAACGGTTCGGAGGAAGGTCGATTTGATGACCGGACTGAAAGTTTCTGTGTAATCAACGCCTGGCTGCTGAGAATAGCCTTTTGCGACAAAACGAGCTTTCAACCTGCGAACAGAACCATCAGGAGCATACTTGATAGTGTAGATCCAGCGAGTACCAACTATGTTTTGATTCGGAGCAGCGGGAACCAGGGAATAGGTTCTGTGGCGGAGTTGAGAGTTGTACTCGTCTCCCATGGCTCCTCTCCACCGGGGATCCGCTAGGGCTTGTGCGACGGTGGTGGGAATCCAGTCGTCACGTTTGGCATTGACAACAGAGAGGGCATACCTGGAATTTGGTTTGCGAATTCCAGTCTTCCCGCGAGTGACCATTGTGTGAGCGTTTTCGAGAGACGGCGGAGGAGCGACGTCCGCCGGTGGTGAATTGGTCGGTGAAGATGCGGAGGAATCGGAAGACGGGGATGGGCTTGTCTCCGAGTCGTGGACTGTGGTTGCCGACTGGGTTGAATTTGACTGTGGGCTGTGATTGTTGAACACTGTTGGTGAACGTGGGCCAGAGGGTGACTGTGACTGGGCCTGGGCCTGTGAGGAGGTAGGCGGGGTGTGATCGGAATTTGCCGAGACGGATTGGTGTGAGAGATCGGCACGAGAGACAGGCGGAGAGGTTTCAGGAGATGCCGATGAATTAGACTCCGCCGTCGTGGGTGTTGGCAGAGACGCGGTGGCGACGTTCTCCGGTGGTGTTGTATCCGTGAAATTCGGCGGATCATTTGGAGGTGAGAGCTCCGAACTCGGTGGCGGTACACTTGAGGAAGTGATGAGTGGCGAGAGTGGGACCAAAGTGACTGGAGGGCACCAATCTTCAATCCGACCTGCAGTGATAGCAGAAGAAGAGGACAAGGAACGAAAGGGGAAGGTTTGTTCGTCAAAACGGACATGACGAGATACATAGAGACGATTTGAAGTGGGATCTAGGCAGAGGTAAGCGTTTTGGGTTAGGGAGTATCCTAGGAACACACATGGTGTAGATCTCGTTTCCAGTTTATGAGAGCGATAAGGTCTGAGCCAGGGAAAACTTAAACAACCAAAAATTTTGAGTTTGGAACAGTTAGGCTCTTGTTGGAATAGGAGGCGATAGGGAGAGTTCATAGAGAGAACAGGAGTTGGCATTCTGTTGATAAGATAAACGGCTGTGGAAAAGGCGTAGGACCAGTAGGTGTTTGGCATTTTGGCTTGGTGGAGGAGTGAAAGTCCCGTTTCCACAATATGGCGATGTCGGCGTTCTGACAAGCCATTGTGTTCGGGTGTGTGAGGAGGAGAAGTGAGATGGGAGATGCCCTTAGACGAGAGGTAGTGACGAAGAGCAATAAACTCACCACCATTGTCAGAAAAGAGAGTTCCGATTCTCGTTTGGAAACGATTTTCAGTGAGCTCTTTAAAGAGAATGAAGGTTTGTTTGACATGAGATTTGAGTTGCAATGGGTAAAACCAAGTATAGCGAGTGAAGTGGTCAACAATGATAAGATAGTGGGGATGATTGGTGGGAGTTGTGGTTGCTCTCCACAGCTCTATATCTCTCTGCAGCACTCCAAAATTATCAATCATGCTCTCATTTTATTTCTTTCCATTTTTGAAACATAGAACAATTTTATTTATTTATGGAAGTTCCGTAGCTGTGGAAAGCAATTTTTCTAGAGCACTAAATTTAGTGCTCTCTAAATTCTCTCTTCTCTTTCCTTATTATTTTGTCTATATTCTTTTTTTAATCTCTTATTTCTATATCTTCTTTTTTTGTTTTAATATTTCATTAAATACACAATCTACAAAATAAAAAAATCTTACAGCACTAAAAATTAAAGCCACAACACTAAAACCTACAGCCTAAACTCTACAGCCAAAAATCTAAAGCCACAACCACATCCAATCAGGCCCAGTGTTTGTATTTGTTGACGGAAAGGACAGGAGAAGTCCAAAGATCCGTAAAGAGGTATTGTAATGGACGAGTAGAAGAGATAGAGGTTTGTGAAAAACTTAGTTTGTGGCTTTTATTGGAAAGACAATCAACGCAAGACAAAAACTTAGGGAAAACAGCAGAACAAGGTAGAGAGTGTTTGGAAATGATAGATTTTAGAATCGGAAGAGAAGGATGGCCGAGTCTTGAATGCCAGTCGGAAAGAGAGGTTTTGACAGTTGGAGTTGCAAAGAAAGCTCTCACTGCAGATTTCATGATCGGCCACTCATACAGTTCCTCATTGGTACGACCTTGGAGTAACGGGACCCCCGAGTTCAGATCTTTCACCTGAAAATGAGCCGGGAAAAATTTCACGGAGACTTGGTTAGTATTACAGAGACGGTAGACAGAGATGAGGTTCTTTTTAATATCAGGGACATAGAGCACATTGGATAGAGAAAAAGGTTTAGTGTTTGAGGGAAGAGAAACAAAACCAGTTTGGGAGATTGGTAAGCCATTTCCGTCGCCGATGATGACCTCTTCACCACCTGTGTAGGGCTGATGGAGTGTTAAGTTGTTCAGGTCAGACGTGATGTGGTGTGTAGCACCGGTATCAAGGACCAACTGTGGTGATTGTTGTGAGCTGGCGGCAAAATTGGCGCGAGGGAGCCACGGAGCTGGTGGTTGAGGAGGAGTTGGGAGCAGAGCCCTGGAGGCTGGTTGTTGCATCGTCGGCAACTGAGGACAGCGTCTTGCGGAGTGACCTTGTACACCGCAGATCTGACACCGGCCAAGGTATGGACGCTGACCTCTTTGTTGATTGTTGTTGTTGTTCCATGGTTGCTGCGGAGATTGATTTGTACGCTGGCCCTGTTTTTGACCAGGTTTGGAGCGATTGTTCGCATAGTTTGCAGAGATCGGAAATGAGACAGAGGAGGAGGAGGACATCAGTTTGGCTTCATGATTGATGAGTTTCTCGTGAAGCTCCGTGAGGGTAGGAGGGGTATCACGGCCTTCAGTTTGATCTATGACTGGTTTATATTCTTCAGGAAGCCCCTGGAGAACATAGTCAATCTTGTCTTCATGATCAATGACTTTACCAAGAAGGGCAAGTTGATCAAATCTGGAGGTGAGACCCTGAACGTATTCATTGATGGAGTTGTTTCCCTTTTTCCATTGTTTGAGTTGGTGTTGCAGCTGTTTGATGTGGCCTCGGCTTGGTTTGGCGTAGGTGGAAGCAAGAGTGTCCCACACATCGGCAGAGGTGGACGCAAGAGAGACAAGAGGCTGAATGGTTTGAGAGAGAGCACCAAGGAGGGCACTGTAGATGAGCTTGTTCTGGCGTTTCCACAAGGTATAGGCCGGATTCGCGGTTGTTGTTTCATCCACCGTAAGAGTAGGTGGAGGTGGAGGGATAGCGGCATCGAGACGTCATATCCGTCAAATAACGCATGGACTTGACGGCTCGAGACTAGATAGTTGGAGGAGGACAGTTTGGTGATGTTGGACATGTTGAGATTCAGGAGAGAAGTGGTGGTGGAGGTGATAACATCCGCGGATGCGGTGACACCAGGAGGAGAAGAGTTGTTATCAGAGGTCGACATAGCGACGAAGGAGTTTTGACGGGAAGGAAGGAAGAAGAACAGAAAGAAAAAAAAAATTTGGTGGTCTAGGTATCTTTCTGCTCTGATACCATGTAGATTGTTATAGAATATTGTGTATTGTATTGATAGAGATGTACACTATATATACAAGGGATCGTGATGAGTACACGGATCTCATGAGAGTGATTACAGGGATTATGATGAACGTGATTGTAGAGATTGATACATATCATTAACTAGGAGATGTACTTTCCTTAATACCATAATCCCATATTGAAACATGGAAGAGTTTTGTCTCTCTCTGAATACCACATTATAACATTTATTCAGATTTTTAAAATAGAAAACAACGTTATAACTACTTACTTTTGAAAAGAACTGATTTGATTGTTTATATCTTCAAATTTCATTAAACAACTGTTAGACGTGTTTAACCTAATGTAACACGAGAGGGAAACGATTATAAGTAATTATACACATGATTGAAGCAAAAAAGCCTTGTACATGATTTTTTAAAAGATAAATAAAAGCTGTTTGTGAGTTTTCCAAAAAGAGTTCTAAAATACTAACATACCAACCGTTGGTATCGAGGCGGTGAAACCTCTAACTAGCTAGGCATGGATAAACTTAACACATGGTGACAGGCAGGACAATGCGTCGATACGATTATATATAGTGCCGTTTATGTTATCAAAACTTCAAAGAGCATATAGCCATGTGAAATGTTGTCAATCATATCTTCATCCATCGAAATGTTAGGTACGAACCACCTTTCTCCTCTTCTATATGTACTAGTTGAAATATGTTACAGTCTAACTAATGTCTTTTTAGTAACGCCGGTATAGTTTAATGTTTAAATTGCAGTTAGCTAGACAACATAATTGTCGGCTGTATTTTGGGATTCTAGTGGCAACTGGAAGAGAAATAAATATGAAAATGAGAGAACTAACGTGGGTTAAAATTCATTAAAACGAAAACAATGAATAAAAAGAAAACATTGAACGAAAGATAACAAATTAACTTTATTTACCATGCCACTAAATTGTCCACCACTTCTAGCTAGTTTTTATAATTTTATTAAATATTTTTCCTCTTCCTTTGTTTTTTTGGTCAAGGGCCTCGGATCGTAATCCTCTTATCTTTTTTGTTTGCTAAAGACTTTTACTATATTTAAAATTAGTGCATTATTTTTCGTTTTTTTCCGGAATCTCGAAGTTTTTGACTTAACAAAAAGGGGGAAGAAATAGGGAGAATTCAAACTATTGACGTATGGCTGCAAACTTTTAAGCATGGAGATGAAATGCTATTGACACAGCAGTGTGAATTGTTTTGTTTGTTCAAATAATAAGTGAATTATTTTGTTTATTGCTGGTAAGTCGACTTAATACAGATAAAAATAAAAGAAATTTACATTGTTGTGTTAACAAAAATGTCGCAATAATTCTTTTCGCAATAATTGTATAAATACTTTGATGGTTGTTTGATTTTGTTATATTAATGGACATGAAAAGGAAATTTATGTCCTTTTGCAGATATCGGTCGGCCTCGGGTCCCAAATCCTGATATTATAAAAAAACATTTTCAAACTTTAAGTATAAAATTGTTTTTTTCTGGTATATATAGCGTTAAATATGTTTTCTTAACGCTTTAATTTTTAATTGCTATACACTTAATTATAGTATTGTGTAGTATATATTTAGCGTTAAAAAAAATATACACATCACTAATCTAGCTCCATTTCTTATTTAGTTGCAAAATTTTAGTTTGTGTTTTAAATAAAAGTTTAGGTGATATATTTCATATTTTCATTCACTAAATAGTTTTGAAAGACATGAAGTTGGTAAGAATAGACATAGATATAAATAGTTAAAAAAGACACAAAGTTGGTAAGAGCAGACTACTAAAACATAGATATATTATTCACTTAAATTGGGTATATCACTATAGGAAGATGTCACAGATGCTTATGTTGATCTGATCCAGCTAATTATAAACGACGATATCCATATGATCATTGTCAATATGAGCTTATAAATGGTCCCATTTTTTATCAGTCAACTGAGCAATAAACTAGAATCGTGGTTAGATAAAAGAACTGCTGGCACGGATAATACAGATCAGATACAAACCACATGAAGTTAGTAAAATAAAAAGCAGCAGTTTTATGTTATAACCTAAGTGATCAAGATGTAACGATAAATAACTTTATAGTCGAAAAGAACAAAATAAAAAATTAAATAAATAGAATATGACAGAAAATATCGCAACTTATTAACATTACAAAAAAACTAACATTATAATTACTTACGTTATTGATTAGAGCGGCACGTTACGTACGTATAACACATCAACCCATATGGCAGTATTGTTAAGATGCCAAATGTATTTTGTCAGTAGCGGAAAAAAATAAAGTGAAGAAACCTTGTCAATCTATTGGTCTATATACGACTCTATGTCCAAGATTTCGAGGTATTAATTAGTATTAATACAGTAGTAATAATTAGTTAATCGACCTTGTGTACTTTCACTGCTCGTGGTCCTTCGTCCGCTTTGCTCCAAACTAGAAGTCACAAATACACTTGTGGATTTCCTTTAGTAATGTTGGTTTGATCGATAAAATCTTTCCAAATTTATTATTTTCTTTGTAAGTGGGCTTCTCCATTTATGTGTAGTATTACGGCAAGATTCTATAAATTAAATTATTGTAAATACTGTTCGTCAAACACTATTACAACTGTCACTTGAACAATATCTTCTGTTTAGAAAAGCTTTTTATAACTAAATCTTGTTTTTTTTTTTTTTTTTTTAAATAGTGCTACTGCTAACTGAAGTAATTTCTCTATCAAAGATGCTATTTCTCGACTTTAATTGCAAAAGGATCTTTGAATTTATATGCGATCATCTTTAAGAAACATAACTGACATGCTATTTTTATTTCTTCGTTTATAAGAAATATGACAATGACAAGTTTTGTTATACAAGGATTCTGATTTCCTTTAATTAACTTCTTAAAAGCTTAAGAACTTAATTAAATTACTTTGGTAATTCTTAATTATAATATTAATTTGATTTATCACAATTTATTGAGAAAAATATATTTATATCACCAATTATTCTAGCCAGACAGTCAATTACATTCATTTTTCAACAGCTACACTTTAAAATTCACCAGTTCACTATTATGTACCAATAATGATTCATCACATATGCTAGAGTATCCCATGAATCCTTGTGTATATACTATTTAATGTCCATAATATAAATAAAAATAAATAAAAGGTGTATACACATATGATGATATGAACGACGAAATTAAGTCCCTCTAGATAAATAGAGATATGTCAATAAATGGGACCACACTTTGATTATAAAACCTACCTCTCTAATCACATCTCAAAATGGCGAACTTTGCCTGATCAATTCCTGAAACCATTCACAATTTAGAAAAAAAAATTTATCGAGGAAGCAAAAAAAACCCCAATATGGAGTCTTCTTTATCACAAACACTAAGCAAAGTATTAGATCCCACGACGGCTTTCATCGTCGTCGTCTCGCTTTTCGTCTTCATCGGCCTCATCACACGACGGAGAAGGCCCCCGTACCCACCCGGTCCACGAGGTTGGCCCATCATAGGCAATATGTTGATGATGGACCAACTTACTCACCGTGGTTTAGCCAATCTAGCCAAAAAATACGGTGGCCTGTGCCATCTCCGCATGGGATTCCTCCACATGTACGCGGTTTCATCACCGGACGTGGCTCGACAAGTCCTCCAAGTCCAAGACAGCGTATTCTCGAACCGGCCTGCAACGATTGCTATCAGCTATTTGACTTATGACCGAGCCGACATGGCGTTTGCTCACTACGGGCCGTTTTGGAGGCAGATGAGGAAAGTGTGTGTCATGAAGGTGTTTAGCCGCAAAAGAGCCGAGTCATGGGCTTCGGTTCGAGATGAAGTGGACAAAATGATCCGGTCGGTCTCTAGTAACGTTGGTAAGTTAATTAGCTCGTATATTGACTCTTGCTATGTGCGGTTCGATATCTAAAAATAATGAAATACTCTTTTTTGTAGGCAAGTCTATAAACGTCGGGGAGGAAATTTTCGCACTGACCCGAAACATAACTTACCGGGCAGCGTTCGGGTCAGCTTGCGAGAAGGGACAAGACGAGTTCATAAGAATCTTACAAGAGTTCTCTAAGCTCTTTGGAGCCTTCAACGTAGCGGACTTCATACCGTATTTCGGGTGGATCGATCCTCAAGGGATAAACAAGAGGCTCGTGAAGGCTCGTAGTGATCTAGATGGATTTATTGACGATATTATCGATGAGCATATGAAGAAGAAAGAGAATCAAAACGCTGTTGATGATGGAGAAGTTGTTGATACCGATATGGTTGATGATCTTCTTGCCTTTTACAGTGAAGAGGCCAAATTAGTGAGCGAGACTGCGGATCTTCAGAACTCCATCAAACTTACTCGTGACAATATCAAAGCCATCATCATGGTAATAATTATTACTATATTATTAAGCACCAGTCGTAGTCATGATAATCTCATGATTCTTAAGGCGTTACGTAATAAAACTTATCCATTAATCAGATTTTTTCCCTTTTTCTTAAGTATTTTTTTGTCTAAATTAGGAAAGTAATTTTCTGTTTTTACAAGTAATATACAAATATTAATAGTAGGAAAAAAGTATATATACTAAAAAAAAATAACCTTTTTTATTATTTGTCCTTTTTCTTGAATAGGACGTTATGTTTGGAGGAACGGAAACGGTAGCGTCGGCGATAGAGTGGGCCTTAACGGAGTTATTGCGGAGCCCCGAGGATCTAAAACGGGTCCAACAAGAACTCGCCGAAGTTGTAGGACTTGACCGACGCGTTGAAGAATCAGACATGGAGAAGTTGACCTTTCTCAAATGCACACTCAAAGAAACCCTAAGGCTACACCCACCGATCCCACTCCTCCTCCACGAAACCGCAGAGGACACTGAAATCG